CCACTCTTAAGGGGATGTCAGAGTGACATCTATCGGGTCAGTGGTTCGTGACACTTTTCTCCGAGCTGGGTGCTCCGAATCGCTTGAAACTTTACAAAGCGATTAGGAGAGCTCTAAGGAAAGTCCCGACGGTCATGAAATGTCACTTATTGTAAAAGAATTATTTAAATGTGTGTAAACGATTTTTTTAAAAATTCAAATACCCTCAGCTTCGGGACCTTTCCTTATGGATACGTTTTCCCGTTGTGAAGTTTAAAACGATCCAGTACGTACCGTGAATTAGTTTCATTTAATTAATCCGGGAGTTAGCTATCACTTTGAGATAGCGTTTCTCATTTTGTCGAGAAAAAAGGCCCTTTTTTGTAAAGTAACTCATCGATCCGCATTTTCGGGAATTAAATGCCTAGATTTTAAGGAAAGTATCCATTCGGCTCGTCGATGAACCCCAGATTTGAATATCTACCGACGGAAACATTATCACGGCATGAATTATCATTAAACATTAAAATTATCTTAATTTGCCCAGTTATTATCAGTAGTAGCGTAGTAGTATTCATGTCGGCTACGTTTTATATAAATTCCTCTAAATGGTAAATCCGATTTGTTAATCTGGGTGGTCCTTGTTTGACGGGAAATTTTATTGATTAGAACATTGACTAATTATGATAAAATTATGATAAAAGTCGGTGCAAACGTGACCTGAACCAACGCTTGGGAATAGGCAATTCTACATTGCGCAGCCGAGGTAGAGGAGACGGAAGTGCCGAGGGAAAGAAACTGGAAATGGCAGAAAATTGACATTTTCTTCCCGAAGCATTTTCCGGCCTCTCGTTGGCTTGTATGCCCCGCTGTATATGTTCATAAATTGTATACGCGATATATCCGGCTTCCTTCGCGCTTGCGCCGTTTTGCATTTCGCCTACGCCGAGCGAGCTTCGCAGAGAAGCGGGAGAAGCCATCTTGGATTTCCGGAGGCGCGCAATTCAAACGCCGGGAAAGCTTTGAAGGGTCCTGAAAAAGGTCCTACAGTTCCTCGATAAAATTAAAGTGATACGATAGAGACATTCTCTACATATCAAAACGTCGAAATATCGATAAAACTTGTGTACAAACAGAGTGCATCGAATCATTTGGTGCGTCCGTGATAATGGAGGCCCTAAGGAAGAACGCGATGCTCGTGTAATTTCATTTAAAAAAGAAAAAAATATATATATGTGTCCTTGTTTTTAGGCTGGGATGTATATAATAGATTTTTTTTTTATAAATGAAATGAACCAGTATCGCGTTCTTCCTTGCCGCCTCCATAATCACTGATGCTTGGAATTATTCGGTGCACCTTGTTTGGAGAATTGTTTTATTATTAAATTGAGCGTTTTATGTAAGAATGAATTTCGTAACACCTTAAGGAGCGATCAGGGAATCGACGGTGCAAAAACTGTGCATCACAGGCCGTCCATTAACGAAGGAGTCATTTGCGAGTAACTTGCAAAAAAGGCTCACACGGAGCCAATTAATTCTTAAGCTAACTTAATGGCAGTGTTTAGTTTTAGGTAGATTTTACGTAGAAAACGCGTGCCCGGACCCTGCGCCATGAACTAAATGAAACGCGGCTCCAGTCGGGTCATATTTCCAAATTTCGGCATTTCCAGAATCTATATTACCCGTTGTAACTTTCATTTAATAGAAGAGAAGGAAAGAAAACCTTCGCGAAGTCCGCAATCCAATATGGCGTAACGCACCTTCGGGTCTTTGAAAATTTCATTTAATTTCGTTTAACCTCTAAAGTACGGAGCGGAGGACGTCGGGTATTCCGAAATTTCATCTCCCTTTTGATAAGAAATTCGAAAATTAAATTGCAATTCCAAAAAGTACAGATTAAGACTGCTTGAAATGCTTCCAGGTTTAATTGACGCATTTTATAGGGTTCCAATGGAAATGGGAACAGAAGTTCGAACGTGGGCTCCGCACATTAGAGGTCAGGAAAAATGAAATCCGTGGTGGTTAAGTCCGTCGTGGTTCAGCGATTAATTAAATTAAATTCCTCCAGCCTGTTAGGGCCGTCGAAAATACCTGTAATTCTGCGAAAAGATATTGCGCTGCGGAACGACTTAACAGATGGCGAAGTCGCAATCGCGCGTGTCAGCCAAATGTGGGATATTTCTGTCCAAAGCCGACATTAAGGGGCCGAATGGCGTCGGGTCTGGAGCAATCGAGAGTACACTTTCGTACGCACACCTAGAAAAGAGCAGAGCAACGATATATTTTCGATTTTACTCTACTAGATGCGTAACAGCGTCCGCGACGTCGATTTCCCAACCCAAGATGGCGGAGCCCTTGGTCGCTCCTCCAGTCGCTCGAACTGACGAAAAAACCAAACTACAGGTGGCTACTCCACTTCCAGGACTCGCATTGCGTTAATTCCGGACGGAAATGGCTTTTCCCGCAACACGGGGTGTTTCTCTCGTTGCCGGGGTAATAACGAGCTGAAACGAAAACCGGAAACGAGGGAAGAGCCGCGCACCAGTGCGCTGAATAACGACTTTATTGGCTCTACCTCGAAAAAAAGCCGACTTCATCTGGGATTTCTCCCGTGAAAGACGTTTCTTCGGGTGGGAAATCATCTCCCGTTGACGATTCGGAAAAAATATTGCCGATTTTACGGAAACTCCGAGTGTACCACACTGATGTGGTAACACTGTCAGGGTTCGGTTACAAACGCAGTGATGAATTCGATCCTGTTGGAAAATTGAGTAATGAAACGATTGTTATGAGGAGGACGTAACTTCCTGTTATTGATTTTCAAAAAATATGGCCATTCAGGGAAGAGTCACGAGTGTACCACACCGGTGTTGCAGCAACATTGAATTGGTGACGTACAGTGGTAGGTCACGAAATTAAATGACGCTGGACACAAAGTAACGAATCGATCGAACCTCACCGGCTACCACAGTGTTCCGTGCAGAGCGAAACACCCCAGATGCGTAATTTATGATTAGACACAGAAACCCACACACAATACCGCTGGATAGATCAGACATGCAACTTAACATGGCGTAACGTTGACATTTACCCAGGATAGATAGGTCGAGGTATCTCGGTATAATTGACTTCCTACCACTAATATACGGAGACTATGCTATTTTTTAATTAGACTTATCGAACTAGAACTAGAAATTGTAGGGTACACACACTAGTAGGTATATTAAAGGGTCCCTAGGAGGAAAAACCACACTAATGCATGTCGCGGTGTATTAGCCCGAGCCTAATTGAGCTTTTCGCTGGTCCAGAGACTGGGTGTGGACGTCACTTGACTTCCGCGTGTGATGCCTCCTCTTGGAGTCACTTCCGGTTCGGGGGTGAAGCTTAGATAACACCCGAGTCTCGGCTTTTGCACTCCAACCCCGCGGCTTGTTTCTTCGTCCACAGGCACCTTAGCTTTGCACATTACCTCCTAACCTGAAACCCACACAATCGTGCGAGAACAATACTTACGCGAATAACGCTTAGTGTCTATATGCTTGTACTTTAACACACAGGTAGCAGCGAGAAAAACGCGTGCGCGCTCGCGCCCTTCGAAACAAACGGCATATACATGTGTGGGTGGGTCCTAACGCATGTGTGGGTGGGTCCTAACACACTTGGAGTTGCGTTGGAAACGAGTGTTCAAGCATTTATGTGCGATTGCATGTGGTTACATTTTTACACAGAGCTGTGTTAATATAGAAACGAGTGTGTGGACTCTCAAGACTAAACACATGCAACCATACGTACATTCCCACACTCGAACGCAGGTCCAAGTGAAAGTATACCCCCAAATGTGTGGAAAATGAAGGGGGGCCCTCGTGTGTGGTCCCGCACCTCCTTCTAATATTGCACACGATGTGAAAAATTAAGAGGGGCCCTCCGCGGGTGATCCCACACATCTTCCAACGTGGCAAAGACGTTGTGTGTCCCCACCTCGAGACCCAAGCACGCCCATCCACCCCCACAAACAGGAAAACACGTCAAGACACCTTCAGAAATCCGTGTAACGTTCACTCGTGGGCATGTGCACGTGTCCACACAAGTACCACACCCACTCTGGAGTGCGGAGCGAGCGCGTGCGCATATGCGCTACCTAATCCCGCGAACACACATACATTGACGCGGTAAAACACGAGAGACGCGTATATTTCCGCAGATGCGGAAACATACACACGCATATATGTGTACACACCGAGTGGAGTTTAACACTCTCCAGGATGCATTTTCCGCGTAAAGCCTCGCCGGACGTCGTTCCCGCTTTAGCTGGGGACATTTCGAGTAGGAAGTCTTGCCTTGATGTAAAAAACAACAGTACCACTCCGGAAGGAGTTAGGGGAGAGCCTTTGAGCGGGAAATTTACACCTTCGATTACCCTAGGAATACCTTCGTTCTAGATGTATTTAGAGAGAGAAAGAGAGAGAGAGGGAGTGAGAATGAGGGAGCGAATGACCAAATGTGAGAATGAAAGAGATACTTAGATATTCCCAACTCTTGTATCCGTTAGTTAACGAAAATGCATAGGTAGATACGATATACGTACATTCTACATTGAAGATTTACTAATCTTAACCCCGAGTTTAACCTTTACTCATATAGTGTGATATAACGTTCGATTTGTGTCTATCGATACTTATTAATATTGACTCGCTCTACCCCCCCTCCCGTACCCTCCCCCGTTTAATGTTCTTCGATCGGAGCGTTTTGTCGCTTTTATACGTGAGCTTCGCGCTTCCTTGCAAAAGCTTCTTAGGCACGAAATCCCCTGCCCTTCCATCGCCGGCTCTCTGGGTTTGCTAGCTGACTTTCTACGAGACCGTTTCGACGACACTTCCTCACTGGCACTCGATTCCTGCCCAAACGGTGCCTCGCATAGAAAAATGCTTCAGATGAAAGTTGTTCCCCACGATCTATGCTACAGTTTTTATTCGAAACGTTTTTTTCTGCGGTGTGTCGTTTGGACGGAATGTTTTTTTTTCTTTTTTTTTTTAATTGAGAGCTCGTACCGATCACTCCATCTTTAATGCTTAAATGTATTGTATGGGTTTATAATTCATATTTTATGTGAGAAAAATTGCAAATCTACTATATACTGTGTTAGTTGTCTCTGTGATATTAATTTACAAGGAGTATCTTTGCTTTCTGATAGTTAACATTGAAGTCTCTTACATGATTTCCGTTTCTTCTCAACTGTTTCCTCTAGGAACATAGTAGTATCTTTGTTCGCGAATCTCTGGGCAATTAATGCGTTAACCCCGGTATTTTAGCGCTTTGAATTTTTATTTTCGAATGCACGGGAATTTTCGGAACATTCGTAATGGAATTTTAAAGGTGTACTTGTACTCCAGGAATTTCAAATGTTTGGCGTCACGGTGTCGAATATTACGATTTTCTGTCGTAACCGCACTTCGAATGAAAAATTGTTTGTAATGAAAGTTGTTCGATTCATAACGTGCCGCAGGTTTTGTTCGAAACATATTTCCTTTAGATGCACCGTTTAGGCGGGATTTAACGAAAACTGGGAACACAGTCACGTCACACTACTTCATTTAGCACTGCGGTCATCTTCTTGTATTCACTAACTTAATAAACAACCACAAGCCTAACTTAACCAACAACGAACACCCGAATATATTGTAATAACCTCCAAATTGACGGTAACAAAAGACTGACATCGATTTTTGAAAGTAACGATTCTAACAACAACACCACACCTACAATGTACATTGTTAACAGCAATTCTTATATTTATTATATCGCCGACAGAATTCCGGCTTTCCGAGTCACGTTAAACGCGTCGTTGCAAATCACTTCCTCGAGAAATATTTAATAACACGGAGAATATATTTACGCTGTGCCGGAAGAGCAGAAAGACAAAGCACACGGCAATAAAGAAGAAAATTGTAAAAATAGAACATTGGGTTTTTATCCGAATCGCCAGAATGACGTCCGATTAGTTAACAATATCTACTGGCACAAGGTACATCTCCATTTCTACAATCAGCACGTAAAAATCCAAGTCCACCCTTCCGTTCTTCCTTTATTTCGAAAAAGTACACAGTGCGTACCACCTAAAGGAGATAAGTTCCACCTAAGGTCCATATACAAGTATACAAATAAATATATATGTACACAGCTCGCAAAAGTACTATTTTCCAAATTGGCTCTCTTCCACGACCCAAAAAAGCCGGCCTCCCTCCCTTCCCCTAGCCCCTAACACAATATCATCGCCCCCCTTGACTACAAGTTTTCGAGAGAAAGAGAGAGAGAGAAAAAAAAAAGAAAAGATAGGTAACGTGAACCCAACACGCGAAGTCTAAATTAAACTAAACGAAAACTAAGGTAACCTACGAAGTAAATAACACACACACACAAAAAAAAAAGAAAGAAAGAAAATGCAAGCACTTAAAGAACTACCCCTATCGGAACTCTAAAGAATCACCTAAGGTTTAAGATTATGAATTTATAAAGGTATTTACACTTTAAGGATAAAGAGAGTCTTCTGTGGCAGCATAATAATGCAGAAACTACTAGTTCGACATTTAAACTAACCTTATGTCGGGCGCGCGCCATCTTGGATCGCCGGCCGAGGATCTAGGATCGTTCTTGGATCCTAAATCCAAAGGCTGGGAGATCTCAGCGCTGCCCGACAGTGATGTAACTATTAACATGTAACCCCTTAACGTTATATTTTTCCGGTGGTAGCGTTCGAAAGTTGACGCTAAACGGTTTAATCGTGATAATACAAAAAGACTGAGAGAACCACGGTCACTCGAGCCTGCGAGATTAAAGGGATGCACCCCGTCCCTCTAAACCCTTTCCTCCACCCCTTTCCCGCGTCCTCCAACAAAACGAATATTAAAGGAGAAAAAAAAAAGAAATACTACCATACGAAGTCGACGTACACGAACAATTATTGTAATCGGTTAGCGCGTGCGCGATATAAGGGTTTAGCGTTAATTCGAAGGCTGCGTAGACCACCGGCAGTTTGTGATATATTTAGTGAAACAAATGAAACAAAAAAAAATGGTTGTTATTCAAATTAAATGAAGAAAGCGCCTAGCGGTTTTACATTTACACACGAGTACACTCTACACGATCGTAAGACTACTTATGTGCAGTTTCAACGACTTATGTGCGGATAGCGTGACCTGCTCGAGATCGTCTCCAAGAGACCGCCGAGTTTTCCATAACTCTACTTATGCGTTATTTTTCCCGCGAAGTACCGCTTCGCACTGATTATCCATGTATTTTGCGTGATTTCGTTGTTACACCCTTGAATAATTTGGCGTTTACTATGTGGAGTGCGATATGCGGACGTAAGATGATCCAACATGGCGGCGGCGACAGCGCCGCCTCCACCTCGGATGTTCTAAGTTTAGTAATCGGAGAATCTTGCGATAATTTGGCGATTTTTAACGATAAGTTGACGCAGTGTAAGGTGCCGCAACTTGTTTAGTATCGTGTACAAGTTTTAACGTTCAGATAATGATGTAAACTCGAGTTTTGTTATTCAGTTTAATGGGCCGTGCGGTCTTTTCAAAATGGCGGCCGCGCGTCTCGTGGAGACTTCCTCTGGGCAGACGAGCGAAGCGTTTAGACTACCATTCACCGTTGAAGAAATATACGTATACGTGTGTGCGTTAATAAAAGCATCCATCTTAAATTGTAAACGGTGAAACGAACTCGTATCTTTGATATAAGGGACACGCGTGCAACGTGCGTGCGGCACAGAGAGGGTTTTTATATAATAAAAGTGATAATTCGGAGGTACGTGTCGGACGCCATGTTGCACGATGTTCCCGCGGTTTAGGCTCGTTTTAGTTAATCAAACGTATGTTTTAATCCTCGCACGCACTGGCGAACCTCTTGCCGATTCTAAAGTAACGACCAACGAATAAAGAGACTTTTGTTGCAGACATTTTGGCCTACCAGTCGGTGATTCTGTACTTTCCCTTTGTGTTGGGCCTTTTCTGTTAATACGCACGCGTATGCGCGGCCATCTTGAAGACAATTGCGAGGCCCGAAAGCCCGTTTCGCAGTGAAAAATCGGAATCCGAGGCAAGATTATCATTTTCACCTACTAAAATGCAAACCTTTTACAACAATAGGCAATCCATTACTAATACACGTGAAAGCAAGGTCCCAAAATCATTGGACCTCGCTTTTGTCGTTCAGCATCGTGTTCCCGTTTTGGGTCCATTTTTCATTGTTTAACGAGCCCAGAGATAACCAATAAGACCGGGATTCTCAAATTCCAACGAATAAGGGTTAAAAGATGGCGGCATGTTAGGAAAAGTGGTAACAACGGATTTATATTAAGGAACGAGAGGGAAAGCGAAGGAGAACGAAGATTAATTGATAATACACGGACACACACTCACACGCATACACACACTATATATTGTAATATTATTTTTCGAACTTAGTAATGTAATGTAGAATATATTATATATTATGATATTGTAATAATCATTTCGTATAGCATTAGAGGGAGAAAGGGTGAGAGAAAGAGTGAGAGAAAGAGAGGGAGAGAATGATAAACATCCTTAACATCTTTGAACACCTTTTACCAACAAGTCCAAGAAGCTCCGCGGCGATGAACATGTCTTGAAAAAAAAAAATGGATCCGGTAAAGTGGTCCACCTAAATCTGGAAAGGGGCACAAAAGAACAGACAAAACAAAACAATTAAAAAAAAATCCAGGAAGTTTGAGAATAGACAGCGAATAAATTACTAAAAGTAAAAAATATTAATGGCACATCGATCTCGTTTAATCTACTGAACTGGTGTTTTTCATATCCACTAAGTATGCAAAAATCCATTTAAATGCAGACTCGACAAAACGTAGTTAAAATGATTGTTCGCCGTCCCTTCCCTGTCAATCCTGACAAAATGACATATAAAAAATAAGAGGGACAAAAAGTGGATGTCCGTTCGAAAGAAGGGATGCTGATTGTTATAAAATCAATTTTATTGGAGCCATGAGATTTCTTGAACAAGAAACGTCTGGATTACCCATTGTGCACGTTGCCGCAAAAGAAACTAGCGACAATATAAACATGTTTTTTACCCTGAAGTCAGCTGGGCTCAACAATTGTCCCAGAAGATCTAAATTAGGATTTCCTCAATTAAAGGATCTAATAAAATCCCTCTTAATTTAAACTTTCAGGAGACGTCTCGTATATGGACCCATACTAATTAATGTAATTAATATAATTGCACCGTCCAATTAGTTGCACGATTTTTAAACAATTCTTACGTCGTCCGCTCCGATTAGTTTATCCGATTAGACTCGAAAAAGAGCGCAATTTCTTCTCAAGGAAATCTTCACCGTAGTCGTATGTACATAAATCTTAAAGTATTAAAAAAAAAAAAGAAAAAAGACAATTAGTCTCAGCTAGATAGACTTACTTGAGAGACATTGTCACGATCAGGATAGGAAACTGTTTCCTGATTATTTCTACAGGACGGGTACCGCTGCACATCTCGACATGTATACATATATACACTTATCTAGGCCTTATCAATAATTACACGTTATCGTCGTACCCGGAAATTCCGCAATTTCTTTCTTATATATATATTCCAGGCCACAAATTCCCACGAAACTCGGTACTACGACTCATTTAGCGTTATGGCCCTCTCGAATAGAAAAATAATGACAGTAAAAATGCAACGTTAAGTTTAAATAAACGTAACCCCGTTAAATAAATATCCTCCGCGCACTTTTCCTTCTAAACGAGACTAACTCGATTTAGAGATTGATCTAGACTAGTTATTAAAATTATGCACACGGTGGAAGGCTATGATTTTTCGTCTCGTTTTTTCCCTTCCGATTCTTTCTCAGCTTATCAATAAAATGCATATTAGAATTATGCACTTCTCCATCCTATCTTGAACGTGCCAAAGTATTTTAACGCGCCCTTCTCCGAGTCGTGTAAGTATCGCAATCCCTTATCGTCCCTGCAAATGAATACTTTTAATTGACCATGCTGATTGATAACCACCCGCCGAACCATATCATATCCTGAAATGATATCCTGATTCCTGCCACTGACTTTCAAACCACCAAGTTCAGTCAATTCGAGCTCTTTATCGTGAAACTTGGCCTTATCAACTTCCTCATTGCCTCCAAGGCTCAGTTTCGTCGTACATCCTTTCGATGTTGTCGCGCAGCATTTTCTCTTGATCTGGAATTATAAAAAAGCGGTACAAATGGGGAAATTCGTATAAAAAAAAAGTCTAGTTGATCGTTTAACACTAGGTTTACGGGACCCGTCAATTTGACGGAATTCAAACTCCGAAAAGAAATACCGAAAAAACCATAGCATTAATTTTAACCATTTTTGCATCGTAAATTAATCATTTCATCCAAAGAATTTGTACAGACAATTATTTTTTCCTAAGCCTTCTAATTATTAAAATCTGTATGTGGTATACCTATCTCTACGAAACCCGTCAAATTGACGGACTAGCTAATTTCATAAACAATGCTTCGTTGCAGAGAGTGTAAGGCGAAGATGAGAGTGAAAGTTTGCATTGAAAGTGGAGAGATAGAAGGATCTTCGGATAGTGAAGAGGAAAACTTCTTGAAAGGGTGTCGTAGCAAGAAAAGGATGCGCATTCTTTCTATTTCCGACTCCGAGGATGAGAGGACGAGCATTCCAATAATTTCCGTAACAATTTTTAAAAAAGGACTTTTTACATATTAATAATTCATTTAAACGTAAAGCCTAGTGTCGTTTAATTCAGACTTAATTTGAATAAACGGATTTTTTAAAGAAAATCCGTGTTTTTGTTTACCCGTCAATTTGACGGGTGCTCGTAGAAACAGGTACATATAAAACGCCCGTAAAAAAAGTGTTAAAGGAAATCAATTTGAAATTCATTACCTATTGTTAAATTTGCAATCTCGCACTGCTTCCTCAGGAACTCCAGGCAAAGTGCTCTCGACAGACCGAAAGCATGCATGTTGCAAGTGAAGGTTCTGAAACGTGTAAATAAAAAAAAGATACATTACCAATAAATCTTATATCTTCGTAGTGGAAAGAATTTCCATTTATGGTAAAACATAATTCCTTTTGCCCACCCAAGTTGGCCAAACACTATGTTGGCCTGGAACTTCCTGTCATCGGCAGCAACGGCCTCTCTATCCAAAGATTTAGATCTCCTAGGAACTGGTCTAGTCGCCCTTTCGCATTGAACGGCGTCAAAAAACGCAGCCGTCCAAAAACGCATCGACGTCCATATAGGTTGCACGCGTAAATGCGTGTACAAATACTCACGATAAGGCTCCAATCCTGGAACTTCGACTGAAATGCAAAAATCGACGATTAATTCCTAGTCCGGAATACAGAGGGCGCAGACTGCTGGTACTAGTCCAACTAGGATCGAATTTACTTATTTTACTAGCAATATGATTAATCGGCCCATTGTATACGTACCTTCGTGGTAAAATGTGAAGCACATGTTCATTAGACTTTTCGCCGGTGCAAAATCATCGGCTTCGTGGCACTCAAAAAGGGCGACAGCAAAATGCTGTGCCAGGGAGTAAAAAGAGGCTTCCGATACGCATGCGTGTGCTCTTCTTGCGTTCACCACCCTGGAGAACCATACTCTGCCGGACTCCGTCTGCAAAATTTGGAATATCGCTTAAGATGATGTGAAACACGTCGAGGAACTTGATCGACGTCGGTAAAGAAGATTTTTCTAAATGCCTACGTGGCCGAGTTTGGTTTTTACATCATAGGTTCGCTAATTACAACGCAAAAAGAGACTTAAATCGGACAATTTTCCTCGATTCTTTGTACGCACAAGCACCATTTGGCCGAAACTCGCTTTTTGCTCCTGTTCCACGGAATCTGGAGCTTCGAACAACAGAGGAACAAAGGTCTTCATAAATTCGGCAGCAGCTTCCTCGGATTGACTGTCGGCTGATAAACTGGAAGCCCAAGATTGGACCGAACTAGACGAGCCTGCGAAACGAAAAAAAATCGATTAGAAATTATATATTTACATTTCGTGTTTCAATTGTTATTGAACAATGCGTTGGAAAGTTCTTATATATATGTCACACTTTCATATCACCTTAAGCGTCACGTGACCGTCGGGAAATGTTTCCTGGCCATCGCGCGACGCGAACGTTTCTCTCCGATATATCGATATATCTTTAGAAATAAAATGAAATAAAATTCCTTGAATAAACTGGAATTAGGATGAACCTAGATTATGTTCACCTGATCTCTGCCATACCCTACGGCAATCCATATTGGACTCCAAACTCGTACTTGGTCCGACGCCGTCCTGGTCACTAGTGGATTCACTGCTGCACGGTATGTCTTAAAAACAAGAACAAGCAATAAATTTTCATCCTTTGGACGGCAAAGGTCCGAATAAAGAATCCCCGTCCGAGGGAAATAAAACTTGCTATATTATATTACTTTCTATTACACAATGGATAAGTCACTACCAGGAAACACTGCGGCTTTATTGTTTATCGCGGTTACTCTGGCTCTTTAGTTTTTTTTCGCTACTGTCCCAACTGGCGAAATGGGGTCAGAATTAACATAGTGCTCGTTACGTCGGGTAATCAACGTTTGACGGTAAATAATTTACTATCTACATGTAGACCTTGGCGACTCCTAACGACGAAATGTTAGCCCTCCGCAACGCCACGTGGTTCTGCCACCACGTGACTTTGACGTTTCTCAAGCCTGATTTTATTATCCCTTTGTATATTCGCCAGGTCATTATGTCCCATTTTAATGATCGAATCGAGACACGAGGAGTGACGAAGGGATTAAAAGCTAGAGTTTACCTATTTTGAAATTTAATTTCTCATAGGGATCTGGACCGGTGGCTTTGATGTCCTTTTCTTGGAGAGGCTCTATACTTTCTGGACTATCTTGGTCGCTTACTTCTTCTTCTTTCCTCGGCTCCTTCTTCGGCGTTGATCTGGAAGAGGTGATCTCCTCGTAGGACATGCCAGGATAATTTTTCAATGCTCTGGTCAATTTTGCATTATTCGCCTGTCGCTCAATTTTACAACGGGCGATCGCCTGGTAATCCTCGTACGACAGGCCAGCTCCAAATCTGAAATTATAAATTGCAACGAATTACTTATTAATTATAACCCCTTCCATCGTTTATACCAGAAGAGGAATTTATGCAGTACTAATATCCGCTAGTATTTAATACGTGGAAATAAAGCAGATTTTCATTTCCTTAAGGCCTTATCTTCGTTAATTAAATTCCGTAATTTAAAGAGAACAATAATATAATAATGTATACGACTGTATGAGTATATATGAGTAGAAGAGTATGTTCTCTAGTCGGATCTATCCACGCAGATGGGAATATAGAATCTCTTATCTAAAGTGGCTCTTACCTCGGAAGTCGGAGCTTTCGTCGGCCAATTTCCTGCTCCTTCGAGGCCTGAATGGTCGGATGTGGAGGAGAAGGCGGCGAGGAGGGTGTCGTGGTTATTTCGCTCTCCTCCAAACTGCTGCTGAGAGCTGATCCTATTCGGTTCCCCAGGCCCTGAAGGTATTCCCCTCCTCCCCCAAGGGCGGACTTCATGGATTTAAGGGCACCCTTGGTGCGACCCATTAGGGAGATCCCATTGGTGGAGGGCAGGGCTGTCGTTACGTCCACCATCTTCTGCAAGACAATACACGTCGTTATGTCGCCAATTGCCGAGTATCGAAAGAAAAGGCACGCATTGATCATGAAAATCATTTTTAAACATGATCTCGACTTTGTAGAGTCTCAAATACATGTCATGATAACACACAAGTGTTTGTTATTATCTCGCCAATTGCCAAGTATAGAAAAAAAAGGCACACATTGATAATGAAAATCATTTTTAAACATGATCTCGACTTTGTAGAGCCTCAAATACATGTCATGATAACACAGGAAACTCTGTTATTATCTCGCCAATTGCCAAGTATAGAAAGAAAAGGCACCCATTGATAATGAAAATCATTTTTAAACGTGATCTCGACTTTGTAGAGTCTCAAATACATGTCATGATAACACAGGAAACTCTGTTATTATCTCGCCAATTGCCAAGTATAGAAAGAAAAGGCACACATTGATAATGAAAATCATTTTTAAACATGATCTCGACTTTGTATGGTCCCGAATACATGTCATGATAACATTTGTAGACATTTAACATTAATAGAATTTGAAATGACGTGAATTCACGTCAGCGGCCCCAGGAATAGGAATTGAAAAGACGTAAATTCATGCTCAGTGACCACCAGGAATAGAATTTAAAATGAAGTGAATTCACGCTCAGCGGCAACCAGAAATAGGAATTGAAAAGACGTGAATTCACGTCAGCGGCAACCAGGAATGGAATTTGAAAATGACGTGAATTCACGTCAGCGGCAATCAGGAACAGAATTTGAAAAGACGTGAATTCACGTCAGCGGCAACCAGGAATAGAATTTGAAAATGACGTGAATTCACGTCAGCGGCAACCAGAAATAGAATTTTAAAATGACGTGAATTCACGTCAGCGGCAACCAGGAATAGAATTTGAAATGACGTGAATTCACGTCAGCGGCAATCGGGAATAGAATTTAAAAATGACGTGAATTCACGTCAGCGGCAACCAGGAATAGGAATTGAAAGGACGTGAATTCACGTCAGCGGTCGCAAATGTGCTAATAAATCGTCCGTCTGGCCAATTCGCGTATCAAGGCTTCAAACGACTTCGTGTAATAACTTTGAAAAATCCCATAAAACTAATTGGAGTAGCCTTCAACTTCCCACGCAACCTGACACGAGATATCTATCTACGAAGTCGTTAATAGGAAACCGATCACGACGTTACAGTAGTCCTTGATAAGAAGCCAAATTTGCCGCAGCGCGTGTCGGCCATTGCGAATCGACATCGACAAACTCCAGACTGTTTATAAAGCAATACTGAAATTTTGCATCCACACCGAGAAAGAAATTAAAAGAACGAAACTGTTTGCGGATTAATTTCACGTAGTCGAGTCCCAACCCTCCATAATGATACCTTAAGGGAAAAAAAACAACGACATAAATTCTTTTTAACTCAAGACTCGCCGAAAATCATTGAATCGTTTCGTTCGCCTTTTCCTGATTTTTCGCAATTACCTCGAACATTTATGCACATATATATTTCTTCAGGTATCTGAAAATAATGTAATAACAACATTTTGGCGGGTTTCTGAAAATAACGCAATAACGATATTTTGGCGGGTTTCTGAAAGTAATGTAATAACATTTTGCGGGTTTCTGAAAATAATGTGACGGCAATATTTTCCGAGTTTCTGAAATATCCGGGAATTCGAAAAGCAGAGAAATGAAATATTTCCACTGGCGGCGCACCTGTACAAATTCCCGATCGATTGTTAAATTACCCTGTTCACCCAGAGACGCGTAATTCCGTAATTTCCTGTTCCCTCCAAAGTGCAGCTATGCATCTCGCAATAGTGCAAGCTCTGTTGTAACAATCGCCGAACATGAACACCGGCTGTAATCGAAATTAAAGGAGAACGTGGGAAATGCCTTTCGCTTCTGAAAAATACGCAATATGTATATACATTTCCTTAAGGGGATGTAAAAGTGGCATCCAAGGGGTCAATCATGAAACTCCTTTCCGCCCTGAATACACGGAATATCGTTTTATTAAACATACAAAGAGATGAGCCCAAACACCGAAAAGCCGACCAAGAAGAGGACAACCACTTGTTCCGCCACGTAAGAAAGAATTTTCTATTCTTATCAGAAAGAAAGAATTCCTCCCAAATGATAAATACTCAACCGATCGACCACACAGCAAAAGACAACAACTCGCAATATGAATACATATATTTCCTTAACACTATTTCTACCAAAGGTATCAAATGACACCAACTCAACCGATCGACCACACAGCAAAAGACAACAACTCGCAATATGAATACATATATTTCCTTAACACTATTTCTACCAAAGGTATCAAATGACACCGTTTAAAATTTTAACTGGAAATTATTTTCAAAGTTTAATAATTTATTCTCAATTAATGCTTTGAGTTTTCGTATAATAATTGTTAAATTTATTTAGCGGTATCATTTTCCTCCAGCTCATCAGAACCTTTTGGTCGAAATAGGTATACACAAAATAGTGTTAAGGGGATGCAATACGCAATATGTAAATATATTTCCTTAAGGGGATGTAAAAGTGGCATCCAAGGGGTCAATCATGAAACTCCTTTCCGCCCTGAATACACGGAATATCGTTTTATTAAACATTACAAAGAGATGAGCCGAAACACATCGAAAAGCCGACCAAGAAGAGGACAACCACTTGTTCCGCCACGTAAGAAAGAATTTTCTATTCTTATCAGAAAGAAAGAATTCCTCCCAAACGATAAATACTCAACCGACCGACGACACAGCAGAAGACAACAACTCATCCCTGGAGTTCCAAGACCTGGATTCGAGTACAGTATCAAAATAACCATACGCTACCAACTCTACCGCATTGCGGGTCGACATACGGCCGCAGGACTCCTCGCAGACACGAGCCAAAAAAGAAAAAAAGGAAATATGAAAGCTCATAAAACTTCCAACCGCAAGAAAAGTGCCCTCCACCCTACGACCTGGACAGAGGCAAACGTATTAACGAGTTTGCAGCTCGAATGGTGTTGCGCCATGAAGAGGACCTTCCGTCAACCTAAACCACCTGCTCGAAGACTAAGCGCAGATATAACATCGTTGTGAAGTGGAAACCAAAGAAAAGAACCAAAAGAAAAAAGAGAAAAAAACTCCTCCCTTGCTGTAATTGCGTCCGTTGATTGAAATGACGTTGGGATGACCGCAGCGATCGTACTCGACAATGTCGAAGATGAACGGTGAGTGTTGTTTGTTATAGTCTCAGGTGTAGTGCTTTAGACTGCGTACCGTGCCCCGAAGAAGCCACGTCGAAGGGGATATCGATGGAAGAAGCCGGCTTTGGAGGAGAAATAACGTGCGTGGCTGGGCACGCACGTGTCTAGAAACGGGAACGGCCTTTACACTCGGGACTCGTCCACTACCGCAAGCCGCAGTTCGTAACTGCACGCGTGTCGGCCTGTCCTTTTCCGCTGCCGTCCAGTCGGCGCATAATCGCTCCCCCTTCGCGCAAGCGCCGTCCGCGATCAATACAACGTGTATACAAACGACTTGTATTCGCGGAGAGGGATACCAGCGGGCCGGCAATCTGTGGAACGTGGCCCGATAGACGGTTCGAATCCGGGGAATGGTTTGAGTCCGGGCGATTTCCCGACTTAGTCAACTCGAACGCTCAGAGATGGCGACACCGTCGCCTCGCGAGGAGGTAAAAACAGAGATGAGTTGGGAAATTGCCTACGGACAGAGTCGCGCGATCGCATCCTATGCTACCCTCTGGTTTGTGGGCTTCTGGCAACACTGCCTGCCTCCAAAGAATATAGATGCTGCCTCGTAACAAAGAATTCAGAAGTCCCATAGAAGCCCAGATCCTATGTTAGCGCTTGATGCTCTAAAAGTTGGCTAACAAACCAGAAGTGGGGGTAAAAAAGAGATCGCACGTGTTAGCCAACGATATCTCACGTACGGGAGGAAGAGAGACGCATATAGAAAGGCGAGTATTGGGTGTAAGATAAAGAAAGAATGCAATCGCTATATATCGCCATAAGGTTATGAGAGATGGAGAGATGATTACAGTGCCGCCATCCGTTGGCTAACGTACTATTTATCGAGCATCGAACGTCCGTATCCTTCTGGGCTTCTATGGAGACTTCTGAATTCTTTGCTCGTAATCTCGCCTAACCTCGAAATTTCAGCGCAGCGGGAATTGTCAACAGGTTGGAGCGAAGATCTAACATGTTTAGCGAGATTATACACGAATGAAGTTGAATTTCCTTTCAAGAAGCGCTCGTGGGGCGCAGATGGTATTTAACAGGCCAGTCAGTTTGACAGCACTAGCGATGGCCAAGAGCAAATACGAATATGTTAAGGAATTCGAGCACGAAGACAATTGCTTGCCGAATTGCTGGATCGTGGTTAGAATCGACGGTAGGAACTTCTCTAGGTTTTCGGAAGTCCATCAATTTGCTAAGCCTAACGATGTCGCGGCGTTGGAATTAATGAATCGAGCAGGGATCACCGTTATGGAAGATTTCAGGGAAATTGTCATAGCGTACGGACAGAGCGACGAGTACTCCTTCGTCTTTAGAAAAGACACTCGACTATTTAAACGTAGAGGTAAGCTTCGACGTATCCATCAACTTGGCTTTTACACATAACAAAAGGAAAACTATGCGAACGTTTAATAGATTCGTACAGAAAGCATAATTACGTGGATCATTTAATGTCAATACTGGGTTTCGATGTTTCAGCCTCAAAACTCATGTCGAATGTCAACTCCTTGTTCGCATCCGCATATGTGTATTATTGGCCACAGATTTGCAGAGGCAGGGAACTTCAGTATCCTCCTTCGTTCGATGCTCGAGTAGTTCTGTACCCTACCGACAAGAATTTAAGAGATTATTTAGCCTGGCGACAAGCTGATGCTCATGTCAATAATTTATACAATACTTGTTTTTGGAGCTTGGTGTTGAAGAAGAACATGACTCCTGCTCAGGTTGTTATTAACGATAGTGTCGTTCTAAGGAAAACTGCAGTTGTAAATTATATGATTTAAATTGCAATCTTTTCTTAAGATTGTATTAAAAAATGAGTCAACGAGATATACATAATTTATAAATTTACAGGCGGAAGAAAAGTTGCGAGGCACGCTAGCATCGGACAAGAATGAACTGCTCTTCCAAGAATTTGGAGTCAATTATAACAACGAGCCTCCAACGTTTCGGAAGGGTACGACGTTGTTGCGAAAGCTCGTTCCTGACGGGACAGGACGACTGAGAACGTTAGTAGTGCCTTTAGTGGACGATATAATCGGGGATCGGTTCTGGAAAGAGAACCCAGAGGTGATCGGGCTGAAAAGTTTGGGCACTTATCAGCCCCCTCCGAATACAACCGTGCCATCGCAAAGTGTGGTTCCACTGTCGATACCTCCATCGCTAGCTATTATTTCCCAAACGAAAGACCTTCCTCTCGTACCTAATCGTCAGAATTCAGTGATCGACGAGAAACCTGCAGAAAGACTCCATGAAACAGACTCTGGTACGATACAGTGTGATCGATCTAACACTCTACGAATTCGCAGGACGTAATGTTTATTATTTTTACCTACTCTAAGAGAATAGTGTTTAGAAACCGAATATATGACTTTTCAGTGTATCGTGGAAGACGGTATGACAGAAGATTTTTTTGAGAATGCGCAGGAAGAAAGACTTTTTATACACTAGCTGAAGCGACGGTACTTTAGCTTTCCACTTGTGATGCCTAAGTTAACGTAATATATTTTTTTTTTTTAGTCTATATGAATTATGGGTACTACGTACTATGCACTCGATACATGGATTATTATCAATGAACAGTAATTCTTATCATTAGGTTGTATTAAACATATCGTACAGTGTATCATGATCGGAAGAATAATTTTCAATTGTATGCTATTGCGAAAATATCTCCCTTTGTTTTTGTTTTTAATTAAATGGTATCTGGACTAAAGAAATCCTTTCACTGATTTGTCTAACAGCTTTTAAACTTCTTTTGTATTGGAGATACTCGTACTCCGATTACTTGACGTGGAATGCTTTACAACTTTATTACGTTTATACAGTTTACAGTTATTAAATTACAGTTACACCGTGGGATAATACTATGTATGACAGTGTTTAACACACCGATGAATACAATAAAATACACTATATACACAGATTTTTATTCTACGCAACGGATTGCATGTCATTGCTGTGTGCACAATTGTGCATACAACCCTCGAAAAGAAGGATGGTACCGGAATTTAGCAAATAGCACAGGAAAGTAGAACTCGCGATTGCACTAATTCGAACACAAGTACAATGCTCCAGTTAAAAGGAACAAAAACAAAAAATCCCTCCGATCACATTCGAAACAGGAGGAACGATCGCGACTCTCTGTTACTCTGCGATTAATTACTATAAGGGATTTTCAACGTTATGTTACAATATTAAAAACTCCTTGGAATAATTTCTTTATGCATTTTATCAATGTCTCGCTGCTATATCCCATTACCCCCCGACAAGAGAGGACATTTTTTTTCAATTTGTTAAGGTACTGTTAACCAGGATTGATGAAAATCATGATTTTTCTGTTTTAAGTCATTTGAAACATGTCACTTTGACCCGTCTTGGTAGTTCTAGTGTTAGATGATTTAAATCACCCTGGACCGATCATTGTAGAGGACATCGAAAGAAACGTTCTTCGCATGAATAGTGCCTATTTGTGTATATATATCAAAACGAATCTTAACAATGATTAAGGTACTTTGCATAGAACTTACTTTTAGGGACAGGGCATAGCATCCGATGTGAAATCATTCTCTGCGTATTCAACTTCGCACTCCCAACAACGAAGTGACTCGAACCGATAACTATTGATGAGCTTAACTGAGAAATGCAATTAAAATATGGGTATGTAGTTGTCGATTTTGGCTCGATGTTTCTGAGCTACGCACTCGGCGATCCAGACGATGTTCCTGCACTCTTGTTCTTTCAGTTTCAAGTAACTGTAGAACACACCGAAGTGGAATTGCTGCAGGAAAGCGTGCACGTTCAAACGCACCTGGAAAATTTAGAACGTTTAGTTTAGATCCTGCAATTTGCATTTCATACTCCACATCGTGAGATATTTCTATCCAAGTTCACCTCGTACTCGAAGAACTTGTCTTCCAGAGTTTTGTCGCCAGGGTTATTGCCAGCTCCCTCGAACAGAGCCCTGTATTCCTGTAAAGTTGAATACATCGAGTCATTGTTAATTCGAATGTTTAATTAAATTTTACCTGATGCACCGGGAAGCGAGTTGCCACATAAATGATTCTCACGACAACCCAGAGTTTGGACATGTAGAAATTTTAGATTCGGTTGGAGCTCCGACGAGACGACAAAATTAATGAATACATATATTACGTACCGCATAATATTCAGCAATAGCTTTAACTTGTTCGTAGTCATCGGCCCGGGCTAATGCTGCCAGACCATCGGGGTTCAATCGACCACACCGAGGGTACAATTTAGCACGATCATCTTTGCCCAATTCCGTTCCAAACGAATTAATAGTTATGATGATTGCACGTCTATCGGCCTCAAACTATAAGCGAAGAAAAATATCGACGTTTTTAAACTGTTTTCCCCTCATAAAGGATATTTTTCAATTCTATTAAGGTTACAACAAAAGTGCTTATACCGAAAGCGAATGCAAAAGTTCAAACTAGATGGAGAATTTTCAGATACGGTGGAACCAAAACCAGATATTTGTTATAATCCTAAATTCTACCCTGATTAACTCGATGACATCACTTACGGCAAGGATCTCGCACATTGTGTTAGCAGTTGTGCCACCGATCTTCTTACAGAATTTGTAAAAAGCCTCCAAATAAGCTTTGTACAAAGTGTTCCTTATTATCTCAATGTTCATCTCATCCAAGTCCTGCTCGGAGATGCAATCTACAAAGAAAGGCGCTGAAAATGAAAAAAAAAGAAAAATGTTAAATTGCATACCAAAGCTCATATTTCATGTTACAATTGAATGAAGTCAGAAGTACCCAAAGGAGTGTCTACGAGCACTGCATTATAGAGTTCAGCAGGAGTCGCTGCAACGTGAATAGCCTCCATCTGTTCAAAACTGCCCAGTGGATGACACTTGGGAATTAGCTCCGAGATGGGCCTTTGGTGAAGCGTTCCCGTGATGAGTAGAATAATGTTATCGATCATGTAGCTATAAGTTATGAAGTCAAGGAACTGTGACAGTGGCTCGACGGAGTGATTGCGCATATGCTGAAACTCTACGACAAGTTTTTCCCTGAGCTTGTCATCGATGACACTGACAGAAAGAGGCGACGGCTCGTTGGCCAGAAAGCTTCCATAGTCGGTGCCAGCCAAATGAAGCTTCAAGTCTATGGAGAGGTTAGATCAAATTATAGTTAAGTGCACGTTTAACAAGTACACGGTATGACAATAATTTACCTTCGAGGGTTTCGCACTGCACCAAATTCAGGTAATCGCTCTGCTGGAGAATTCCACACTTAAAACCGCGACAGAGCCCTTCCAGGTAACCACCGTCGATGTTAAAAAGGCAGCCCTTCATCTTGGTTTCTGTCTATCGGTTCTTTTCGTGTCTACGTAGAATAGGTGCGCCCCTCAAAACCCTTAAAGAACCGTCAAAATTAACCAAAATTGATACAAGAGAGCCTCACAGTACCACGGACTCGCCCTCTTTCCCACTCCCTTCCTTGAGTCGATCATATGACTGACTACAGTGAAGTCCGTGTCGAATCTCCACAGCCAAGGTGTAAAGAAAGAAGGTAAGATGATCCTCGGACGGTAAAATCACGAACTACTACACGCTTCAGGTTGGTTTGCGAATGCAGCGCCCTCATTGCGATTATTCCACCAACACTAACCTCGAAATACAAAAGCAGTCGATAAAAAGGAATGCAATGAAAAATACGTAAAACCTATTTAAAAGATTTAAAGTGAATTGAAACCTTTAAATCAGTCGATTCGAACGCTTTTTTTTTTAAGGTTATTGGGCCTAACGTTCTGAAACTTTGACACGCGACTCGTGAGCACCCAAGAATTATTCTGACACTTTCCTTTAAACAGTCATTATTACATCCTTTTTTCAAGGATATAATGTAACATTTATACAATCTGCACACTTGATTTCTTTAATATAAACTAAAGTAAAGAGTGAATTTCTGGAAAAAGGTTATGCGTTTGTTAAAACTTTTAGAATTTATTCAGGATACTTCCCTATAATTATGATTATGTTAAATAGGGAGGAAACGTGAGTCTCACGGGTTCGTGATATACAGGTGAAATTTAATAATATTTTAGAATTTAACATATTCCGTTCTACGTGACTAGATTATAAAAAGCAATTGAAAGATTCGAGTTTAACAATGTTAAATATTATGCATCACAAATAGTGTATAGAAATATCTTAGTAGAATCCCATGGCATGGCTACGGCTCATCATAATTCCGCTCCTCGTAACAACGTATCGATCGCTTATTTATGTTAAGGTCCTTAAAAATGATTTCTAATACGTCTCAGGACACGAATTCGATTCATATAATATTAAACGAGCAAAGGGTCACGCAACACCATACACACTATACCTAATTTCATAATCCTTTAGAACCACTTAAAAAATCTAAAACTTAATACCTCTAATTGTAAGGTTCTACGCTCTCAATTTAGGACCTTGTACTAAATAAGCGAACCGACTGTGAATGCACCTCCGTAACGCTCAATTAACCTTCCACGATAACAATTTAGCTCTGCATTCCAAACAAATTTAGAAAGACTGACTAATTGGGCTCGTTCCTGAAGGTAGAATTTTATAAAGAATATCGACGATTAATTTCCTCCATTTGTAGTATGATACAATACAATCTGCCTAACAGATATTTGGTCAACGTCATCTAAATGCAATCTTTAAATGCAGTTCTCTTATTAAATATATATAATATGTATATATGTCGCAGCGCACTTGTCATCGCCACGTTCCAACACGCACGTGCACGTACACCCAACAGACACAATTTGCACCTACTCTTTGCAACAAACTTATACACTGCTTCGCACTACAGTCCACGGTACCAATAAATACATAGATTTGTGACTAATAAGCCCTCGATATAGATCGACTTTTGCTGTGATTGCATATGCCCCTACCAAACAAAACTGTACAATAAAAGTTAAGTTGAGTCCAGTCGAATCGGGTGACATAGGCCACGTGGAAGTGTCGAACACTCCATTGACTCGAGCGACATAATTAACATTAAACAACTAAATCCTTTAAATTGTAACTTGTGCAGCTCGGCGAATGGTTAATCAACCCTTAAAGAATATACTCTATGAATCCATTGACAATAATTCTATGACGAAGAGACAATCCTATACCATGCATCCACCATATGCCTGGCGGCAGTATTTTCATTGACACAAATGTAACTGAGACGCATGGATACAAAAGTAGGCTAAAGTTATTCTTGCGAATCCGTAAATTTTCGGCCACTCAATTGGAAGACAAAGTAGCGTAATAAAATTCAAATTGAATACACAAACGCTGACGAAATGTAATTTCACGTTAATATCTGCGTTTATAGAGTCAATAAGCCTTTTTCAGGTTAGATGCACGCGCAACTGTCTCGGGAGCTAAAGTGAGATTAGCTCCTAACCTGTACACTAAGTTGTACGCTTACACAAAACTCGTTACAAGAATATATGTATATATATATGTATGTATGTATATATACTATATATAACTACCCACGAGATTTACTTGATACTAATTGTGAGCATTTCAGACGAATTTCCACGCTTAGAATCGTACTTCCATCGATCGCCACAGTGTGTTAATCTAGGTGAAGCTAGAGCTAGCAACTTGTTCGCACTACACTACACGCAATAAGGAATAAAGCACTGTGAGAGACGTATTATTGCACGACGATGTTTCCCTAGATTTTGCAATTTTAAACAAAGTAATTAGCCACATGCCATTTCGTATCGGGCTTCAAACTCGAGTTTACATCTGTCCAAAAGTATACATATTGGGCCAGTCTTCCCATAAGCAGTTTTGGGTGACGAGATTAATTAGAAAAATAATACCTGCAAAGTGTAATCAAGTATAGTCAAGTAGTAAGAGAGGCATTAAAGCTCGTTTGCAAATATAACGATTCGAGTACGTACGCTGAACGTATTCTGAGACTGAGTGTTATCGTATTATGCTTTGCATGGTACTATAAATGACCTCAAGAAATTGTTCCTAGCCATTTCCTGAAATATCCACTATTTGTTGATTCATTAAAACCAGGAGTAAAGCATTCACGTAAGGGAAGTATCTTTCATTACACTTAATGGAATCTTAGTGTACGAGAAAGTGATCGATTACCTAATTGACAATTGGTATTGCTTTTAATACGACGACCTGTTATCATCGTTAATCACAACCGGAGATAGAAAAACACGAAAAGGCACGATATGATTACTAATTACGGTAGTGAACATTTAACATTTAACGTTGACTTGGGAAAACTGGCCTCAACAGCAGTGGCTAAATTGCAGAATTGAATGTCCTTTGGAACACCACGATACTGTTCGCTAACCCATTCACTGGCAAACTGTCAATCAAATGTGACAACTTGTACGGTACAATGATCAATGAGCAAATCTTCAAGTTTTCTGCATCTGCAAGTTGAAGAACCTTATACTTCATATATTGTACACATTGAATGTATAACCAAGCAGAAAAATTCTTTAATGATATATGTAATAAAATGCATGCATCATTAAAATATCTCGAAAAATATGTGTTTCTTTTTTGTACTTTGAATGAGTTTATTTCTTCCAATATTCCAATTAATAAAATAATATATTAAACTTCGAGATAACATTCAAGTAAAAAAATCCCACGACTGTTTCGATGTCATCGTAGAAGTTATAGCTTTTCCCTCTGCAGATACACAGAACTCAAGGACGATCCAGTGAAAGGGTTAATAAAGTTTCTAGGCTAAAGTGCAATAAAACATGCCAACTGCGAATTGCACATCAGCAGCCTACCGTAGTAACACTAATATAATAGTAATATTAACGTCATATTTCATTAACTTTAACAGACCGACAAGAACGAATATCGAGTATCACTTTTCAATAGTTCTGCGAGAACGTATGCGTAAGTACACAGTAATATTTAAGTTGGCAATTATTAAAGAGTTGAATGAAGATTATTCTTACATCCGATCCCGTACGGCAAGCATTACTCTACAGAGTAGAAAAATTCCATTGACAAATCCCATTGTTACTGCAGATGTCAAATGATGAGGGCAAAACAAAATTAGGAACATAAATTAACAGCTGCCTCTTGTTTGCGAAGGCATTTTCATGCTTCAGCCAATAGTCTTACATAATAACGCATAAATCAATTTTGAGATTAACAGGCAAAATCTATTCTCGGAAGAATTTCCAGCCTGCATAGCTTGAATCACACCCATACACATTCATCAACAAAGCGAAACACTAACAAGGACAGTTTTTTTCACCGTCTAGGACGTTACAAAGTAAAATTAAAACTATAAAATCAACATAGGTTAAATCTATCGGCACATCTATAGTAATAGCTCAGGATGCCTCAATTCCTGCTATGATTATTTAAAACTAGAATTTCACATCAACTCTTCAATTACCGTGCAACTTGATACTGCATGCTACAGCCGGTTGATAAAAGTATGCTCCTACATTTTTCCCCGTAAGGAGCGAGTAATAATATTTCATTAAGTATTAATTCTTGCAGGCTCGAGGACCACCATGCAAAAGCATCGGTGCTCAACACTGCCGAAACACACCTCTACGATTTGATAACGGTTTAACACAGATTTGTTTATTCGTTTCGTTTACTTGATTTCTTATCGAATCGCAGCAATGACTTCAGGAAAACTTAATGCCGCGCTAAAGCGCCCCGAGAAAAACGAGCAACATACGATAACAATTTCCCCATCGATTATCGAGTCCTTAGACATTCCAATCGGTTCGCCTCTAACACGGTAAAACTAACCTCAATCTCGAAAACGCTTTGAGACTCGATGCAAAGCAATTATGGGCAAACAAACTGGCAAAGCCCGCTCCATATTTGGTATACATGTACAAAATTAAGTGAAAAATTAACACTGAAACATAGAATATAAGAAATGTAATAGTAATAAATAACTACGATTTGCAGGTTTGATCTATGCGTCCACAGTCGGAACAAGCACTAAGCAAGACGCTAATGGCACAGGAGTTCTGCGAACATCCTCGAATCAAGTATAAAATGCCGTATTTAGTGACTATGCGATGAAACAATTCACTATATACCAAGTGACTAAGAATCCCAAGCATAACGCGTAAACGAAGCAACAAAATCACGACGAGATTTTGATTCTTCAATTAAATCATTTCAAATGAAGGTAAGACGGTCTCGGACCTCATGAAATGGTTCCAAGGAATATTGCTTCGAAGCATAGATTATAGGTTATGATTTGACACCTGTATCAATTCAAAGAAGGTTATATTTCAATTACTCATTTAGAAACAAGAAAGACTATTTCAGAGTGTAATTCCATTCAAATGGAACATTTTTTTCCTCACTAATAGATCTGGGTTTAATATTTACGTACAGGTTTAGACAATTTCATGTACTAACGTCGAAAAATAGTAGGAAATTTAGATATCAATAATCCCCCCCTTTAATGGAATAAGTGAATCTCAAAATAAATTGAAATTCCATTTGATTTAACAAAATAATTTAACCATTTGTATTTTTAACACTCCTTAGAACTATATCAAAGTCACAGCATGAGCCGTCTCTTTGCTTCCCTTTATTTAGCATAGACCGTAATTTACAAACAACGCTCCTAAACCCCAGGGAAAATCCTGTAAAAATATACAATTTCCAACCATATTCTTTTAACAAACGCATCGCAATATAATAATCTCCGAATACCGAGATCCAGTCGCCGTTGCCGGAATCCATTTAACAAAGAACAAGAGCTTTCGTTGAGCGCGAGAAATAATGTCCCCTCTCCTTCTCTCCGTAGAAACATTTCATAAATGTGAGTAACTACCGTGAAAACGGGTAAAAGCGTGTCCTAGAAAGGATTAATATCCTCGGTACATCTTTCCAATTGCAGCAAGGTGCGCATAGAATGAACAAATTAATAAATAAATCGTAAACAAATATGTATACATGGATGCATTTATTTAACCAGAGAGAGTATTCATTTAACGATCCGCTTTACCCCTTTTTACGGCAAAGAAAGTCCCTCCCTTCGCACAGGTAAAAGTATGCAACAGGAGATTCTCAACAGAAAGCATATATGACTTTGCGCCTTTCAGATTATCAGGAAAAGCGTAGGCATATAATTCCATTACTGTTATCATGGATCAATGATTACCGAGAGGATTTGAGACGAAAGAAAAATCTCGAGGACCGTTCCCAGAGCATGAAGAACCGTCTCTCGACTTGTATAAAATGCCACCAGGTTCGCAGGCTCCGTTCATTTACCTGATTGGGATCCAGGGTGGACCCTTCGGTGGGAATTTAGCTGTACCCGAATTGCACCTTGCGGCACTGGCAGAGCCATTTAATGATCCTGGCGTTCCTCTCGACTATGCTGGGTGGGTCGCCGACCCTTTGGTTGCAGTCGTCGTTGCCCATCCCGACGCTGCAGTTATTGTTCTGCCACTGATTGCTCGGGTTGCTCTGATTGTTCCAGGAGTAGAGGCCCAGGGCGGAGTCGACCGAGCTGACGCTGTCGAAGAACACCGGGGAGGAGCACTTAGAGTTTGCCTCGGTGATCATCTGGTAGTTGTCCGAGTCGAGGCCGAGGTGGTCGAAAAAGTTCTCCAGCTGGGTGACCGACCTCGGAGGAGGTCGGGCTTGGACCCCGTTTGCGCGTCCATTGTCGTGTCGCCAATATCGGTCGCTGATATCGGACTTGGACCGAAGGATCGGCCTGCCTCGACCTTCTTTCCAGCCGTCGGAGAACCTGACGTTGAGAGCAAATCACATACATAAAAGATTGCCGGTTATCAGAGAAATTAGATCTCCACTCTTCGACTTCAACAATTTCACTTCCATCTCTTTATAATCATCCAACCGAAATTACATGGAACGCCTCATTTCGTATAATTCTCAGCGCAGAGTGCAAATTTCGACGTAAATATAATATGTCGGTAACATGACGCGCCAGTCTATGTTACCACTTGAGTATCCAAAATGGCGTTACCACCAAAGAGTATAGATGAGATTTATTTTTTCGACGTTCAGTAAATTTCTTGGCGCCTTTACGTGATATGAAAGGGTCATTCTACATTTATGAAGCGTCAAAATATTGACAAAACTTTTTCTCCAAACTAGTCCTAGTCTGGAATACATACAAAATTTATCTTTGAAAAATGAAATTTCACAGTCCTAGAATTCCAACATTTCATTATCGTCTTTGTAATGCGACGACCGGTCTTCCGGTGGTGACGCCCATGTCGACGAGGGTCCGTCATACTTACGATAATATGGGCATAAATGATTACCTTGAATTGCGCGTGGGGCTGTACTCTGTTTGACTATTACTACTGTCGGAATCCGGGCTGTAATGTCGCGCAACGGACGACGGCGTCCCGCTGCCATAGCTGCTCTTTCTCGACCTCTCCTTTTCTATCGAGTGCTGGGTGGAGGCGCCGCTATCTCTGCGAATGTGACTCCAGCAATCCTACGAGCAATGACATTAACTTTAGGATTACGATTAAGAGAACGCTTTCCTCGATTCTCGCAGTCCCGCCGTGGATAATATTTAATGGAGCGACGAGGAAAGTAGTCGCGGCCCACGACGGCGCGGCTGGCAGTTTTTTATTCGCAACTTGAGTGTCTTTCTTGCAGCTCGACCTGCTTTTCCAGCCGAGCTGGGCATAGCGTTTAACACATTGAACGGTTGCTGGCAATCGCATTTCGTATTGGCATTCAAAGGAACGTTCAAAAACATGCATTGCCGCCTACGTGTTGCGTTTACCAGCAGTGCTCAGGAAAGTAATTCTTGCATTACTTGTATTCTAGGCGGTGGTTCGCTACGATGAGTGCAATGTCCAGAGGAGCCTCCGGAGTCTCTAGCTGGTGCTCCATGGCTCAGTTTACTCGACCCGGAGGATTTTTGAGTCCGGCCACCGGACGACAAGACGCTGCTCGCGTCGCCACCTCCAGAGCCCAAAGAACGCCGAATGTGTCTTTTACTGAAAGGAGAGACGCATAATTACGTACACAATTAATAAGCCATCCGACACACATTTTACTATAAGAAAAAGTACCACCCTACACCCACAACAATTTATAATTAAATAGATCCTTATCGTAAGATGAACGACGCACGATTCTCTGCTCTCTTTGGCCGCGGATGTAAATCAGGAGATCAAACGTATGCCGAAGAAGGGATCATATACCTGCGGTAACAGATCGCATCTCGTTGGAAACTGTGCTCGGAGTAGTCGGAGCTGGTCTCGCAGTCCGGACAACTATTACCGGCCTGGAAGTGGCTCGTGGAAACAGGCTTAGAGGATGACTTTGTTGATGCTCGCGGTGACAAGGAAGCTCGTCGTCTAGTGCTGGTATGAAGATCCGGAAGCGACTTGTGACAAACGGTGTTCTCGGAGGAAGAGCAGTTTCCGGTTCTCTTAGCAGATCTGCCCGACGTGTGGGAGTGGGAGTTGCTTCTGCCGAACTTGAAGCGAATGTCTTGTGGCGGGCAATACTGAGGACAGAGGAGGATAAATATATTAGAGATCTGGTAATAAATTAGGGCTGGACGATGATAAGTCGGTCATATATATATATGTAGTAGAGTTTCTGGCAAAATAAGGGGTCCACCGCTTACGATAACGCGATCCTCTTCTCTGCATCCAGGCGACAAGCTACCGGGGGAGTATCTAAATTTGTCCTCCCTGCCGAGCTCGGGCACTTGATTAGCCGGCATCGGCGAAGACTCGGGAAAGAAAACATTTTCCTTGCTGTCGGTATTGAGGAGCCTGCGTAGCTTGGTCTGGAGCTGATCGCTTCCGGTACCACTCGGGGGTCCAGAAATGGTGCGCCTCTGGGGAATGGGAACCAGACGCGGGCTCTTCGGTGGCAGAGTAGGTGGCAGTGTTCGCTGAGGGCTCAAAACCCCATCCGCTGAAAGACGAGCATTCCTCGTAAATTCGGGAGGATGGAACCGCGATGTTCTCCTCTCGCGGTCAGGACGACCTTCCTCGAGGCTTACGTCTGTCCTGTTCGTGGCAGGCGATCCAGCAACAAGCCGGAGCCACAGGAGTCGGCAGTTGTTGCGGTACTTGTTGCTTCTTAGCACACGCCCCCGAGTGGCTGCTCTTCCTCAGGAGTCGAGGTGGTGCTCCTGGAGCGGTCAGTTGGGAGACCTGGAAGTGCCCGCTGTTCTTCAACTCCTGCTTGCGGTCCAGGACGGTCTCGCTTTTCACGTAGAAGGCCTTAGACTCCTGCAGCAGTTCCACGGCACTTTTCCGCTTTCCTGAAATCAGGGTCTTCCTTAGTATACATAAAAAAAAAAAACAGAAAAAAAAATTACAGTCCATGCTAAATGGCAACTCGTACCGAGGAAAATTTCAAACGATTCAGCAGCTCCAATTCGGCTGGACAAAATCGTGGATGGAAACAGAGAATAGCGGGGAGATATTTCGCGCCATTCATTGAAAGGGAGGCGCGGCCCCCTGGCGCCCTCTACGCCCTTCTCACCTCTGTAAAAATTCGAACTACTTTCAAAGGGGCGAAATCTTCGTGATCGGTAAAACAGGGTATAACGTGGGTGCCACATCTTAATCGCAATCATCCACGCATAACAACTTAATCTGGCATTGGTAGTCCTGATACTAAATAACGAAAAGGCTATAGCTTCATTCTATCGATACCGTGCTCTATTTGAAATCTGCGGACAGGTCTTCCTTTAACGATGGAGAAGATTTCGCCACTTTGTAAGCAGTTCCAGGGCGCTAGGGAGCCGTGCCTCTCTTTCGACAATGGCGTTAAACATCTCCGTATGTACATATGTATTAATTAACCTGCGTGATCCGCATGGTGGCTTCGCTGGTGGTTTCTGACGTAGGGAGGTGCAGGCTGTCTGGCTTGCATCTCCCAGTACCCCTTGTTACCAAAATTGTTGACCCTTGGCTGTTGAGAGGGCGAGGTTTGCTTGCAGGGTAGCCTCGCCATGGCAGTCATCATTTTCTCCTTCCTCGCGGTATGACGAACCCCGAGGCATTACATCTCGACTCCTGGTTCCTCGAGCCGCCGGTCCGATTCCGTTTCCATGACTCGGCCTTTCTTCGGAAGAAAGGGGAAAATCAGTTAATAGGTCGAAAAGGTGAGCGGCCACGTGTCGCCCAAATCTACCGATCAGCTGATCGCTCATTTTCTTGGGAACGAGTCGCAGACGCCACTTTCACATGTCCTTAAGATGACACAAAAGGGTCATTCTATATACATATTTATATACATAATATTTAGTTTGCGTGTATATATGTGCCCATAATTATGAAAGTGGTCTAAGTCATATATTTTTTGTTTCGAAATTACATTGAAATAATATGGCGTGAAATAACTGATAAACTCTTTTTTTTTTTTAATTTTGACTTAGACCACTTTCATAATTATGGACACATATATGCATATACATAAACATATGTATAGAACGTGAAAATATTTATAAAACCTTTCTCCAAACTGGGTGCACCGAATCATTTGAAACTTCATCACTTTGATTATGGAGGCCCTAAGGAAGAAATTTCATTTTTCACAAAAAAAAAAAGGAAAAAGAATGCAATTTTGCCTCTAACCTAAACCTAGGCTAAATAAAAAAAAAAAGAAACTTTTTTCTTTTTGGAAAATGAAATTTCACGAGCATCACTTTCTTCCTTAGAGCCTCCATGATCAAGTGATAAAGTATTATTCTCACGTTCTTCACGTTTTCATATTCTCAACGTAGACTGTAAAAGACTACAACATTAATATTAATTACCACTAGCGTATTCAAAATTACGTAACCACCAAAAAGCGTACAGATGAATTTCAATTGTGACCATAATTATGAAAGTGGTCTAAGTCATACATTTTTTGTTTCGCAATTACATTGAATTAATTTAGTTTGAAATAATGTGGCGTGAAACAACTGATAAACTCATTTTTTTTTTTTTCAATTTTGACTTAGACCACTTTCATAATTATGGGCACAATTAATCGAGCAGTAATAAATTTCCCTATCACCTTAACGCGTGATCGCGGAGCTCCCCTTTGACTTTTCCGCGTTTCCGCGCCATCGGGTCGTCATCCTTTAAATTTAATTTCCGACCGTGCCACCCATTACACGAGGACGAGCCGAGAAAAGATGTATTTCCCTCGGTCCGCCTACGCGAAGCAATCCGGTGAAAACGCGGCCGTAGGTTCATTGAGCGAAAGCGCGATGGAAAAACTCGAGCAACGGGTAGAAAAACAACCTACGCAGGTTTTCCGTCCACGCAGAGGAGGCGACCTTATCCTTCTCTGTATTTTAACCTCAAGTACCTACGTGCTCTGCATTCCCATAACCCTTACGCTCGAGCGTTGCATCTCGAGTGTATCCTGCGGGATTATATTTAGAATTTTTTCATGTACATGTATATGTGTATATATATATATATATCCTGGCCTAAAAGAAAAAAAAAGACCATCCTATTCGCGTTACCATCATCGAAAACAGATGTGCCGGAATCAATCAAATTTTTGCCCCTTCGACCATCAGGATACCCGGTAGAGTTTCGCGCCAAATACATTTAGAAGCATGCGCGAGCGGCACCGAATATAGAATATGGCCACTATATTCCAGATAAAAAGAAGGTCGAAAAAAAAAGGGTATATATATATGTATATATATATATATGAAAAATCCTCTTTTTAACGATTCTGGCACTCGCAGAATTTCTCGTTATTCCGCATCCTCTCGAATGGACTTTTAGAGAACGATTTTTCCACCTAGGTGCTCTCAATCGAGGCGAAAAGAAATACTTTCCATATTCGTACGTGCCTTTCGAGAACCGACGAAGCAGTTAGTATGCTCGCGCGCCGACAAAGGGGAACGTGGACAAAAATAAATTCGTCCGATGAGCATTCCGGCCGTGGAGGAAAAAAAAAGGAATTTCGTTCAAAGAACATTCCAAAGTTCGTTCTTTAAGGTGATATGAAAGAGTCAGCCTATATATACATATATATATTCTCCGATTCGTTTCAAATTTTCCCACGTGGATATGGAGGCCCTAAAGTAGGTCCTGAGCTCATGAAATTTCGGTTTTCACCAAGAATTAATTGACTTATCTTGGACTAGAACCAACATGGCGTGGTCCGTGCGCGTCTTCGATGTTTTACGCTTCTTGGGGGGTTAGAATCGAAATCGAAGAGTTTCAGGACCTAGCTCGAACAATTTATGATACCCTAAAACTGGAACAATACGGAGTAAGGTGGGAAAATATGTAAAATACTGTCACCAACGATTGCAAGCTAATGTTGGCTGGTCTCGGGGCTAAAGCGCGTTCTTATAGGAAAAATTTAGTTGCAGGTAAACGTCACAGATGGCGACGCTGGTCCTAAACAGTCGTTAGAATAATGCATTACATGGATCTCGACAATTTTGCGTCGATCTCTTCGTCATTACTTTACCGAAATGACATATGGAACGCTTCAGTTAATATCATTCTCAACGTATACTGTAAAAGACTTGAAAATGAATATAAATGTCGGTAACGAGACGCCCCAGCTTATGTTACACCTTGACTATTCAAAATAGCATTACCACCAAAATGGGTACAGATGAATTTCATTATATCGACGTCGATTAAATATCTCGGCGCCTTTCATATCTTAATGGCTCGTCGAGGGAATTTACCCTGTCGATTTTCCAACCGAGTCGTCCGATTAATCGGAACGCTCTGCGCTAGTTTCGCAATCGGGAGTACTTATCGCGTGTACTTGGGTGTTTCAAAAAAGAAAATCGGTTTTCGTCCCAAGTCCGGAGCCAATGAGTCGGCCCCTCCACGAGGTTTTGCCTTGACACAGAATCGTTCGACCACGTCGTTATTCAATTTTCGAATATTGGAAGAAAATGGAAATGAACTGTTATAAATGGCGAGCCACGTGGCAATTTTTCTACCGTGCAATTGAACTGAAATCAATTGCCCTTACACGGTATTAATACTCGTGAAATTTCACCGTTCAAATTAAATGTCAATTAAATCGGGACGAGCAATTGAATCGGCATACTTATGCAGAATTTCGCAAGTAACAATGTAGAATCAACATTCTGCTGAATCTAATCCCTCGACCGCAAAACTACCGTCTTGCAAAATCATGCTCGATCAAGTGGACGCATTTTTTTGGAGTCTCCAATTTCTGTAAAGATGTGCGGAATTAATTCATTCATTCTCCGATATATATATACCATGTTTCGCAACAGCTTATCAAAGGTTTTGAATATTTAAATGACTTCCTACCGAATAGAGGTTCCTCCTATTGAAAGCTATCGACGACGCGTTGCAAAATAATGCCGGGTAATCGAACGACCGAGGGGGTCATTTTTCAAAGCAGTCCTCAATTTTTATGCAGATCTGCATAATGGATTTTCGCCGATCCTCATTTTTCCAGAGAGTTAAAAAATGTCCACTCCCATGAATTCATAATTTCCTGACGCAGCGAAGAGTTAATTTAACTTCCATTCGGGCTGAGATAAATTAAGCTCCAAAGCTATCGGAATATCTGAAACATGTTTCATAATGTACTTTAAAATCCTTTTAATATTCATAAGACTTTCCGCAGAATTGATAGCTCCGGTTCAAAATCATCGATGCGTTACAAAGTAATGTTTCGATACCCAATAAGTTAAAGCTTCGCTCAGTTCAAAGTAAATTAAACTCTGATGACGTCAGAGTAATTAATATCTCCCTTAAATTGCTCGCAAAGTAAATAACATTTTTTTCGTACACGTTACATAGATAATATTTACGTAATGCAATGACAACTAAATCTTAGCTTCGCTAAAGTTTAACTTAATTAAGCTAGAAAAATCTCTGAATGTCTGCAACACGTTCAACAATGGACTACGATGCTATGAATATTTAGACTATCTGCCGAGCAGTAAGTGAACGTGAGTGTTCTGCGTGGGAATCAATTATTTCCACGTCAAAGTCACGAGCGTGGGTGTGAAGCGCGTTTTGCACCATGCATTTGTGTGGGTGAGATAGGGATAAATAAATGTCCCAGTTATTGACACGTGAAGCAGAATTCCAAACAACTACGCCGTCCTATCTTTGAAGTAATTATATTCATTCAATGGGCCAGCCTGAAACAGCGACATTGAACATGCGAACAAGCACCATTTGAATCGAGATAATTATCACTTTCGTTAGAAAAATAAATACCTAAAGCGAATAATAAAATACATATTTCCCCAAAGAAAGTGAGACTTATTACAGACAAGAGTAACGTAATACTATAAATGAATACACCAATCTTTCAAATAATAAAAATCAATCTGGAGCACAGAAAATTACAAAGTTAGCCTAATAACGTTCGTACTGCAAAACGAGAGTACCATTTCGCAAATGGGATACATTCGACATATTCCGACAAAGTTAATACTTTCAACACCCGAGTTTAGATTTTGAAATGGACAATGTTGAATTACCTCGACAGCCATTACGACTATTCGTAAAGTGCTACAGAGTTCAAAGTCAATAAATCCTGGTCGCCTCGTCGAGAGTAATAACAAATATTAAAAGAAATCAATTGGTAGCATTACAGGGTACAAAGTTACATCCACAATGAGCGTGGAGTATAAAACGAGAGCATAATTCTATAATAACAACATATCCCGCATAGTTTTGAACATCGGAGTCTAGACTGAAACGAATATACTTGAATTAAGAAGCCAGTCATTCCGACCATTTGTTGCTTACATACGAATACTTAAACCAGCAGAGAAATAAAACCAATTTCTAACGAACCTAACACAAGAAATAAGTGAAAATAACATAGAAACATCATCGGCAAGTATGTACAACAGAGTTCAAAGTCAATAAATCCTGGCCGTCTCTTCCGCACTTTAATCAGTGAGTGCAATTCCGGAACGGCAACATGTCGAGGGCAACCTGATCGAAGAGCTTCCGTGTTTTTCCCGTGTCATTTGCAGTCCCTCGCCGCATAGTTCCCTCTCCTTCCCCCTCATGGCGATCCGATATCGGCGTCTCTCTCTTGCCCGAGGTCCGCTAATTTCGCCGACTCGTTTAACGAGGCTGACATCGTTATTTATTGAAAATGCCGTTGAGGTCGTTACTTACGCGATCGGCGCCGTTAGCAGGTCAACATAACCCTCTCGGGGAGCGCACAGGTGCAGGCATCTCGTCCCGCCGTCGCGCGAAACTGGCCGACGACACGGAGGGCGAAGTCGTTCGGTGCGACCGAGTCGTCGTCGTGACGTGGGCCTCCTCGCGGGCCGTCTCTCTGTGACGAAACGTTGATAAAACACGGACCGACCTTGGGCCAAGGCGAAACGGTCGTTGCGCGGACTCTGGCGGACTCGGAGTGCGAGCGAGACAGGCTTACCGCTCGGCCGCGACACCCGCGACACCACGACTCGTTTCAACTCGTTTGACATAATAACATGTATCGGCGGCTCGGCCGCCAGGCTAGTGGGGGGGGGCTAACGGTCCGCCTTGGCCGGGTGCCGGAGTTCCACTTTAGTTCCACCTCGATTCCACTTTCCAGTTCGAAGTCGAGCCGTGAATGTATGTACATACAATGGCGCTGGCGGCGTTGGCCAATCAGAAACGCGTATTGGCACCGTGCATCCTCTCTAGATGTCACTTGATTCGCGGAGGGCGATTCAAAGTTCACGAACAATTTTCTCTCTAAGAGCGTTACATGACCGAGAACTGAATTTTTTTCCGAGATACTCTCTCGCGTCCTGCGAAGTCCAATGTTATATTGACCGTTATTATTCGAAGATCTTCGCATGGTACAAGTTGAGAGAAGTCGAGAGGTCCCCTGGTAACGCGATAGTGCTTATCGATAAGTTTTATTATTCGGCTCTGCTTCCAACGGAAGGTATGATATTTTTCGAGGCTCTCTATCGCGCAAAACGGTTTCTGTTTATATGTCATATCAAGTTCTCCGTAATCGTCATTGTTGGGTTTCACATGCGCAACGAACTGTTTCATCTTGACTACGTGCCAAAATAAGACGTACGACTGAATTTTACATTTAACAATCCCTTATTCAGATTATCTTTCAGATTACCTCGTTTGTGAGTAAAGTGTACGATTCAATCGAACAGGGCGATCTCATTGTTGGGAGAATTGGAGCTATTGTCCGAAGGGTGAACCCATCTTCCGATATCTTTGTTTAAATTTCAACAACCGAAGGAATATTGAAACGATTCGGTTTCCGATTCAGATAGCTTTACAAATAATGAAACCATGCGATTATTCTTTAAGTACTGAGATGTATATTTAAAGAAAGAGCCATGGAATGTATTTTCTACTTTATAACGAAAAGATGGGTCACTTTGAAAGCGACGAGTAATTTATCTTTCACTTTAGTACCACAAAGATAACGGTAGCTGTTACGTTGGAGATACAAGCTATCTTGAACGGTTATACTTTGTAAGAGTAAAACAATCTCAATGGAATAAAACCTCCTATTTTTATTAATATATTTGAAAGTGGTGGAAATGTTGGTAACTGGAATTGTATAGATAACCTCTTTTAATGAATAATAAGAAAGCTAATGTCGAATAAACTGGCTTAGCAGAAATATCTCTGATAAGAGTACAAAGACAAATTACACAAGAATGAATGCTGCCACGGTTTCATACCTGATTTCTCTTTCACAGGCATCGGAATGAGCAAGATGTTCGGTCTTGCCATTAAGTTGCTGGTGATCTTATGTGGTATGTTTATACCTAAATTATAAAATAATGAATAAAAGGCTTTAAATTATTTCCAGTACACTCATCGGTATTTTAACTTGATTTCAGGCGTTTCCTGTATTACCACTGAAAAATCGCCAACCTTTAGCAAAGCTTATACAGTGAAAGGCACATTGTACATCCCATATGCAGAAATTCGCGAACCGTTCTATGCCTGGTATGATGAAAGTACCGGTTCCAGCAGAATCGATTACTACGGAGGTAATTATTCTGGTACATTTGCACAGAAAGAGCCTTTTTTCTAATGCTAAAAGAGTAGAGCAATCTTATTCATTCGCATTTGACAATGCCAACATAGGGCGCTGCAAGAGGCAGTAAGTTCCTTACCATAACAGTTCACTGTAACATGAGATATTTAATTAGTACCAAATAAGCTGTGTCCCATAACTAAAATTCCTTTTATTGAAAAGAATGGTAGTTAAGGCATGTACTATTAGACGTTGCAATAACAACAATGAGAGCTTTTTTTTTACATTGTTTATGCTGTTTGATAACCAATTCTTAATTCTCAGGTATGGTGAAGACATTTCAACTAAAAAACGAAGGACCGTATGGAGCCAGCATTAAATTGGCGCCGATTACCACCGAAACCTTGTCGAACAAGGAAACCTGCCTCCAAGTAAATGGAACCGACGACTTTAAAATTACACCACAAACGATTATTCCTGATACGTTAGGAATGGAAGTAAGCATTTGCTACCTTAACGATCAACTGTCTATGAAAAAAATGTCAGTCAGCTTATTCAATGATTTGTTCTCGAACAGTGCATTGGTGAAGAAATGATCGGTGGATTGCAGTGCGAAAAGTGGCGTCTTGTACAATCATTTGGGGACAAAGTGAATAAATATACCCTGTGGATACGATGGAAGGTAAGCATCGCCAATTGAAATTTGTAGATCGTAAGGCATAATCGGAAGGAAATTTACATTTCACGACAGAAATCAACTACAGTCCCAAAAGTCATGGAGCCAATTCCAGTGCGGTATGAAATGCGAGGGTTCAATTCTTTACTGGGATCACATTACGATCATTATTACTTAGATTATGACTGGTTCTCATCTGACTCTCCTAGTCCAGATGTATTCAAGATTATGGAAAGTACGTATATAAATTGAATAGCCAAGTAAATCACCCCGGATGATATACTAAAAGTAATGTCTCACTATTTAACAAGATAATCATTATTTCATCTATCGACAGATACTACTTGCGTGAGCTTCCCAGGTCCCGGAGACAGACACATATACACTTTCAATCCCATGCGTGAATTTATTCACAATGACGATGCCCATGTGGATGTGAACTTCGACAGTTTTAAGAAAACCCACAAGAAACAATATAAAGACCACGTGGAGCACGGGAAACGGAAGGAAATATTCCGACAGAATTTAAGGTGCTTAAAATTGACCCTCTCCATTTATCGAAGATCTAAATCATCATTCTTAACTGATCAGGAATTAACATCGGAGATTATAAATAGCAATTTCATAGATTCATCCATTCCATCAATCGTGCGAGTCTGGGATACCAATTGGACGTTAACCATCTGGCAGACCGTACGGATCTTGAAATGAAAGCTTTACGTGGTAAACGATACAGTGGCGTCAAATACAATGGCGGATTGCCATTCCCATACAACGTCGACCGAGAATCTGCAGACATTCCAGATTCAATTGATTGGAGATTGTTCGGAGCTGTTACTCCTGTCAAAGGTAAGATAAAGTGCATGATCTAATTTTCAAGGTGTTAGAGTGAAAAAAGTTTCATTAACTGTTTGACGGCACTTTCGCGTCGCCTTAAGTGTACTTAACAAACGGTAAACATAGAACGTTGGCTTGAGAGAAAAAAAAAAAAAGCAAAAAGGAACAATTAGCAACTAATGTTTCATCACAGATCAGTCAGTTTGTGGATCGTGTTGGAGCTTTGGAACGACCGGCGCGATCGAAGGAGCTTATTACGTAAAATACGGCAAACTCGTCAGATTGTCTCAACAGGTGAAACATACCATCCAAAGGTATTAAAGTCGGTTAAATTTAATGACGTCTAATGAGCGCTTTATTTTAGGCACTGATAGATTGTTCCTGGGGCTTCGGCAACAACGGCTGCGACGGAGGGGAAGACTTCCGCTCTTATCAGTGGATGCTGAAGCACGGAGGTTTACCAACCGAGGATGATTACGGTGGCTACCTTGGACAAGTAATCGACCCTTTGTAAATATCATCAGGTTTATCATCATTCGCCTTACTGACGCCACATCTCGAACTTTCAGGACGGATATTGTCACATAAACAACGTGACGTTAACGGCCAAGATTACGGGATTCGTTAACGTGACTCCTGGTGACCCGAACGCCTTAAAAGTCGCGATTATAAAGAACGGCCCCATCTCGGTCTCCATCGACGCCTCCCATAAAACGTTCTCCTTCTACTCCAACGGCATATACTACGACCCTAACTGCGGTAAGTCCTGTAATAATTGGATCCATACTACAGGACTGTGGAATTAAGGAGACACGAAAGTGGAAGACCTCTTCGACATTGCCTTAAGGGGATGTGAAAGTGGCACCCGAGGGGTCGATCGTTCATGAAACTTTTCCCTGACCTGGGTGTACCGAATCCTTTTTAAAATTTTATATCATGAATGTGGAGTATGTAAGGAAGGTCCTTCCACCGATAAAATCACACTTTTTATACAAAATTAAAAAAGAAACGTATAAACAAATTGTTCAAGAATTGGAATCTCATGAGTTCCAGGACTTTGTAGTCTCCACATTCACGTTGTGAAGTTTGAGATGATACGGTAAACCTGATTTGGAGAAAGGTTTCATATAACGAGACCTCTTCGACGCGACTTTCACGTCCCCTTGAGTCAACTACTCGATCCGATTAAATTGTTACAATTATTATCTAATTGAATTACTTCCCCGCAGGCAACACCGAGGACAAACTCGACCACGCGGTCCTGGTTGTCGGATACGGATCGATAAACGGCAAAGCGTACTGGCTGGTGAAAAACTCATGGTCCAATTACTGGGGCAACGACGGATACGTACTCATGGCGCAAAGAGACAACAATTGCGGGGTAGAGACTGCGCCAACATACGTAACATTCGATTGATCGTCCTAAGATACTTGCCTCTCAAGCGTCCGTCGACGTATTTAATCGGCGGACGGAGACTTTTATTTTTATTAACCGTGAATACTTTCAATCGTCGCTAATAATGGAGAAACAAAAAAAAGTGCAAACGGTCGATTGCTTATACCGACCCGCGCGATAACCTGGAAACTGTCTAGGGAAAGTTGTGATAATAAAACAATGGATGCTCGTAGAATTCGACTTAACTTTAATACGACTTAACGCTCTACCAGATACTCGGAGACATGACACCTAGCTACGATTGAAGTAATCAGATATGACCTCCCGTGTTATATAAACAAAAAAAATCGCCTTTTATTCGGTAAAGGTAATGGTAGCAACAGTCGAGGTCGTGATCGATGTCCTTAGAAAATAACGCCGAGACGCTCTTTATCGGCTGTGCGCAAGGTGGTGCCACGACAAGTGTGTACGGCATTGCGTTTCACCAGCCTCCGTAATTAATATGAATCTCCCCGCGACATTGGAGCTAAATAAGTATCCTAGAGTTCTATATCTTTAACAAAGATATCCTGCGTTTTTAAACGGCAAAGCAATATATACCAGCTACCCTTTTCTCCGCGGATTATACTCTCACGCGCGTAGCAGTGAAACGAAGAGTGAAACGCCCCCCGAACGAGGCGGGGAATTATATTTGTACGTAATCACCGCCCTTCCGAGATTACCGACAATTGATATCGACCAATCGACGTAGCGCAATCACGCGTTAATTAGCCCATCGCGAAGGAGAACTAATGGGACAGATCCTTAAAACAGTTTCGAGGCCGAAATACTTTCTCCCCCTTGACTAGCTCATTTCCGACAATTAATTCCTAATTACGCCGTGTATACGCCGAACTTAAAATCCACCCGTCTCACCTGGAAAGTTTACATGGAATGTCGAAAGATAACTCGCGTCTTCTAGAGATGGCGGACATGAATGCCTCCCCTGCAGATACGACATCGCCTGTGCAGGACGGGAGGGCATTGATGTCTCCCAGTATACCCTGCGGACATGAATGCCTCCCCTGCAGATACGACATCGCCTGTGCAGGGTGGGAGGGCATTGATGTCTCCCAGTGTACGAACCACGAGGCTTGGAATTGTACCGAAGATATATATANCGTTCGGCCGCGCTCGGTCATCCCCGCCCCCGCTCGGGTTCGCTCGCCGCTCTCCCGGTGGCCATCTCGCAAAATCGAACGTTTAATCCGAGGAATTATTTCCCTCGAATAAGCCGTCAATTCCGAAAAGGAAACCGTCGCATCCGATTAATCCAATTTCATTTGAGTCAAATAATTATCCTTTGAATTAATCAAACATTACTTTGGCACTATGGCGTCGTAATTCGTACTAACTCGAGCGCTATCACTGTCGTCTGATAGTTCTTGAAACCATTCGGACCAGATTCGCGGAATCTCCGAGATTAATAAGCTCGACTTATTTTTCTTTTCTTTTTTTTTTTACACAGTCTCGGGTTTTCGCCTTTGTACGTGGACCTTCTTCGTTAAGGGAAAGAAAGAAGACTCGAGGTGAAGCCCTCGTACCTTTTTTTCGAATTTCAAGGGACGTCTTTCGGTCACTTTAAGGTGATATGAAAGGGTCATTCTATACATACCGAGACGGTGAAGAAAATGTTTATAAAACTTCTCCCCGATGCAAGGTGCACCGAATAATCTGAGACTTTGACACGTGATTATGAAGACCCTAATGAAGGTCTTGAAACTCGTGAGATTTCATTTTCCATAAAAAAAGTGTCTTTCTTTCCTTCTCGTCCGGGACGAGTACATAATTTTTATTTTTTTTCTCTCGACAAATCCTCATTAGGGCCTCCGTAATTACGCGTCGAGGTTTCAAATTTGCCTAAACATTTTCACGTTTTGGTACGTACAGAGAATGGCCCTTTCGCAACAGCTTAAAGACTACGGACAAGAGGCGTCTCTTAGCTCTAAATTCAAGATACAAACGAGGACCAAAATCTTCGCCCAGTCGAAGTGCATCCATCGAGGTCTCTTATAAATGTCTTTTCTAATGGGGGGAAATAAAAAAAAAAACAAAAAAAAGAATCATCCCACTTGGTGCGCACCGCCTCTCCCCGGAACAATAAAGCTACGATTTGTGCACAGACTTTGTGCCGCGTGGTACCACACAAGAAATATCTTGCAGCGACTTAGATAAGGGAAATTTCCCATCCCACTGATAAAAATGCCCCGCGTTAATTTACATACACCAATAATTGGTAACTCCCGATGCCACGACGAACTGCGGTGTAATTACACTGTCTCTATGACGTCACGTCTAGGCTAACAAAAATTATGTAACATTACCAGAGGTCCGAGGTAGCTATTATAAAATTTCATCTAATTGGGAATTGCGAGAGTGTATGTAAATTTTCGGCGACTCTTATCAGCGGGTAGGAGTGTCTCGGACGACGATACGATTAAATCCCGAGTGTCTCGTGCCACTCTCGCTCAAGGAATTACAAGAAAAGGATAATTAATCGACGATCGATCGGAACACCACGCTACCGAGACCTTGCGCGATCTCCTCCCCAAGAGTTGATATGAGCGATTCGGTCCTCCTCGGCGCAGTTTTTTTTTTTTTTTTTTTTTTCCTTTCCGCGCGAATAAGGCAGAAGAAAAAGTGACATCCCTCCGGTAAGATCCGCAATTTCGCGGGATCTGAATATTCCGGCGATAAGGGAAGGTACCTAATACTCCGACAATACGGCCAGGTTAATTAATAACACCGAGGATCTTTTACTCGGTTACTTAAGTACAGGAAAACAGACGATAACGCGCGCCATCCCGACAGACCCCCCCTCCGACTTTATACACGTAGAAGCTCGCTAATAATATCTCAGTTAGAAATTTCATAATAGATAAATCTTTTGTCATCCTCGCCTCGCCTTACCTCTCATTCATTATCACTTATGGACCCTGGACCGATCGATCGTCCCCGATAGGGAGAGAAGGAGAAAGGGTCCCGAGAGGAGGTAGAGTCGAGGGGAGATTTCGGACGTCGGATTAGCCAGCCGGCTGGTACCCCGAAGAGGTCGTCGAAGCGCCCTCCGGGGAAGGCTTGACAACGAGACCGCAAAAGCTCCCTCGGTTCCACCCGGGACCGTTTTCGAGAGCCCTTGTCTCGAGGAACGATCGACACTCTACATACGCGCTAAGTGCACGATAAATAATAGGAGTAATGGCGGCCCACCCGGGAGGAGCGAGTACTCGAGGTGTCATGAAAGCTATCCCACGTATCGCGAAGTTCAAATATTAAATAAAAATTAACCGGGTGGACCAAACAATTCGAAACTTCGAGCCGTGGTTATGGAGGCCCCAACGAAGGTCTTGAAACTCCCGGTGAAAGAATTTCATTTATCCTGGAGAAGAATAGGAATTAAAAAGAAAAAGTGTCTGGAGAGGTTCCACGAGTCTCAAGACCTCCATTAGGACCTCCGCGATCAGCTGATGGAACGTTTCAAATTATTGTGGACCCAGAGAAAAGCTTCGGATGTCACTTTCATGCCCCCTTAAAGAACTATCGCGTGCCCTTGTGCCTCTACCCTAGTGGTAAGACCTCCTCGAGGTGACGAGTCCTGGAGGACGACGCTCCTCCTCGAGGGGCCGCCGGGAACTCGGCCTTTGTTCTTCGCTCTTCTTTTTATAGAAGTCCATACTCCAAGGCCTTGTACAACGCGACGAGGTCCGAGAGCGCGGTTATCCTCCAGAAGGGGAAGCTGTTCGTCCTGGCCGCCGTCTCCTCGTCGGAACCATCGCCGATTACCACGTAGGTGCACTTACGGCCGAAACGAGCGATCACTCTGCCGAAGCAGCTCTCCTTTCCTAAAATCAAGGAGAGTGGTCTCACAAAGATTTTCACGTCTTGGCTGTACATTGAATGACCCTTTCGCGACGCCTTAAGGTGAAGTGAAACACGTAGAGGAACTTGATCGACGTCGATAAAGGAAATTTTTCTAAATGCCTACGTTGCCGACGTTGGTTTTTATATCGACAGCTGGGTAGAATTATATTCGATATTGTACCAAATGGCATACTCCACATGTCGTTTTCGTACAATAATTATAAAGAAATCCAAGTAAAACTCCAGAAATCCTCTGGATTCGTGCTTTCTGGGGCCCTAATTGACCTGCAGAGGGACCCCCTGCGCCATCTGTGATTTCCAGGTCAATTAAATCTTCACTCCGAGACCTCGTATTACCATCGTTTTGGCATACAAGCGTATACAACACTTTTTTTGCCTTTATCCCGTTCAAATGCGAGTTTATCGATTACCAGAGTGTTCTAAATTCTCGTAAAATTGTCCTGACCCTTTAGTTTCTCATATCAGAGCCTTCGATAATTGTACATCGATCGAAATATCAGAGCTCGACGCCATTTTGTTTCTGGTCTGAGCCGAGTTGAAAAATGTTAAAAAATCCAAATTTTGAATGTGTCAGGACAATTCTTAGATGTGTCAAAGTGTCAACAGTTTGGTCCAACACCCTTAAAAAAATGTGTTGTATTCGAATCGACTGATTTGAAGGGGGTTTCACTTCACCTTAAGGTGAAGTATGGGTCTACAGGGTTAAATAAATTCCGTGAAGGAAAAATTCACCGATTTTAGCGGCCGAGTAGATGTTCTCCACGGGGAACATGCCACCGATCCCGAAGAGCAGGGCCTTAGACAAGGTGGGGATCAGCTGATTGGTCGTGACCAGGATGTTCATGCAATGGCTCCTCTTGTTAATGAGGCTGAGACATTTAGCGGCGGATGTCAACCAGTTGTCGGTAAGAGCCTCGATCTCGTTTCGTAGTTGGAGCCACTCTTCCCGTTTCTCGGCCCCCAGGAGGCCGCCGACGTTGTTCCGGTAGTTGGTGTAAATCTCCTTGATCTTCCGGTAACGGAAGGCGAGTTTCCTCATCCAGTCGACGCCACCCCTTACGCTTGGGGCAAGACAAATGCCATTGTTCGCCGAGGTGTACCGGAAGCCATCGGTGGCGAAATCGTAGGAGGACAGGTCCTGGCCGTTGTCGTCGGAGGAGACGTCGTCTATGTGCACTTGGTCGCATTCCTTGGAGGAAGAAAAAGAAAAAAGGATCCATTATATCATGAGAACCAGGAGCAATGAAATTGTCAAACCCTTTCACGGTACACCAGGCACCAGGTGACCGTCCTTTCCCACCCACCTCGATCTCGTTGAAGAAGAAGTGGGTGTCCGCCAGGTTGATTATGATCTCCTCCATCCTGTAGGCCGGTTGCGCCAGGAGGGTAGGGTCCCTGCCGTTCTTCGCGGCGAAGTGCCCGGTCATCAGGGAGTGGAACACCACTATGGTTTCGTCCAGGTCCCAGATGAATATCCGGTCTAGGCCGGCTTCGGCCGTGTCCGTCGATCCTATACTGTTTCCGCTTCCGCTCTGCCGCCTTCCGCGTCTGCAGGGTTTCGCCGTAGGCCCTGAAGTCAATTCATCGGCCGCGTATTAAGTTTCCGGCCCTCGCCAAATGTCCCCATCACCCCCCGAGGATTTCCCTTTTTCCAATATCCCGTACAGGGTGAAGGAGAAACCGCATCCGGGGGTTGCGCGTCCTTATCCTCGTTGAAAACGGCGTCGAAAAGTCCTGAACCATTTTATCCCAGGATGCCTGGTTTGCGAGTAATAATTATTTAAAAAGCACCCCACCGGGCGCTCCGTAGGGCCAAACCCGGTTGTCGGTTCTTCCGGTAATTATTACAGGTAAACCACGCACCCTGGGAAAAAAATCGTACAGGACTTTTCGACTACACTTTTAACGAGGGTGGTGGGTTTAAATCGCTGGGGCGGTATACGCATCCTGGACCCATCCTTACGTGTCGTTACAATTGTCCTTACGTCGAACTTAACGAAATTCCCCAACAGTAGTCAGGGGTTTCGGGCGAGGAAATTTTCCGTTAAACGGTCCTCGGTTAGACGTCAATGAGCAGTTATGATAGGCGGTCGTTGATAAGGATCGATAAGAGAGAGGATATACCTTCTACGTTGGTGGCCTCCCGTGCGGTCAGGTCGTTGGCATCGTGCGACGTCGTGTCCAGAGCGAGCGACGACTTCGTCGAGTCTGCCGTAAGATTATCGTCATTGATCAATTTAATATCAATTCATTACGGACAATTAACTGCGAGAGGTGTTCACCCTAGTCGCACTTACCCGCAAAGTTGAGATTACTTATGTTGAAGGAGGTCGGCGTGGGGTGATAACCGGGCATCGGGTAATATCCGGAATATTGGAGCGGGACTCGGTCGTTTCCGTACAGAGAGGTGCTGTACGCGCTGTAATCTAATTTCTGAAAGAGATAACAATCATTAGGAGTCGTACGTACTCGCGTAATTCATTGCAAGACGTTAAGGTGTTAAAAATAATTTATATATATATACCAAAATATTCAAAATATTTATTAAACATATCACTTGAAACTCTAACACGTGATTATGGAGACCCTAAGGAAGAGCGCGAAATTTCATTTTTTTTTTTCCCCAAAGAAAAAAACCTTTTTTGTGAAAACTGAAACTTCACGAGTATCGCGTTCTTCGTTAGCGCCTCCACAATGAGTGAAATTCCATTATTCACGAGAAAATATGATTTTTGTCCTAGTCTAGGCTAAATGAAAAAAACCTTTTTTGTGAAAACTGAAATTTCACGAGCATCGGGTTCATCGTTAGGGCCTCCATAATCACGCGTTAATATTATTATAAAAGAAAATTAATAATCGCTATCAAGGAAGCGCACCTGCGAGGCCGACGATATATTCTGTCCCACGGTGGGGAAGGTGGTTGTCCCACTGTTGTACTGAGCATATGAGGGGTATTGCGCCATGGGGCTTGGCGAGGTGTACGAGGTCAGGTACGAGCCCTGAAGAGCAGGCGAATTCTTGGTGGCGGTGACGGATGCATAGGTAGGCGAGCCGTAGAGACTAAAAAACAGAAAAAGGACCCGTTAAAGGGAAATAAAAAAGAAAAAAAAATAAAGAACCTCCCCAACATCCACATCAGGGTAGAAGCCTTCCAGACAGGTCGCCAGAACGCCTCTCCGCCACCCTGATGAAAATCAACGGGATTTTACATCAATTTTTACCCACCTCCCGTGACCGAGGTCTCGGGTAGCAAAAACGTAAAATGAGAAAAATTACACCCTAGAAAATATGTAAATGCCCGTAACATTATACATATGTATACACACCGTGTCCGTGAATTTGTAGGTCTCATGAAAGGGTCATTCCATATGTATGAAAAGGATCAAACATTTAAAAAACTTTTCTCCATAATCACGGGTTAAAGTTTACAATTATTCGGCGCATCCAATTTGGGGAAAAAAAGTTTTATAAATTTGTTATCTTTTTGATGGGTATATACACATATATGACACTTTCATAAAATCTTAACTTAGATGCCAAATGTAATGTCACCGAGATGTAATGTCATCTTACAGGACTTTACCACGGCATTGAGACAATGAACGACCGAGGGTGTAAATATAAAAAATGCGGTTTAAAAAAAGATTTTTAAATTTTTTTACCTTCTTGGTGTGTATATACACATGTATGACACTTCCATAAAATCTTAACTCAGATGCCGAACGTAATGTCACCGAGATGTAATGTCGTCTTACAGCACTTTACCGCGGCATCGAGACAATGAACGACCGAGGGTGTAAATATAAAAAATGCGGTTTAAAAAAAGATTTTTAAATTTTTTTACCTTCTTGGTGTGTATATACACATGTATGACACTTCCATAAAATCTTAACTCAGATGCCGAACGTAATGTCACCGAGATGTAATGTCGTCTTACAGCACTTTACCGCGGCATCGAGACAATGAACGACCGAGGGTGTAAATATAAAAATGCGGTTTAAAAAATGATTTAAAAAATTTTTTACCTTTTTGGTGTGTATATACACATGTATGACACTTCCATAAAATCTTAACTCAGATGCCGAATGTAATGTCACCGAGATGTAATGTTGTCTTACGGCACTTTACCGCGGCATCGAGACAATGAACGACCGAGGGTGTAAATTTCCATGGGTGGTATATTATCGGGTAGGGTTTAAAAAAAACTTCCGAACGCCATATACTCCACCTGTTGTAATACTGGTTTGCCCCATAAAGGACACCGTAATCGGCCTTCTCCATGGGATCCGGATATTCCTGCTCCTTGTCCTCGGCATTCTCGTCGATGTACAGCTCTCCGCCGGGAACGCTGTCGTTCTCAGGACAGTCCTGGACTTCGTTCTTGACCTCGGCCTCTGGAACGAGCGGCTCTGTTTCTCGGTTTTTACATCCCGAGCCCCTTCCCTCCTTCTTTTTTTTTCTTTCTCTCCCCCCCTTTATATTCCCATTAAATTCCGCGGCAAGAGGAAGGTCCAAGGACTTGCCCTCGACACGAGGAGAGTCCTTTATCAAGGATTAAAAGAAAGAAAATTAACGGAATACTTAAGGCTAACGTGAAAGTAGCCATCCAAGGTATCAGTCGTTCGTGAAGCCCTTTCCGAACAGGGTGTACGGAATTGTTTATAAAAAAAAAAAAAATACAACGTGAATATATAGACTGTAAGGAAGGTCCCGACACCCATGAGATTTAATTTCTTTTCTATTAAAACTTTTTCACAATATCCATAAGGAAATTTCACTTAATAAAAGAGACTCTCATGTCACCTTAAGGGGATGTGAAAGTGGCACCCGAAAGCTCAATTGTTCATAAAACTTTTCTCCGAATTGTATGTCTCAAATCGTTTCATACTTTAAAACGTGAATATGGAGACCCTAAGGTAGGTCCTGAAACTCGCGAAATTTCATTTTCTTTAAAATATTCCTAAAATACCTGTAAAAAAAAAATTTGAAAAGAATTGAAATTTCAGGAGTTTCAGGACCTTCCTTATAGTCTCCCCATTCACGTTGTAAACTTTCAAATTATTCGGAAAATCGAGGGGGGAGAAAATGTTTTATAAACAAAACCTCTTAGACGCCACTTTCACATCACCTTAAGTGCATCCCTTAAGAACTCTTACGTTCTAGTGATAACTCTTCAGGGAATCGAGGAACTCGACCTACGCTTTGTTACAGCTCCAATTCGTGGGGTGAAAAANACTTCTTGGCTTTTCCCACCTTTCTTCCGTTTATCTTTCGAACTCCCCGGGGTGGAGGTCCAAGGACCACGAGGAAACGAAAACCCGCCTACGCTCTAACGTAGCACTAATTATAGAAAAATAAATAAATAAATTCAGGAACATTCAAGTGCATCCCTCGAGTACGGCTTGATGACGCCCTCGAAGCAGAGAAGGAAAAAAGGAATTAAAGGATGCAAATCGAGGGCGCAGCTTCCCTTTCACGTGGCAGGCTCATTGTTGGGAAGTCCTTGGACCTCCGCTCGACAATATTCCCCGGCAAGAAACTACGCCACTGGCATCAGGAATGTTATCTACCATTGTTAGCGGTGCGAGGGTGCTGTACCGAGGCCTCCGTCGACGAAGACACGTTGCCGGAGCCGTCTAAAACGCCTGCCAGTTTCGTCGGGTCATTGCCTTCGGTTAACATATCACTCCACCTGAAAGTCGAAAAAAGAGATCCACCGTAAGTCCCCGAGTGGACCGGGATTATTCCTAGGTGGAGATAAATGTCAGATCGAATCGACTTATCCCATGGTTCGACCGCATTAAATGGGGAATCTTTCCCGTAAACGGACCACGTGCTCCGAGACCGAAGGTCCTTTAGGGCGGAATTCTCGAGATCGTCCTTCGGCCCCCGGGAACGGCGCGATTAGGGCTAGGACACCTTTTCTCTACCGTGTATGGGGATCTCGAGGGGAATCGAATGCGGGAGCGTTATTGGCCGAGGACGTAACACGAGTTATGGGGGCGCAGATCCTTTTTCTCGAAGGACGGGAATTTTCGCAAAAGGTTCGGGTTCCCCCTTTCTCGGGAGATCTCCCCGGCGTTAACCACTCAGTGGGCGAAAGTGACTCGATTGTTTTAGCGACAGGAAAGATTCTCACAGATATCGCCAAACTTGGTGTACCTTTTACAAGGATGCTTGTTAAAAAAAAAAAAAAATTATTGTAATTTTATAACATTTGTGAGGAATTTTATGGGATACTTTAAACGCCGACGAAAGTGACTAGATTGTTTTCGCCAAACTTGATGTACCTTTTACAAGGATGCTTGTTAAAAAAGAAAAAAATTATTGTAATTTTATAACATTTGTGAGGAATTTTATGGGATACTTCAAACGCCGACAAAAGTGACTCGATTGTTTTAGTGACAGGAAAGATTCTCACAGATATCGTCAAACTTGAAGTACCCTTTGCGCGCCACAAAGCTTGTTAAAAAAAAAAATGATTGTAATTTTATTAACAATTTGTACGAATTTCATAGGATATTTTTAATTCCGAGGGCGAAAGTACTTCGATTGTTTTTAGCGTAGGAAAGATTTCCGCAAATATTGCTAAACTTGATGCACCCTTTGCAAGGATCCTTTGCGCGCCACAAAGCTTGTTAAAAAAAAATTATTGTAATTTTATAACATTTTGTACGAATTTTATGGGATATTTTTAATTCCGAGGGCGAAAGTACTTCGATTGTTTTTAACATAGAAAAGATTTCCGTAAATATTGCTAAACTTGATGTACCCTTTGCAAGGATCCTTTGCGCGACACGAAGCTTGTTAAAAAAAAAAAAAAAAAAGTACGTCGATGAAAATTGGTACGTTATTATAAAATAAAAGAAAATTATAAACTTAAGTACTACAGATAAAAGACGCCCTTTGAATCTAAAAACGAGGTACGGTCACGCACTCGGTAGTGCATAAATCTCATGAACATTTCTAACAGCGTACCGAGATAAATGTCCGCAAAGGTACGAAGCTCCTTTTTCACCCTTCGACGGTGCGCGACGCAGCTTCGCGGAATCCTTATCACGGGTAGATAAAGCCGCGTCTGTTTGTCAATATTAAAAAGAGGCTAATCAGCTGATTAGACTCCGACGGAGAGCACGTTCAGTCTTGGATGTCCCTCGATAATTAACATCCTCCCTCGGAGGTTCCCCTGGAGAACCAAAACCCCCCTACCCCGTATCTATAAATCCCTCTCTTCACAATTTCATCCCCAAGATTAAATGCAAAAATCAATTCGGTTCAAGTAAAGAGACTCGGCGTATACAATCAATGAAACATTACCTCGGTTCAATCAGTCTTTTTTACCTCGCTATAAAATTCCATGCCATTTCGGATTTCGTCCTGTCCATACTAATATACCAAGTCCTTCGCTTATGATCAGTACTAATTAAATGCGAAAATTAATTCGGTTCAACTAAAGAGACTCGGCGTATACAATCAATGAAACATTACCTCGGTTCAATCAGTCTTTTTTACCTCGCTATAAAATTCCATGCCATTTCGGATTTCGTCCTGTCCATACTAATATACCAAGTCCTTCGCATACGATCGGTACTTTTCGGGGGGGGTCCTTTTTCTCCTACATAAACCCGCTATCCTCGAGAGTGCGCACGGGATATGAAGTAAGAAAGAGAAAAGGAGAAAAGGGGAAAAAAAAAAAGAAAGGGAAAAGAACCGAGGAGACATTTATATGGCTTAGCGCGTGGCGTCTTTATTAGCTCGTCATGGTAGCGCGTTCGGGGCGCTCGTCCTCTCTCTCTCTCTCTCTCTCTCTTCCTTTTTCTCTCCTTGGTCTTCATCATCGACTGGCAATTGGCCCTCGAAGAGGTGGAGTGGTCGAACTGGTAGGCGTAAACCCTGCGCCTCGGCGTACGGCCAATGAAATCTCTCCCTTTCGCGAACTTTTGCGTCATGTATTCTTTATGTTGCCAAGCCACTATCTATCCGTGCTCCGCCCTTACGTGCAAGCCGCACTTTATATATGTATATCTCTACATATATATACACACAGAAACTCGGCCCTGGGTTTAAGCAGGTTTCACCCAGGAGAAGAGAGGACCTCCCACGAGTGCACCTCTCGCCTTGAGTCAGCCAAAAATTATTAAAAAAANAGGACTTCCTCGTATTTCTCACATATACTGAGGAATATTAAACTGATTAAGGTTATATGAAAGGGTCATCCTGTACATATAAAATGTGAAAATATTTGGAACAACTTTTATCACCTTAAGGTGATATGAAAGAGTCACCCCGAACGGCGGAGGACCTCCCACGAATGGCCGGGCGTACAAGAACGAAAAACCGTGGGCACGAAACAACGGGATTAAAAAATCGCCCAAAGGCTCTCGCAGAAGGGCCTGGTCTCGGTTTAATCGTTGCCACTCGTTAGTTACGACCGTCGTATTTTATTTATGCAAGAAGTATCTCGCGCGTTAACGTCGCCGAAAGAAGGGGACGTGCCTGCCCAGACGAGGCGTTTATCTCCGAGAAAACGCTTACCTGTCCAGATGACACTTACTTCTTTCGCCAGGGCTAAAAGTAAACGCAAAGGAACGGGGGAAAAAGGCGAATCGCCAATAGGAATTCTACGGCAAATGTTTTAAATATTACTCCCTGGTAACCGGAAATCATTTGAAACCTCAGCACGTGATTACGGAGGCCCTAATGAAGAAGGCGATGCTCATGAAATTTAATTAAAAATAAAAAAGGAATGTGTCTAAAAATGTAATTTCATGAGCTTCAAGGCGCTCATAATCGCGGGTTGAAGTTTCAAATGAAGCCTGAAATCATTCGAAGGCACGTGATTATGGAGGCCCTAAGGAAGAAGGCGATGTTCATGAAATTGCATTTAAACAAAAAAAAGGAATGTGTCTAAAAATGTAATTTCATGAGCTTCAAGGCGCTCATAATCGCGGGTTGAAGTTTCAAATGAACCCTGAAATCATTCGAAGGCACGTGATTATGGAGGCCCTAAGGAAGAAGGCGATGTTCATGAAATTGCATTTAAACAAAAAAAGAAATGTGTCTAAAAATGAAATTTCATGAGTTTCAAGGCGCTCATAATCGCGGGTTGAAGTTTCAAATGAAGCCTGAAATAATTCAAAGCCTCAGCACGTGATTATGGAGGCCCTAATGAAGAAGGCGATGTTCATGAAATTGCATTGAAAAAAAAAGAAATGAAAACTGAAATTTCAAAAATTTCAGGACGCTCTTTATCACTCGCTAAAGTGTCAAATGAGTTGGTGGATCCAATTTAGAGAAGAGTTTCATATTTTGACGTTTTGAATACATATAGAATGACCCTTTGGTATCACCATAAAAGTTCCACCATTGTAATACATTATTGTAAAAATGAAAAAGAAAAAATAGGGTGGTTGCTTATCTGACTTTTCTGCATTTCCTGGGACTCTAGCATCACCCACTCTCCATGAAATGACCCTTTCGTATCACCATAAAATTTCCCGATTGCTTAATCGATCGCAACAATTAAATTTTTCATTGTGAAACGTTATGGGAAAAATGAAAAAGAAAAAATAGGGTGGTTGGTTATCTAAATTTTTTGCATTTCCTGGGAATCTAGCATCACCCACTCTCCATAAAATGACCCTTTCGTATCACCATAAAATTTCCCGATTGCTTAATCTATCGCAACAATTAAGTTTATCATTGTCATACGTTATTGTAAAAATGAAAAAGAAAAAATCGGGTGGTTGGTTATCTAAATTTTTTGCATTTCCTGGGAATCTAGCATCACCCACTCTCCATGAAATGACCCTTTCGATCGCAACAATTAAGTTCATCATTGTCATACGTTATTATAAAAATGAAAAAGAAAAGATAGGGTGGTAGGCAGTCTGAATTTTCTGCATTTCCTGGGATTCGAGCACCGCCCACTCTCCATGGGCATTACACCCATTGTGCCGAGCGCACCCTCTCGCGACCCCAAAACTGCACCCTAAGCTAACAGTTTTTACAGCACCCTTGTCAGTGAAGAGTTGAAGTATAGCCTCAACCCCGCCGACAGTCGTCACAGGACTGACAGCTTAATAGAGGAAAAGCACTAAGCCAACGAAATGGCCGACACGTGTGCGGGGAAGGAAAACCTCCAAACAAGCTGGACCCACTATCGGTACGAGATCCAGATCAACCCCTGCAAAATGTCCCCAAGTGATCCTAAGCGACTCCATTCGCGCTTTAATTAGGCCCAATAACATTACTGGGCCGGCAACTAAGTGATTGGGAATTTTCTCAATACCATCCACCGACAAAATCCCCAATGATTTAATTACCAAGGCAATAAATCGCCCCGAAAGGATCCTCGATGACCCCTCATTTTTATTAACATGTTATGAAAGGGTCATTCTACAATATATAAAAAAAGTAAATAATAATTAGAAAACTTTTCTCCCCAATCTGGGTGGGCAACTAATTCGAAATGTCGGCACGTGATAATAGAGGCCATAAGAACGCGATCCTCGTGAAATTTCATTTCCCAAAGAGAGATGTGTGTTCTTGAAGGAAAGTTCATTGAAAAATGAAATCTCACGAGCTTCGAAACGCTCCTTAGAGCATTCATAATCACGTGCTGACGTTTCAAATGATTCGGTGCACCCAATTTGGCGTAAAGTAATATATACATACATATATATTTTTATTTTTTCTAGATCACTTCTGAAGAATTACCCCTCGCCCAGCTTAATACTTCATTTTTATTAGGCCCAACAATCATATCTACCGAGTAATTAAAATCGAGAGTAATCGAATTTCGATTTCGCGCCGAAACCCGAAGAGCTCGGATTTCGCTTTAAAACCGAAAATTCGTTCGCAGCCCACCACAACGATTTCATTAGCCGGAAAATGATATCCCTACGAAATTGAAAATTAATTTCATTAGTCCGTTTTATGTCAGCGAAATATGTGCATGTGCATGTCATTATAATGACGATATTCGACGGTTGAGCCGACAAATGTATTTCCGCGTGTCGGTTCAATGTTGAAAGCCCGAAATTCGTCATTTAGCCATCCAGAAAGGGTAATTAGGAATTATACATTAATCTTATTCTTAAGTCCTTTTGGGGCGGTAATCGATGTTTTGGACGTACTACCGGAAGAAAAAAAAGAAAAAAAAAAAAGAGTGGACACTCTTAGGCGTTACCGCGTCATCTCGTGTTTTAACTAATCGAACACTCTTCCGGGAGGATTCTTCTGGTGACGTCACGTGCCCAGTACTGCCCCAATTAAAATACATTATCGTTTAACGAGCCAGATGAGATGCACAAGCTTCGCGAATCGCGCGCCCGAGCGGCGGCCCGCGTGCGAGACTGCACCGACTTTGTGCTCATTTTCCATAAGGAAATGCCTTGACCTCCCAAATTAAAAAACCAAAAAAAAAAAAGAAAAAAAACTGTCATTGAATAATGCTCATGCGGATAAAATAACAGAGTAATTCCGTCCTGATTTTCCATAAGGAAATGCCTTGACCTCCCAAATTGAAAAATCCCCAAAAAAAAAGAAAAAAAAACTGTCATTGAATAATGCTCATGCGGATAAAATAACAGAGTAATTCGTTCCCCATTTTCCATAAGGAAATGCCTTGACCTCCCAAATTGAAAAACCAAAAAAAAAGAAAAAAAACACTGTCATTGAATAATGCTCATGCGGATAAAATAACAGAGTAATTCGTTCCTCATTTTTCCATAAGGAAATGCCTTGACCTCCCAAATAAAAAAACTAAAAAAAAAGAAAAAAAACTGTCATTGAATAATGCTCATGCGGATAAAATAACAGAGTAATTCGTTCCCCATTTTCCATAAGGAAATGCCTTGACCTCCCAAATTGAAAAACCAAAAAAAAAGAAAAAAAACACTGTCATTGAATAATGCTCATGCGGATAAAATAACAGAGTAATTCGTTCCTCATTTTTCCATAAGGAAATGCCTTGACCTCCCAAATAAAAAAACTAAAAAAAAAGAAAAAAAACTGTCATTGAATAATGCTCATGCGGATAAAATAACAGAGTAACGCAACCGACGATTGCGACGCACCGAATTAAGATGTTCGCGAATTATACACGTGAGAAATGAATTAATTCCGTGGAATCCTTAAAGAAAGGGAAAAAGAAAAGAAAAAAACATGAACCATAAACAAAATTCACAATTTCGCCTCATTCCGATGCAATTAGCGACAAATCGCGAAGCATTTCGACGCAGTCAGGAACGAAGCCCCCAATTAAGGTACTCGTGGGTTAACACGTGGGAAGATAATTTCTTTTTGTAAACAAAAGGAGACAAATTAAATAACGTAAGAAAGTAATCGGCTTCCTTTTTGAGAAGCGCACGCGCTATCATTGGCAATTAAGATTGGACAGATGAATCTTTCGCAAGAAGATTAAAACTTTATACCGAGAGAAAAAATATATATATGTACGTACAAAAAGTAGACAATAGTTGTCGTTAAATTTGCATCGTTATTCCCGAGTCTAGTTGCTTCAATCCAAGGCCTCGTTGCAGCTCTATGTGTGCGGTAACAGCCGGAAATTCGAATTTCCTTGCGCGACGTTTCGCTCAGGGCCGGTAGGGAAATATTGTTTTCCGGTGAGAAATTTCAAGTCACGAGGTGAAACTTTTCCCAGGCCGAAAAACTCGTAATATCTTAGAGCTGGAAAAGCTGAAGAACGGACAGGAAAGGCCTAGGTGCCCTTTTTCGATATTTCGCCAAATTTGGCCCCCAGGCCGAGTGTCATCCAGATGGGCTCGGCCCTTTCGGTCCCAAGTAAACCTCAACGTTGACCCTGGTCAGGACCAGATACAGCTGTTTAACACGAGGCTGGAGCTGGTCCTCTGAGGTATTCCCGAAAAAAAAAATGGAGGAAGAAAGGAAAACCCTCAAAATTGGCCCGCTGGCTAGGAAGATGACTTCCTAATTATTTCCGCAATTACCCCCTCACTTTTTTACCGTGCAACTTTGTCAACCCCAGATTTGAAGGTCATCCTCTGACCGTGCATTTTTTTTCAACGTCAAATTTGAGGTTCACTTTCTCACCGTGCAATTTTTTCAACCTCAGATTTGAAGTTCAGCTTCTGACCGTGCAATTTTTCGACGTCAAATGTAAGATTTATTTTCTGACCGTACAACTTTGTCAACCTCAGATTTGAAGTTCATCCTCTGACCGTGCTTTTTTTTTTTTTCAACGTCAAATGTGCGGTTCACTTTCGGACCGTGCATTTTTTTTCAACGTCGAATTTGAGGCTCACTTTCCGACCGTGCAACATTGTCAACCCCAGATTTGAAGTTCATCTGACCGTGCATTTTTTTTCGACGTCGAATTTGAGGTTCACTTTCCGACCGTGCAACATTGTCAACCCCAGATTTGAAGTTCATTTGACCGTGCATTTTTTTTCGACGTCGAATTTGAGGCTCACTTTCCGACCGTGCAACATTGTCAACCCCAGATTTGAAGTTCATCTGACCGTGCAATCCTTCGACGTTAAATGTAAGGTTTATTTTCTGACCGTGCAACTTTGTCAATCCCAGATTTGATGTTCATCTTCTGACCGTGCAATTTTCCAACGTCAAATGTGCGGTTCACTTTCCGACCGTGCAACATTATCAACCCCAGATTTGAAGTTCATCTGACCGTGCAATCCTTCGACGTCAAATGTAAGGTCTATTTTCTCGGTGACTTCAAACGACTTCCAGCGATTCCTAGGTGCAATTTCCAGCCGATTTCCCCGTGATTTATAGGATTACAATCCAGGATTTTCCAGAGTGAATATAACCCCTCTCGTACACCAGAGTTCCCCTGCAAAAGCACCGGCAAGAAAATATTGCCATTCGTCGCGGAAGCGAGTGACAATAGACGCGTCGAACTTCGCGCGCGGCATGAGAGCGATTGCGTCGCGTGGTATCGCGAAGACGCGTCCTCAAAAAAGTAAATAAACAAAGGGGGAAAAAAAAAGTCTTCCGCAAGGAATTCGATCAATCGCAAGCCCGACCTCCCGCGTTTTTCGCCGTCCAATTTATAATCCCCGTTTCTTATTTCTTATTACCTCGGCCCCATCCCGACTGGACGGTTCGCACCAGTAAGAAATAAAAGAAGAAAAAAAAAAAAGAAGAACAGCTTGACCCTGTTAACGCCATTTTGTCAAAGGCACGCAATTGATTCTCAGATATACAATAAATTATTACCTGCACCTGCTTCTCAAGGAATAATTCAATTTATCTGAAATAATCTGGAATAAATTGGATGCACCGTTTCCTCGGTATCAGGACAATTTATTCCGCTTAAATTGTTATTACTCGAGAGTTAACGAAATATTTCTTTCGTTCAATGGGGGGTTTACTATTTTTTTTTCTATCTCAGGGTAGCGAAAGCGACACGTGCACACGTCATCGAACCACATGCGATACCGCGACCGCCTTCGCACTTTTAAAGCCGCAAGTGTCACATGGATCCGTTTTTCATGCTCGTTGGGAAATAAAAGGCAAAAAGGCGGGAATAAAAATAAATAAACAGTTGCACCGTCTCTTTCAGGTGCACCGGATGCTTACGTAAATCGACCTCGCATCTAGGAGAAGGATAAGCGGTGGAAAGAAAATCTCACCCTGGGATACATTTTCGCTCGCCGAGGCGGTATAGATAAAGTAGCGGTGCTAAAAAAAAAAATTGCGGTGCAGAAATCGAGACGCGTTTACATTTATACATGGTTAAAAAGACCTATGCACACATATGCACAAAGACGTCGTGTACTTTTAATACAATAGTACGCGTAGAAATAGACACCATACCCGTCTCCCATAACCTCAATTTTCAATAAACATCCATCTCACGGTGTTTTTTGTCTTACTTGATCGCAAGAGTAAATAGGATATTCAAAGACAATGTTGCCTTAATAATCCTCACTAAACATAATTGATAATATCCGACATAACCAATAATTCCGGGTGCAGCGCGTGGCGACCAGGGTGAGCACGTTTTACCCGGTGTACAGGTAGGGGGGACGGAAATCGTATAAGCGAGATAATTTCCGCCCTCGAGAGCGCCCGGGCGAGATCCGGTCCGGCCGGCACCCCCTAGAACACCCCAGGGGTAGAACAAACCTCGTGCGGCGCGCCGGTCCTGGGGGTGGTGGCGTCGGGTCAGCGCGTCATCCCCCGCGCGCAGTCCTCACAGCCTGTAGGCGGTCAGTCGGCGCCCGGGGGTCAGCATCCCGGGACGTTCGACGGCGTCTTGAGCCTCCGGTCGTTGGGGCTGTTCCCGGGGTGCGGGCGCGGTCGCGCCCTCGTCTTACGTCGGGCGGCTTCTCCCGGAGACTGCGGAGCGTGCGCGCGCGCGCGGTGCCGGCAGGACGCGGCAGGAACTCCGAGCGACCCGGCGCGGTGCGTGTCCGGCCTCGGTGTGCGCTACCGCGGCCCGCGCACGTCTGAGCATGCGGGCGTCCCCGCCCCGCCCGCGCGGTCACGTGGTCGGCGGCGGCAGGCGGTCTCGCTCCCCTCCCGCGAGTGGGAGCGAGACGGCGATGCGGGCGTGGAGTGGGGAAGGGAGGTGGCGCGGAGTGGGGGAAGGAGGAAGCGCCGAGTATGGTGGCAACGGCGCGGGGTGGGGGAAGGGAGAAGACCCGAGGTGGGAGAAGGGAGGGCCGCGGCGGGCGGTGGGGGAAGAGCGAGGGAGCGGCGCAGTCTCGCTAGCTCCCGCCGACGCGGGAGTGAGCGAGACGGCGCGATCCGGGACTAGTGGGAGCGAGAGAGACTGACGACGCAACCCCTTAATTCGCGTAATTGTCACCGCCTGTCGCGGCGCGCTCGCCTTCCGACGCCGACAGGTCCTTCGCGGCCAAAGGGATCCCCGGGGTGGAGGCGCGGCCCTTTTAAGGGGGCGGCTTTTTCTCCCTCCTGGGGATGTCTTCTTTATCTATGGTATCGTGGGCACGTTTTAAATGTCACTACCTTCTACCTCGATGTTTGTTTCCCTTTAAAGCCTCGCTCATGGTCCGCGGACCTGGGGGTTCGTTAAATCTTCGGGTTCCGACGGAGTTCCAGGGTACCTCGAAACTTACTAGGGTAACGAGGCAGAGGGCATTTTCTTCGACTTATTGGCGACAGCGACGAGACTTAATATCTAAAATTACCATCATTCCACGAAGGGTCTCTGAATGATATCTCTAAGGATATGACATTTTCTTATGAACGGGATTTAGTACGATTAAACTTCGGTATGACTTCTTAACCTCGAAGCGACGCCATTTTGTGGTAATCCTTGCCGGGCGAGAGCACGTGTAAGCAGGTGTTTAGGAATTTTTACCTCGGCCGCTAAGAGCTCTCTTTTTCTTCTCTTTCTACTTTTACCAACATGGAAAAAATTCTAAGCCTATTAGCCAGATCAACGGCCTTATATACTGGTTCCGGTTACTTTAGAAATTCGCCTCTCGGCCATTGTGGCGAACCGTTGCAGAGCAAAATCTCCCCGTTAGTCCGGTGGAGAATAAAAAGATAATCTCCCGACGTTTTCGACAAAATCCATTTCCTGCGAAAAATTGTTATATCACTACCGGGAGAAAAAAGAAAAAACTGTCATTACACCAAAGAAATACTCGGTTTATTCAAAGAATAATTATTTAACTTAAATAACCTAGAATAAATGGGGTGCAACGTTTCTTCGGAATTATGACAATTTTTTCTCTCGGTGAAATAATTATTCCTCGAGTTAACAAAATATTTTCTTTTTCTCAGTGTTCACAAGGTACACGGTTGTCTTAAGATCATATAGATCATATATATATATATGAACTACCTAACGCCTTAAAACAACCAACTTTTTTTTTCTATGCAACTTTTCGACGTCAAAGGCTTCATTTTCGGGGAAATTTTATTTAGCGGATTTTATGGTTAGAGTTTTGCATTTTTTTAAACGAAGGACAGAGAGAGAGATGTGGAAAAGTGACTGGAATTTATAGTCCTCCTGCGCGTCTTCCGTTTCCGCCGTTATCGATCCCGGTCTACGTGTCTTCCTCGAGGTAAAAAGCGGATGGGTTAACTTTTCCTCCGTTTCTCTCGGCACTCGTAACGGCGAAAAAGTCGCGCTTTTATTTCGCTATCCGGTTTCACGTCACTCCGCGGGGCGAATTTCCCCGTGGAAAGGGCGGCCGTCGTCGTAGATTTAAAATGGCATCAGCCACGCATTTCGCACTGCGCGTCTGAAAAACTCCGAAGGAGTTTCAACGCAAAGCTTCCGCCATTGTTTCGTCGGGCGGCCTAACCTCAAATTTCCTCCCAAAGTCCCGCTTCCACGTGATGGAATTATTAAATACGCTCCGTCCACATCCATACGTGAAAATATAAATTTCGTTAATTAATGTTGCATAAAAAATGCGAATGTCAATACATTGAAAAAACCATACGTATTTCGCTAGATAAACATATCACGAATAAAATATTGCAGCTTTAAGAAAAACGCGTAAAAATGTTTTTTCATTTCTTGAAAATTTCGTTAATTAATGTTGCATAAAAAACGCGAATATCAATACATTAAAAAACCCATACGTATTTCGGTAGATAAACATATCACGAATAAAATAATGCAGCTTAAAGAAAAACGCGTAAAAATGTTTTTTGATTTCTTGATCATTTCAAAGTGGTAAAACCCCTTAAGAAACCCGGTAGAGTATCGAGCCAAGTACATTTATCAGAGAGTATCGCCTTAACAGCGGCCGAGATAAAGATAAGGATAAAGGAGCGAAATGGCGGAAACGATTCCCAGGACCGCACGTCGCACGGCCGGGTGGTTTGGATTTTTCGGGATTCCGGGATTTTGGGAGCATGGCACGCTCCGGTGCCCTATGTCAAAGCCGATCGGAATTAGCCCGGACCACAAAAGGGAGTCGGAGGGTCGAGGAAGAGACGTCATCGCGGTAGGCAATGAGGATTAGTACTTTTGCATAATAAGGGATGAGTGCAGGAGGCCCGCTCGGCCGTCACTAATCCAAGGACCCCTCGGATTTTCACGGGACAACGAACTCTCGGAATCCCGGCGAATCCTGGCCCGAGGTCCCAGTTCCCTGCGTGCCACCCACGAGCTGAAAAAAAAATAAATCCAAAAAAAAAGCGAAATAATTCCCTCCGAAATCCCGAGGGAAATTCGTCGAAACGGCGACTCGCGACTTTTAACGCCACATCTGTCGGCGGATATTTTTTTTCCCTTTGACAGACCGACCGAAATCCCTCATTTTTATGGGTTTCATTGTTCCAGTATTACCACCTTAAACTGGTATGAAAGGGTCATTACATATACATAAAAACCTTGAAATATTTCTGAAACCTTTCTCCAACCTGTATGCACGGATTATATCTTTACCGGATATATATATCGTGCATCTGCGGCATCCGCCATATTGGAAACGTGAAATTATAAAGAATTTTCAACGAAAACGGCAGTTTAATTTACTATTCCTTAACCCTTTGGCTACTAAGAGCGCCTAAAGGCGTCCGACGTTTGGTCCAATATTGCCTGCACGGTCAGACGAATTTCGCCCATATGTCGTACAATTGTGATATTCTCCATGTTTAAAACGTAATTTACCGATTTTTTATTATTTCCTCCTGGGCTTGGTTGTATAGTAAACATGCCGTATATATCGTACATTTGTGATATTCTCCATGTTTAAAACGTTATTTACCGATTTTTTATTATTTCCTCCTGGGCTTGGTTGTTGCAGTTAAACATGCCGTATATATAATACATATGTGGTATCCTCCATGTTTAACACGTAATTTACCGATTTTTTATTATTTTCTCCTGGGCTTGCTTGTATAGTAAACATGCCGTATATATCATACATATGTGGTATTCTCCATGTTTAAAACGTAGTTTACCAATTTTTTTAATTATTTTTTCCTGGGCCTGGTCGTTCTAGTGTTAAATAAATGCGGCCAATTAAACGACTTAGTTCAGGGGGGAATATTTTGGTCCTTGCGCGACATCCTGGAACCGCTCGCATCCGCTCTCCCCGGGGAACCTCGTAGACGGGAAGAATCGAGTCCGACAGGAATCGAGGGGAGCCCTCGGCGACCGCGGCAGACATGGCGTCGACATCCATCGGTGGAGATCGAGGTGTGGGGCCGAGGTGGGAGGGTTACCCACAGCCTTCATACTTTCATAACGCAATATCCCCGCACTCCACCCGCGCGCCCGCAAAGGACGAGCGGGTTCCCACCTCGCGGAGTGCACTTTTATCCAAAAAATTCCTGGGAATAAAAACGATCGAATAAAAACCACCTACGAAGTAACAAATAATAACGTGAAAACCACTTATCCACTTCCTGCAGATTTCCAAGTATTCCTCTGCTTGGAAAGTTCCAAGTCTTAGCGACAAAATAAAAAAAGCGTACGAAAGCATCAAAACATCAATGAAACTTTCCTCCAAAGTGGACGGATTAATTTCAAACATTAACAAGTGATTATGGAGATCCTGAAATTTGTCGAAGAGAAAATACGTCTTAACCCTTTGCGGCCGGAGCTCTTACGACATACGGGCGAAATTCCTGAATACGTGCAAGCAATATTGGACCAAACGTCGGACGCAAGGATTAATCCCAGAGAAGAACCAAATAGAATTTTTCCTCGATAAATGAAATTTCATGAGTTTCAGGATGTTTCTAGGGACCTCGTAATCACGTGTTGAAGTTTGAAACGGTGCGCCCAGTTTTGAGAAAAATGTTATATGTGCCCATAATTATGAAAGTGGTCTAAGTCAAAATTAAAAAAAAAATGAGTTTATCAGTTATTTCACGCCATATTATTTCAAACGAAATTAATTCAATGTAATTTCGAAACAAAAAATATATGACTTAGACCACTTTCATAATTATGGGCACATATAGCACTTTTCACGTTCCTATATATACAGAGTGACCCTTTCGTATCGCCTTAAGGTTAACCCCGAGTGCGCATTTTGCGGGCTCCATCCAGAGGTTACTCGAGCGCTAATAAGCACACTGCGCATCCCGACGCGCAGCGTGACGCGCCGCGTCCTCGCGGAGTAGGTACGGCTCGCGCGTGTCCCCGCAGTCGCCGGTCGGCTGCGTGCGAGTTTCTCGGAGCCGAGAAGGGAGGGCAGCCATTGGTGGTAGCGAGGCCGTATACCTGCAGGAGCGCGCGCACACATCCACGGCCGCTCACCGACGCTCACTCCCACAGGTGGCGCGTCACGTACATGCGGGCGGGTCCACCACGCAGGCGCGGGCAGCTGTCACCTTACACCCATGGACGGGGCAGCATGGGACTGGGGCGGCCATTCTCAACTTATCTCTAGGATCTTTGTAAACACGTGAAATCCGAGTATTCGAGCAGTGGCGTAGAGCGCCGGGCGCCGGGTGGCTCGAGCGCGGCGGGCCGCCGGCGATTGGCCGATTCCGTTGGAGCCGCGCGCGACCGGCCGTTTCCGTTGGACCGGCCGGCGCGCCGGGCTCCTCGCCAGGGTCGAGGAGAACAGGGCGGCCCGCGGGCCCGCAGGACGCGCTCCGCGCCACTCGCGTCTCCTTGGCAACCGAGAGACCGTGGACTACGTCACTAAGTGGAGCACATCTTTGTTCCGAGCTAACAAAAGGGTCTTTAAGGGAACTGGATGTCGCCCCCCGACGCCCCCGCGCGGTCCGACGGCTCCCTCTTCTTTCCGCCCCCGCCGGACCCTCCTTGGGGGTCGTTAGACCGTGGCTTTAAATATAAAAGGATTCCAACCAGAAGGGGTGCGCTTCGACACGTGCGCGCCCGCGCGGTTATCACGTCGGATTAATCCCGAGATGTAATCGCTGCTCCCGCTAATTGTTCGTTATGTTTCGATTATTTCCAGTTATTATCATCCCGCTCAATTAACGCAGATTAATCGCCGCGCGCTCTCCGGTTGCGGATTTCTCACCCGCCGGGAAATTGGTACGATGCATTCCAGCTCTGGATTTCCTGCTTTAAAGCCGGGAAGTATTGGATGGGGTATATGTATTAGTTTAACGTTTGATTAACCAAAGATTGCCTTTTAGGAGCGTGGACGTGTTTAAAGAAAGCCGCGAGGTGAGGATCAGCAATCGAATGGCAAAAGACGAAAACATCTCTCTCTTCCTTTTTTTACAGATTTGATAAATGATAAAACCGTGGACGCGCTCGAAGTCGCAAGGTGCCGGACCAGCCGAAATGACAAACCGAAGATAGAAAACTGGATTCTGAATAACGCGCGGATTCCGATCCTTCCCTGAGATAGTCATGCTAATGCCCTCGCTGCGATTCCCTGACAAATCTCCGCTTTGCCCTATCTTAGCAGGAACATTCGTACTCGGAGAGTGAATCAACTTCACGCGAGGCGTCCCATAAAAATAAAAAAAAATAAAAAAAATAGACGCGGTCTTGCGGGCGGGCGTATGAACACTTAATCCGCCACGTTGGAGCCCGTTATAAGCCCAGAAACGTTTAGAAACGGCAAAAAAAACGCCAAAAACGATTTCGAAACATCAAAAACGCGTATCTCCTCTGAAAAAAAAATCACATCCACTCGTGCGAGCGCTCAATTTGACGAGAAGAACCTTCCCCGTCGAGCTGGGAGCCCCGGAAACCGGCGGGAACATTAAGTAGTGCCGAAAAACACTCAAAAACGCCCAGAAACGTCTAGAAAAGCCAAAAACGATTTCGAAACATCAAAAACGCGTATCTCCTCTGATAGAAGTCAATGGTCTTCAAACTTTACAATATATATATGGAGGCTATAAGGAAGGTCCTGACACCCATAGGTTTCATTTTTCAACGAAAGATACGTGTGGTTCACTTCTGGGATAAAAAAATGTATATATATATGAAATTTCACGAGCATTGAGTTTCTCCTCAGAACCTCCATAATAGCGTGCCGAAGTTTCAAATGATTCGGAGTTTTATAAATATTTTCACGCTTTCATATGTATACTGTAGGGAAAATTTTCATTGGAATTAAGATCAGGAATTAGTTTTAAATTTTCAAATATTGTCTCTTTCTTCTCGGAGGGAGATTATCGCATAGAGGGAAAGAAGAAGAACGTGAGCCAACGTAAGGCGATTTAGTGGGTTGTAGGAGAGGAAGAATGCACATTAGGCAGGGTCCTCTCGGAGATCCCACCGATCTCTCGGCAGCTCTCGGTGGAGTCGATCTTATCACGTCGGAGACACGTTCCGAGCTTTCTCCCCGTTTCTTTATTATATTGACAGCGTCTTATTTCTATCCCGAAAGCGCGCCCTCCCCCGCGGGTAAAAAGCGAGTTAACCGCGAATCCCCGACTCGCGTGCTCGAGGCGTTTTTTATTTTTTTCCGCTAATATGTCCGATAAATAATCCCGGGGAGAATTGAATCAGATAAGAAAAATTATGCTGGCTGCGACTTGAATTGTTACTGAACAAGTTTGGTTTGATTTTAAAGGCGGTTGCGGTTTTAATATTAAAACGAGCAGCGGTTGTGAATTTAAGTAGTGCCGATACATTTACAAACACTTGAAAGTAATAACTAAAAATTTCCTGCCTGTACTGGAAATTGTCAGCAAACACTTTTGGATTTTAATGATGGTTAGATACTCTTGTAACATTGGGATGAGCACTGGATGTGGATTTAAGTTATGGCCACAGGACGGTGCAATTATTGCGCGTTATTCTACGGGGTGCCCTGGAGTGAAGCAGGTGACCCATGGAGTTCCACGTCCAGGTCGCCTGCGTCTAGTAAAATCTCGAGGCATAATTATTGTTCGAGATTTCGAAGCTGTTGAAGGCTCGGGGACCGGGACTCGCCAGACAAGAACCGCAGCTACGTGAAACATAATACAAGTTGCACCAGCCAGCCCCGAGCTCAGCCATGCGAAGCAACCAGCGGCCGAAGAACGCGACGCACGAATCAGATTACATCTTGCGTTGGCCGCTTATCTTTATTCTTCACTTTACCTCACTTCAGTTCACTTCACTTCGCTTCAATGACGATACACTGGCCACGTCTCTCCACCGGAGACAGTTTGGAGTCTTCTCCGGAGGGATGAGAAGCCCGAGAGCCTGATTCGTCGATGCACTTGTGACGTGACAACGACCAGGATGTCGGGATTAATTTCAGAACGTAGGAGACCTGGTCTTCCATAAAAAAAAAGACGCTACAGGATGATCAGTTCCCACAGAACGATGGAATTGTATCAAGGATCGAATCAGGCAACCGATGGACATGGTCTGTTGTGGGAATCAGCCGATCAGGGGTCTAAATTTTAATAATAATTAAAAAAAAATGTTTATTTCTTACCGTATAGTCTTAGACGTAGTATTCTCATTCATGCTTGCAGAGAGGCTTTCGCATTCGTCACTCTAGTCGGTCTAAATTATTCGTTATCGTTACTGCTGGTTTGTAGAAACACTGGAGTCTGACCACCCTGGGCAACCTGGATCAATTGTGGTTGTGCTTGGATCGGTGCGGCCTGAATTATGATCGGTTGATTGCTTCCTCCTTGCACTTGCATACGAATCATTTGAAGCTGTTGTGGCGTTAATTGTATCTGAAGTATTGAGAGAACATGGAGGTATTAATGAGTATTATTTTTAATGGGATTTTTGGGTAAACGTCTGTGGCCTGAATACTCACAGGTATTTGTTGTATCTCTCCGTTAGGGGTCACAATTTGTTGCACGATTTGTATACCACCAGCTTGGGAAGCGGGGGATTGCTGGGCTTGCTGGAGTTGAATAACTTGCTGACCCGATGCCTGCTGTGGGCTTTGTACTGTTACTGTTTGAGTGGCTCCTGCATTGGAGGTTTCCTGGAATGTAATAATTCGACAAAAATTAACTTCTATGTAAATTTTTTGTTTTTTCCGTCATTAACAGATTCAAAAGCTTTGATTGTTAAAAAAATGAATAAATTGTATAAGAATTTAATAATGAGGGAGAGTTAAATCTATTCTAAAACAAATTTTATCAGTCGGTTAAATAACCTTACCTGTTCGTTAGGGCTTCCAATATTAATAGTTTGTATTTGTCCGGTAGAAGGTTGTACAATTTGTATTGGCTGGGAAGGTGTACTATTATTTTGTACAGTTTGATTGGCCGAAGCTTGCTGCTGTGCCAGTTGAAAATAATAATGAACCTGATCCGTATTCATTGGAGATCTCGACGTACCATCTGACTGTGCCTTCGTCTGTTTCAGTTCGTCCCTTGGGACAATATCAATTAAGAAATCAAACTGATCGTATTTTGTTATTGCCATTGCTATATCATTTCTTTGAAGGGTGCGCCTTTTATTGTCTTCCGTATGAACCCAAGCTCTCAGCGTTAATTCGTGAATAAAAATCTCGGCTGCTTTCGAAAATAACATCGGTGCTTCGGCACTGATCATTTTAACGTCACCGTCCAATTTCATAATTTTCTTTATCCTTGCTAGTGGTAACGATTGGGTTTTCAAATCCATCTAGAAATTCAGCATTATTAGTACAGTCCAAAGAAACGTGACTTGATATAATGTCGTGTTCGAAAATTACTGTGGTAATCTTTTTAATTTCTTCCATGACTTTCGGCCAAAATGATGCCAACGCTTGTTGGGCCTCCGAGTTCCCAGGTGATGCAATTTGCAGGTCTCCATTTGAATCTCCTTCAACTTCGCTGTCTTGATTTCTGCACCGTTTAAATTTATTGTAATTATTAACTTATACAATGATTACAAGAAACATAACCTCCATGCTGCGTACCCAACAGCAGTACTTACGCATTCACAAAGAAAACGGACATCTTTCTTAGATCACAAAATCTACCATGCAACGGAATAAACTTTAGCACAGCTCAAGCACCATAGCAATTTATAAATAAATAACTCTTTTTTCTCTCTTTGGAAACTAGATTATCCGAAGACGAACTCTGTGAGTTGAGCAGTGGATATCTTTACCATAAGAAGTTCGATCGAATGTCCTTGTTGCGTGCGACAGATGGCGCGACTATACTATGTATTAAAATTTAAAAGTTGTTTAACTTCATTGGCATAACAATTAACAATTGGTCCCATTTAATTGGAATCTGTTACAGTAAGTGACAACGCCCTTTACTCTCCTTTTTGTTGTTGAAAAATTCGCATATTTATGTACAGTGATATCTTAACCTATAAAGAATGAAAAATATCAGTTTAATTCTGCCGGGTTTTAAAGACAGTCAATTTTTGAAAGACATGATTCAACACGTCTTTTGCTGTATGTGATCCAGAATCGTTGATTCTTATTATTTCCCCAAATTCACGAATGTAATACTCCAACTCGGTCTCGTTAGACGAATCGTTCATGGCCATATATTTGTTGGTGAGTTGCGACAATTTTAAGAAATCGGAACTGAACGCCTCATCGAGGTCGAATAACTCCAAGGCAGGTGGTGGAAGTTCTTGGAAACTCGGTGGAAAAACCTATTAACAGAAATCACAATTTATTTAGGTTATATTCATCGATGAAGAAAAATGTATAGCATGTCAAGTTATTTTGTCATACTGAGGCTTGTGTCGGAGGCAACGGAGTTTCAAAATGTGGAGCAATCAGAGTCAATGGTTCGTACTTTACTCCTAAGACTTCATAAGCCTTGATACATGCAGGTACCATATTTAGATTTATGGAATATAAATGATGCTTGAACAATTTTGTATATTCCCAAGGTATATCAATATTATCTAAATCTTGCGTGCAAACTTTTGGATTGTCGGCTTGTTGCGTTGTGTCTGGTACAAAATTATACTCCCAATACTGTAACAATGAAATATGTGTTAATTACAGCTTAAAACTATTTTACTGGGTATACTTACGTCAACGTCATCATGTTGAACACGTTTCATGGTAATTTCTGAGGTCTCAAAAAATTCAAAGAGCAATTCTCGCAACGAGTCATTCTTTTCCTTTTCAATGTAAGCATCCGTAAAAATTCTAGAGGAACCCAAGACTACCAATTTCCCTGCATTAGGATTTGCGGTACAGAAAGCACATATTGGTCTATTTGTTGGGATCGCAAGGGAACCACTCGACAGAGCGACGACGGAAGGCTGTACAACGTTTAATGTAGCTCCATATGGATACAGAAATTTTAAATCTCTGAAAATTGACAGAAGTTAAATAAATAACGCTTGTGAAGGTATTTTCTGAACAATTATACAAGAATGTACTTACACATATTCTTCATGATTTTTAACAAAGACTGATTTGTTTGAAAGTCCTTGCGAAACTAGACATTCCTTAGGATGCAGCGATTGACTATAATTCATTCGCACGACACTATCTATAAGTTAAGGTGTATAATTATTATGTCCAACATTTTCAAAAGACCTTTATGGTGTACAGGAATTGACTAGCATACTTAACCATTATTAACCATAATTCCATATTCTTCAAGTAGAAAGTTAATATTAGTATTGAATCTTTTTTCTCCACCTTCGCCCAGCATTACGAGAACGTGTCCTCCTGAATTGATAAACGTTCTAATAGCGATTATCTCGAGTTCAGTAAATTTATTTCGCGGTCCAGGTAAAACCAAAATTTTCCCATTCATCAGTGACTCTTCCGATAAAACATCACTATTTCTAAACATAGTCAAATCATACACTGTTACCAAAAATCCCATTTTAATTAATACGACACCTAACTAATAAAGCACAACTTACTCTACAAATTTCCATTTCGGCTTGAGTTTCCTTTGTAGTATTTTAAATTCCTCGTTAAGTTTTCTCTCATTTTTGGATATGTCAAAAATGATGACATTTGGGTTATTATCACTGGCTTTAAACACAGAAGTCATTTTAATTGTTCACCGAGAAAGTCAAGTCTCGACGATAACGCGCAACAATATTGGACACGTGTTGATATTTTTTATTAGTGATACGTAATTGACGTTGCATTGTCAGGTATTATAGAGCATTGTAAATCAGAAATATGACGCTTGAAATGGTTGCCCATAGCAACCGAGTTCATAGCAAAACTCGAGTTCTGATTGGTTCAAATTTCCGCTCTTGATCAGCTATTGGTTAATAGAAATTCATTTGTCATGTGACATATGCACTTGTCAGCTGACAATTACAATTCATGATAATTTGCTTCCTACAAAAACAAACCCTTAAGAAGAGTAATCGAAAAATTAATTTTGTTTTGAAATCACTTCTATTATTCAGAAAACATGTAACAAATTATCTATATTACGCCTTCACATTATATATGTAAATTATTTACTAAGGTAGAGTTCTCGTTAATTCAGATTTTGTTCCCTCTTTTGGGATATTCTATATTTTCGACACGCTTCCGGGCAATGCCGTTCAAGGTACCTTCTCTGGGAAAAAGCTTTAAAGCAAACTCCACAACGCCACTGCCACTGATGGTGGTTTCGAGTCCTCTGATGTGCACGTAGGTTCGAACTGTGGAAATAATGTACGTTAGAATAATCAGACTCCATAAGAATCATTTAATGTAGTCTCAATTACCGGTCTGCAAAAGATTTACGACAAACTGGACACTCGAAAGGTCTTTCGCCAGTGTGGAGTCTGAGGTGCCCTTTTAACACCCAAGGGCGATCGAAACTCTTATGACAGTAAGGACAATAATGCAGCGCCTTGTTTCTCTTCCAATTAAGTGAGTTTCCGGTGTCAGAACCTGCTTTCTCTTCGGTGTACCTCAAAGAATCAGATCTCGCTGAGTCTATAGATTTATTACTTGAAGATGGAAGTATCGTAGGTGACTGCCTTGCGTCGATATTTTCACAGTTGTCAGAACACGGTAATTTGTTCTCAGGTTTGCAAATATCTGTACAAGAATCCAAGTGTGCGTTTTGTGGACGTAAACATTTTGTCATTTCAGCCTTTTCTACATATCCTTCGTCATTATAAGAGTCTTTCTGACGATTAGCAGCGGAGAAGTCATCGTCGGGTGAAACTGATTCCATCTCCGTTGAAAAATCAACAAAGGGTAACCCCAACTCATCAGGAATCCTCGTACACCAAAGCATGCTGTCATCCCTCTTGAAATTATAGCGTGTCATAATAGGTAGTCTCGGACAAGTCCACATATTATTCGTTTTAGGTGGTACCTCCTTGGCTTTGTTCTTCTTTTTAGATTCACTTTGTTGCGGTAACCACAGTCCAGCCACATCGACATCTGAAAAGAAGAAAGAAATTTCCCTTCGCTTAAAACTGATAAATAAATTATAACGAAAGAGACAGACTTTCGTTTATTGGGATTATCGGAGAGTAAAATTTTTAGCTGACTCGTTGTAGCTGCTTTTAATACATCCTAAGAAAAAAAGAAGACAGAACTGACACTCCCTCACCTTATTCGATTACATCTAAGTTTGTCGAGTTAAATAAGAATTCCATTAATTACCTTCGTGGCAGTGACCCGTCTTCTGATACCTCGTCATGGACTTTATTAAGCACCGTGGCATATTTAATAATTTCCTCTTATAACAGAAATGGCAATTAATAACGAATAACCGATAAAGAAACTTCACTTGATCCAACTGTTGCTAGGTTCATGCTAATGTTCCATTTCGGCAGATTGGAGTCACGATAGTGCTTTGTTTTTCGCGCTACATAAATTCTCTTTGAATTGAAGAGCGGTTACAATAGAGATGAGTTGGGAGATTGCAGTGTAGCGCGATCGCGTCCTGTGCTGCGCCCCAGTGGAGGATGCGGACGGCTAATGTATTGGCCACCTGTTACCCCTCAGTGGCGGTTCAATACATGTCAATACATGTCCGGTCGAGGCTCGCGCAATTGCGATGATATATACAGGGTTTGAAGCTTCAACCCATTCACCAATTCAATTATCATAAATTCGCATAGGATTTAATCACTGGTTATATTCTCGGTTATATTACCCGGGTAATGTGACGCACTAGAAACTGTACCTACAAGTTCTAATATCGAATTCTTTGTACCAATTCTCAAGAACACCGCAAGTAGAGACAAGCACGTAAAGTTCATTAAATTACAAGACACTGTGTATATATATTTCGGTCGTACGAAAGACAAGTGGGGTATAAAAAATGGTATACCTCTTATGTAGCGTTCCATAGAAAGTTGTACATACATGATCAGACTTCATCATTGTGTTTCGCCATATAAAGTTGCACCAAAGCATTTAAAAATATACAAGGAAATTATACAATAATATACACTATAAAAATTGTACGTTGCTATGTCGCAATATTATGTCTTTTGAGCGTCTGATTATGGATCATGTCGACGATCTGAACAGGGAAAGGTCAACTAAAGTATGATCTCATTTTTGAAATTCCTCGTTAGCTCCTTGTGCGGTAAGACAATGGAATTCAGTAGAATCTTCTCAGAAGCTACCGACACTCTAGTACCTGAAAGGAGAATTAAAATCAATTATGACATTAATCTCTCTAAAATTCTCAGAATAATGAACTATAAATTACCAAGGATCGTAATCGATGGATTCAGCTTTCCGTTGACATTGAATAGTGGTGGGTTTTCCATTTTAGCAAAGGGTTTATCTGGATTGGGATCACAGGGAGTGCCTTCGATTCTTGCCCACTCCCCTATTCGACTGTTAGTGCCCAGAATACTGTATAAAACTATCGAGTGAGCCTGGATAATAGCGTTTGAGAGCACTATAGATTCCAATATTCTTACTCCAGAGCCAATTTGTACATTTGGCCCTATACTAACATTTGGACCTATCTGTAACGAATAACAATGTTTTTATCAATTACTATTTATGTAAAACTGTTACCTAATTTGTAACCACGGTTGTCTGTTTGAGAAAAATTCTTACTACAGCTGAAGAATCAATACTAGCAGATGGGTGTATATAAACATCTCCAATAATTTCACATGCACCATTCGATACAGGAACAAGCCGATCGGGGTGCTTCGATCTATACAAAGCCAAGTAATGTCGATTTGCATAGATCACCGAGCCAGCGGTTTTCATTTGTGACCACCAGTTTTTAACCGGGAGAGCACATATGCGACCCGATCCTGCTAGCCTTGTTAGAATGTCTTGTTCTAACGAAATATATGCTGAATCCTTGCCATTACCATTTGTTTGTCTATTGGAATAAAACACCTCATTAATATTTATATAGTAAAAGAACTTGTTTATGAAAGAACGTCTGAAATACTTGGCAATCTTTCGACACTAGATTTATATTATATGGATTTTTTGTTGAATTAAGAAATGTAGCACGTTAAACATGCGAGAATTGATTCAAAGAAAGTTAGAGACACATGTAGGATGATGAAATGAAATTTCGTGAAAATATTACAAAGGGCTCCACTAGTATTTGTAGACGTACAGATAAATCTCCTGTAGGTCTCTGGAGTAGAAGAAATCCGCCATTACTTGAAAAATATTCAATGAAGTAACATAAATCCCACAATTAATTAGCGCAGAGACAATTGTTGAAGGTTTCTCCACGTAATGAGCTACTTCACCATTTTTACCCAAAACCATGCAGCCATAATTTACCGACTGCTGGCGTGTAGCTTCCGTGGCCATAATAGTTAACAGTGGTTGTTTATTCCTATGAGACTCAAGTAGTTCTTGAAGTGGAAAATCAGCGCAGACATCGCCATTCATTATAAAAAAGAACTCAGGGCTGCCAGCGCGGATTTGATCTCGGAAATGATACATGCCACCTGCCGTACCCAGAGGTATAAACTCTTGCAAGTATCGAACAACCAAGCCATAAGTACTAGTCATTTCTTCTATAAACGGTTGCAATTCACTAGCATGATAGGAGCCTATTATCAAAATCTCATTGAGATTCGGTACATTAACGCAGGCTTCTATGTGATGCTGGATCATCGGCAGACCGGCAATGGGGAACAATGGTTTAGGTATATCAAGTGATAAAGGGCGAAACCTTGTTCCTGCAAATAAAACGATATATCTTAATTTAACAATCATTTCTTTACGTCCCCTGGACTATTAATGTCATGTATTAAAACAAACCTTTCAAGGGCCCTCCGATGAGAATAACGGCCTTTAACATGTTCAAATAGTTTTATTTTTGCAGAAGAATATTACCGCGCACACGTTGCCGAGCCTTTATCCTCTTATCTTAACTGTGGCTTCAAGTTAGGTCGGAATTTCACCTGACTCTTGGAATGTCACTTCTCGAGCGAATGACGTATACCTTACACGTCGAACAAACAAATCGGAAAACTTTTTGGTTAGAATAGAGAGTAGTAGAGATAGTTCTTATGTTTCGAATGTCGCCACCATTCAGAGCCACTGCCATCTAGCGGCTGCAAATGGAACAGTTAGCATAGACACACTTCTTGTCTAAACGTTAACGTTAATTTTCGTTCATTCTTTAAATTCGTTTTCTCTTTTCTTTCATACTTTGCAGCTGTTTTTAATTGCTACAAAAAATATTAATTATATACCTGCGCATGTCATGTCACATGAAATTTATACTACTTGCATATTAATTATAACTTTGCTATATTTACGCAATGCACTGATTACAGATCAATGTGATGATTACAACGGTAAGGTATACTGCACAGTCATCTTGCACTTTGAAATAAGAATTTCTGCGATGAAAATTACAATACTGACAAAAGTTCCCATTCCAAAAATGATGAAAATTCCATGAGTGTCTTCGATTTTTAATATTCTTGGACGGTTAGTTTTTTCTTCATCGTCGAGGTCATCTTCATGACCATTCAACGGCATAGAAGGATGAAACGGCAGTTTAGGATTACCTTTGAATTCCCTTAACCAATGTCGAAAGAAACCACCTGCTTGAATAATGCTTATAATTTTATTACATGCTGTTTCTATCGTTGTTGTTTTAGTCAGTACCATTGATATTAAGTACAAGCGAAAGTCATCCGGCATAATGTGAATCTGTTGGTGTTTCTTTTTATCGATCATTAAAGTAATCTGCAATTAGTAAACACGCATACAATTATTATTAAGTTAGTCAAAATACTATGTTGTTAAAAGATAAGTATTTTGCAGAAACTACCATCATTTGATTGGTAAAAACAGCAATTTTCTGGCGATGGTGCAACACATCGAGTAATACATGTATTAGCATCGATCGGTTGAAGGTCTGAAATGTTAATGTATGTTAATGTAGTTCAAGACTCATAAATGTAGCAATAAATTAACGATAATGAACTACCTGATATTTATTGTACAGGTTAGGGTTTGCCTCTTGAAAATATTCCTTCAGGTACGCACTCCCTGCTACTGGATAATTATCCTTTTCCAGGTTATCCAGTGTCCGAATATTCAACACATAATTACCCACGATCACTTTTTGTGTAAGACTTGCAAAATATACTTGCGTGACGGTGTACCCACAAAATGACCACGTAAATAAATAGACCTTTTCTGGATTTCTGTATTTTTTCTCGATACGTCCGACTCCAAGGAATATCGTAATGATTCTAGCTTTCCTCATTTTTTTCGGGATTATTGGGACCATCATAATTAAGGTGAAACATAACGTAAACGTAAAGAATAACATGGTCCATACCTGTAATCGTGACATCCTCTATTTAAAGGAATAATGTTAATTTTAATTATTTAACTGATTAAGAATTGTTAACAAGAAATGTTTCATAAATTGTGCGATATTATTCAATCAGGATGCAGAATTAAATTATTATAATATACTTATAAATTAATACACTCACTTGAACTTGAAACGGAGTTGTTATATGTATCCACAATGGTTCTAATCGCTCTACTGGCATCACTATTTTACAGGGCCAAAACATGTAGACTTTTGAATGAGTGACATCTTCTATGTTAAATAACAAAAGTGATCCGAGTGCAACATCGAACACCTTTTTCTGAACCTGCTGCCTTGTAAAGTTAGCATCAAGTGACGGTATCAATTCAGCAGTTGCGTTAAGTTTCTTAATAATGGTTTTCATTAAATTCCATTCGATTGCTTCGAAAACCCATTCATTGTTGATAAAAGCACTTCTCCAATAAGGTGCAATGGGTGTCACCCCGAGTTTTAATTTACATCCTTGCAGATTGGGAATTCTAGGATCGACCTTTAATACAGCATCGTCATTACAGAATCCATAATCGATAACACTGACATCACCACAACGTCCCTCGATGAATTTGCTGTAGCCATATATTTTAACCCTGCAAGAATAAATTCAAATGAACTCTAAATAAACAGCTCCATACAAAATTATTTATCTTAAGTGATACCTCAAGTACTAATTAATAATACTGTTTTGTTTCAGCTACCATAAAACAGACAGCCCTAACTCCAAAATTACAACTTTCAACACTGGTACATTTAATCAACAATTATTACGTACTCTTTCGTGCCGTCTCTTAGAAGAATAACCGCACGTCGTTCGATGTCTGATAGATAATTTGTCACTGTTTTCAGGAGATCAAATTTTGAATCGTCATCCATTCGTTTATTAATAGCGACAATTACGGCGTGGAATTTTCGGGGATGAAGCTGCGCCAATACTCTCAACAAAGCCAAGTCCTTCTCAATGTTTTCCTCCTCGAGATAAATGAAGGCTCGTCCTTCTGAAAACTCATCAGATAATAAATTCAAAGGGTTACCGATGACCAGAACTCTGGCAATATTTTTAAACATTCCAAGTGTCGGTGTACTCGAATTATTAGATACTAGAATAATGCTTTTGGTATCGCTAAACAATACACGTCCGATTTTCTCTAAGCAGTCGGAATATTCCTCGGCGTCATTTGGTATGCTTCCATGAATGTCAATATTAAATCCCGCGTACGAAGGATTACATAATTGCAGAAGTATTATACAAAAAATTGTGCATTCTGGGAAAGAACTTTTTTCAATCATCGCTGATACTTCACTGCCTGAATCGATAATGGAGTCCATGATTTTTCACCTACGTGGAGGACTTCTTTCCTATCGATTCTCCTCCGTATAATAGTAATTGTTAAAATAATACCTAAACAACCTTGACGAAATCACCGCAATTGTCACGAGTGGAAGAACTGGGTCTCGTGCAGTCTATTTTTTGCTGCTTTCAGTAAAACAAGGGAAGGAGGATAATATTCGTCAAGATGTATAAAATAATCTTCTTTTCGTTTAAAAAGATAATCCTTGCACCTTCGATAGAAGCGCAGGCTCATATTTGTCTCCAGGAATGATCTGAAATTATGATATAATTTTTTTAAACATAGTATCAATGTAATTGTTAAATCGTTGGGTACTTTTCTTCGTCGATAACCGATTTGTTGCAACAAAAATTGTAATCCTGGGACTATGTGTAGTGTTCATTCGTACCTGGCACCATTTATAGATCGCGAGTCCTCGTTGCTAACAGGAACGGTATCACCTGCATTTCGTATCCGACAATACTGGAGAAGCGAGTAGACTGAGTTGCTTAATTTCGAAGCCTGTGACAGAATTTAAGATAGTATAAAATAACGAGGTGAAGTATTAAAATAAAGTGAAATTATTAGATCGAAATGGGTGGCATGTCTCCTTTCGCGACCGTGAAGATGAAGTGAACGCCATCTCCCCACTGAACACCAAACCTAACAGTTACCTAACTTAAAACTAACAAATAATATAACGTTTGTTACAATGTAATAACTTAACAGTTATATAACAGTGTTCATTGGGTCTATCCTGGACCAAGTGAAACATTCGAAAACGCGGTAGCGTTTCCACCAAGTTCATAATTCCCACCCGAGCGCCGTGTTTCTTTACTCTGAACGTCGCTCTAAGGAGCATGTCATTTTGTTAAAGTGCATCAGTCATACTGGAATATAACTATTCCTCCCGTTAAAACAAACTGCTCGTATAAATATTAATACTATTCAACTGAGATGGGTGGCATTTGCTCTCGTGACCGCGAAAGCCAAGTAAACGCCGGCTCCATCCTGGACCGAGTGATAAGCCAGGCCAGCAACGAAGACCAATGTCTGCTCTACCGGCTGGCAGATTACAAGAAAGGTGGAGAACTGATCGAGGCCTACAATATCGGAGGGCAATCCGAGGTGGAGAGTCTGATGAGGGAACAATTCGGAGTGCTGATGTACGCGAACGGAAAGGGCCAGATAATCAATCGAGCCGAGTACCTCAGGTGGAAATTCCGAGATTCGGAGCAAGTCGTCCTGCCCATTGAAGCCTCTTTGTCGAGATTCGATCCTCTGGCTCAATGGAACGACCACGATGCATGCTGGCAGATGCAATATCGCGGCTCTTTGGGGGAAACTTTGCTGCACGTCCTGATAATTTGCGACACCAGGTCGCACACACGGATCGCCAGGATCCTCCTGAAGTGCTTCCCCAGGCTTGCGATCGACGTCGTCGAGGGGGAAGAGTACCTAGGCGCTAGTGCACTCCACCTTGCAATTGCGTACAATAATAACGAGCTCGTGCAGGACCTGGTGGAAGCTGGAGCTGCTGTGTCCCAGAGAGCCATTGGGAGTTTCTTCCTGCCCAGGGACCAGCAACGGATGTATCCTGCAAAAACCACCGATTACGAAGGACTCGCCTATCTCGGGGAATATCCTTTAGCCTGGGCTGCGTGCTGCGCCAATGAAAGCGTTTATAATTTACTTATCGACTCCGGGGCTAATCCTGACGAGCAGGACTCCTTCGGCAACATGATCCTCCACATGGTCGTTGTCTGCGATAAACTGGTAATTTGTCATACCTGCAGAAAAACAAATATTCGCTACATGATAGGGTCATTCTAAGCATATCAATACATGAAAAATCTTACTTCTCAACTTAAGAAATCTCGTCTCTCAAAAAATAATGAATTTATAACTTTAAAGCGTGATTATGGAGGTCCCGATCAAGGTCTTGGAACTCAGGAAATTTCATGATCTCGGAAAGAATTGTCTGAAAAATGAAATCTCATGAGTTTCGAGACCTTCATCGGGACCTCCGTAATCACACGTTAAAGTTACAAATTTATCTATTTTTTTCTCTCTTTTTTTTTTATGAAATTTTGTCAGTTTCAAGACCTTGCGCTTTGCAGAAGAGTTCCTCTTCACTTTATAATATCAGGATCAGTTTCCTTTATTGTAATGGAAATATTAAGTGGGCACATTTCAGGACATGTTTGGGTATGCTCTGCGACATCCGAGGCTCCCTGCTCGAAATGGGATCTTAAATCTTGCTGGCTTGACACCGTTGACACTTGCCTGTCAACTAGGACGTGCCGAGGTCTTCCGGGAGATGTTAGAACTCTCTGCAAAAGAATTTTGGCGCTACAGTAACATCACTTGCTCGGCGTATCCTCTGAACGCTCTCGATACGCTTTTACCTGACGGCAGAACAAGTATGAGAATTGATATCACCTGAATACCATACAGGGAACCCCCAAAATGCTCATATTAAAATATCATGTAAATTCCTTCGGTAGTTTTGGAGTTCCCAGATAACAAAGGAAAATAGTCTTCTCCTTACACACCCTCAGAAATGAAATTTATCTCTAATTTTATGCTTCACTCCATTGAATGAAATAATGTTTTTAAAGAAGAAAACCTTCCGTCGGTGTAATTCTATTGATTATCATTCAGACTGGAATTCCGCTCTCTTCATCATTTTAAACGGCACCAAAGAGGAGCATCTCGATATGCTGGACGGCGGCATCATTCAGAGGCTCCTAGAAGAAAAATGGAAAACATTCGCAAGAGTAAGTCAATTAATATTAATGCTTAAGGTGAAGTGAAACACGTCGAGGAACTTGGTCGACGTCGATAAACAAGATTTTTCTAAACGCCTACGTTGCCGACGTTGGTTTTTATATCGACAGCTGGGTCGAATTATATTGGGTATTGTACCAAATGGCATACTCCACCTGTCGTTTTCCTACAATAATTATAAAGAAATCCAAGTAAAACCCCAGAAATCCTCTGGATTCGTGCTTTCTGGGGCCCTAATTGACTGCAGAGGGACCCCCTGCGCCATCTGTGATTTCCAGGTCAATTAAATTTTCACTCCGAGACCTCGTATTACCATCGTTTTAGCATAGAAGCGCATACAACACTTTTTTTGCCTTTATCCCGTTCAAATTCGAGTTTATCGATTACCAGAGTGTTCTAAATTCTCGTAAAATTGTCCTGACCCTTTAGTTTCTCATATCAGAGCCTTCGATAATTGTACATCGATCGAAATATGAGAGCTCGACGCCATTTTGTTTCTGGTCTGGGCTGAGTTAAAGAACTTTTTAAAAAAATCCAAATTTTCAATGTGTCAGGACAATTCTTAGATGATCAGGAGTGACGTGTCAAAGTTTCGGACAGTTTGGTCTTTTACCCTTAAAAAAAAAATGTATTCGAATCGACTGATTTGAAGGGGGTTTCACTTCACCTTAAATAATTATACTGATGTAAAGTATGTTATATCTTGCGTGATCTTGGGCACGAACAGCTGCAGTTTCTCAAACGCCTTATCATCCTGGTTTTCCATCTGATGTCCCTATCTCTCGCCGTGTATTTTCGGCCAGCTGGAATGGAAGCAGATCTCGTTAAATGGCCCGACGAGATTTCGGACGTGGTTAGAACAATAGCCGAAGGACTCACCATTCTCGGAGTGTTTAATTACATATTAGTCCAGTTGGGCGGTGAGATCGTCAACATTGGGCTGCTCTCATTTTTCAAACAATTGGTACGTCCCCCTGGATTCTATTTTTAATATCTACTATATCACCTTTATTCTCGTTACAGACCCACGAGCCGGCGAAGTTCATCTTCCTTATCAGTAACCTTTTAATTCTTGCGTGTATTCCATGCCGAATTGCTGGGAATCGCCATTCGGAGGATGCTATCCTCGTGGTTGCTGTTCCTGGCTCGTGGTTTCTTCTAATGTTCTTCGCTGGGTACGTTCAGTTTATAATTCGTACGCCTAGAGAAAGAAAAGAAAATTGATTCCTTGAGTGGCATTAAAATTTCATTCTTACAGAGCTGTTCGGTTGACGGGACCCTTTGTCACAATGGTGTACAGCATGATTACTGGCGACATGTTGACTTTTGGCATCATATACACCATCGTGCTTTTCGGATTCTCTCAGTCATTCTACTTCCTCTACAAAGGATTCCCCGGAGTGAAGTCATCGCTCTATCATTCTTATCATTCCACGTGGATGGCTCTGTTGCAGATCACCCTTGGAGATTACAATGTAGATTAACATTTTACACACAACAGTTTCGCACCTTAAAGAATAATTCATCAGGGTATTAATACGCAGGTCTATGCACTGAGAAAAAGATGCTTCAAGAAAATGATATATCTTTTAACGGAGTGAGAAAAGAAAAAGAAAAGCTGCAGCACAATGTCAAAGAAATATAGTCTTCGACTGGAAAGATTATTGCATGTCCTAAAATTTATATCTTGACATTGCTACCATACAAATCTCTATTTTTTCTTTTTTTTTCAGTACACTGACTTGAGTCTCACAACGTACCCGAATTTGAGCAAGACGGTTTTCGCCATTTTTATGGTTTTAGTGCCGATATTACTGTTGAACATGTTAATTGCCATGATGGGCAACACGTACGCACACGTGATCGAGCAAAGCGAGAAGGAATGGATGAAACAGGCAAGGATTCTCTCCGTTCCCTCGAGTACTGATCTGACAATTATTTATTGCATACTCTACATTACTATATTACCGTATTAATACCTTACGACAATTATTTATTGCATATTCTACATTACTATATTACCGTATTTATTACCTTACGACAATTACTCATTGCATATTCTACATTACTATATTACCGTATTTATTACCTCGCACGCAGTGGGCTAAGATAGTCGTATCTCTAGAACGCGCTGTATCGCAAAAAGATGCTCACACCTATTTGCAAGAATACAGCATCAAGGTAGGCCCTGGGGACGACCCCAACAATCCAGCTTCTGAACAAAGAGGTGTTATGGTTATCAAATCAAAATCAAAGACAAGAGCTAAGCAAAGGAAAGGAGCAGTATCCAACTGGAAGGTTGGTGCAATCTGAAACACGACGGTCTTAAATGTAAATCGTAAATACACGTGTAATCTACCGCCCTTCTCATTTCTATTTTTTTTTCTCTCTCTCCAGCGCGTAGGAAAAGTAACAATTAATGAGCTAAAAAAACGAGGACTGACCGGAGAGGAATTGAGGTGCATCATGTGGGGACGTGCATCCTTTTCGACACCTGTACGCGTACCGACTAGGTACATTTTGGACGCAGGATTATAATTATTCCGACATTTCTATACGCAATTCTATTCTACATTACAGTCCTTCCCATCAACCGAAACCTGAAGGGGAGCCAGGAGCTTCCGGATTATTTGGCACCGCGTTGACAGCAGCTCTGGATGTCATGGCATTCTCGAATGACGTTAATCTACTTCCAGCAGATCAAGCCACAGCTGTTAGAATCGGGGAGAGATCGACGAACCAGGTGGAAGAGATGCCGCCGTCATTCTCTGAAGCCACGACAATGGCTACTGCTATTCCGATGACCAAAGAGGAGCCTCGACTCGAAACTGGAGACTTGAAGAAATCCCCAAGAGTGCAGGAGTTAAGGGCTAAATTAACAGCCGTTGCGCAATTTGGAGTGGACATTTTGAGAGGTCGGTTAACATCTATTGGCAGGCTTAGTGAATATCTACATTTAATTTCATCTACTCGGCAGCCGATTCGTTCGACGCGCCGCCGAGAGAGGGCGACAATGCGGACCCCCTCCGAGATCTTGTAATAGCGTCGGAAAGTTCCCAATGCAATCCGGAAATTCTGCTGAAAATAGCTGGATCGGCTCGCGAGTTGAGCGAGATTTCGGCTCAAACTGCAACAAACTCTGAAATACTTGAGCGACTCTCCGGCTCAATGTTCCCGGAGATAGGAAAGAAAGCTCCGGACATGAAAAAGAAGCAAGTATTTGCAGACTCAAGTGACAACGAACTGTGTCCTGGTATGCAGCCCTTATGCATTATTTACATACATATCCAAACGTGAAAACATTTATAAAACATTTCATCAAACTGGGGGTGTATCGAATTAACATTAGAATAACGTACAATTGATTTATACAATTTTAGACGAATCAGTTCTGGGCATGGAAGCTCGTCTTCGAAGAATTAAATCTGCAAGTAACAGGCTGGCGCCTCTAAAGATGTATCCAAGACATGTCGAAAATGCCCGCGAAATTTACAGTGGCTCTTCGACGACATCGATAGACGTGACATCGACATATCAATTATCACCTAATGATCCGAAGCGCAATGGCTGTTTAAACGGTGTCAATAAACAGTCCATTAATGGAGAGGAAGCGAAACGCAATGTAAATCATTCGCAAGGCTCGAAAAACCATAAACGTAAAACGACGTCGGCTAAGAACAGGTGAAATAAATAACGCAGTATAAATATTTTTATATCGCTATATTAATTATATATATATGGATGTCGAGGTGTATATTACTAAATTATTCCAGAATATCCCCAGAAACGTCATGTAAAACAAATAACTCGCCTGGACACCGAGATCCAACCGAAGTAAATAAAGTTGACTCGGCATCGACATCACCTACCGATCCTCTAGAGCCATGGAGTACTCGTAACATTCAAACAATGAGTTCTATTCTTGCATGGAGAGAAAACGGCATAGATAGCCCATAAGAAATTGCATCCAGGTGCAGAATAAAATTTACACCACCAATGTTGTTGCAAATAATGCACATGTACAAGTTCAATTAAAAGATAGTATTTATTGATGACGATTGACATGTGGTAGAAGAAATATTTAAGTTTAACGGCACTATCGAAATCACTCGCTCGATAACATAAAACATAATCAATTGGTTTCGAAGAACACCGTGTGACTGATTACATATATTAAGTTGATACATCGTGGTACTGAACACTACAGATCTGATACGACAATCAGAATGTCATTACGCTACAACATCCGTTTTTGCATTCCTTTTAAATCCAACAAATCGAACAATAGATCTACCTTTAAAAGTGATTTACCGAAAACTTATTACTACCGATAATCGTACCTAAAGAATACACTGTTCGTTTAAAATTACAAAAAAGAAAGGAAAGAATGATCGAAGGAAGTCTTCGGTGCCATTATAAGAATATTTTAACATTCATATCGTAAACTAGTTTTGGAAACGTAAAGACGCAACGTAAGTGAACTGCCTTATAGAACAACAGACATGTATTCATCGTTTCTACTTAATTATAGAATCTTTTGTAGTCTTGAATTTATGGTCGTCTCCCACGCCTTTATGCTCGCCGTTAACACGCCTGCATTAGAAAATAAACACACTGGTGAGAGATTTTGAGATGCACAAAAGAATAGCAGCATAATTTTAGAAAGTATAGGTTGCAATGAAATTAAATAAAATGTCATCGATCGATGGCTACCGTATACAGTCTACTCATCGAAGGATATTTCCAATTAATATCTGCGAATGGAATTGATAAGCCAATTATAAGGTTGATCAATGGAGTAAATCTCAATAATTATGACACTAGTGTGTCAAAAAAAGCGTGAGATCGTTACCGTTTTACCTGCTGCGGGATCTTGAAGCCGATCTAGACCTGGATCTGCGAGGAGTCCGGTCTTTGGACGCCGATCTTGCTTTGCTGCGCGACTTACGATTGTTGTGCCTGCTTCTGCTTCGTGAACGGCTGCGAGACGAAGAGCGAGATCTGGAGTACTTGTTCCTGGATCGTGATCGTGATCGAGACCGAGAGCGCGAACGAGACCTGGAGCGAGACCTAGAACGAAATTAATATGAAAACGATGTTCATTTAAGTCTTCCTGCGCGCTAAATAATACGACTTTAACATTAAAGACTGCTGACTCGAAAGCATGTTTCGACACTTTACCCAGTATCCACGTCAGTAAGGAAAACAATGTAAGTCGTAGAGCCCATAAAATTGATCCGTCATTGAATCGACACTTCCAAATTATAGAAACTGTCTAAACACTGAAAATCTGTATCGGTCCTTCCTATCTTTAGAACCGTTCCATTACCCCTCTTCACTTATAACTCAAATGCATTGTTATTCTTGCCCTAATTTTTAATAATCAACCAACGAGGACTTACAACGTTTTGCCTTCCATCGGATATATTTCCACTGCCAACTTTATAATAATATAACGAAGGCACTTGGTTTCATTCGATCTATTACTGGGGAATTATAATAGACGAGTCGAATCAATCGTGTCAGATCTCATTACTAATGACCGGACCTAATCAAAGACCAGGCAGGGTGACTAGATTTCGCTAGTTGATTGAAAATACTCAAAGAAAGTAGAACTATGCTCCTAATTTTCACCAAAACATGAAAATTGAAGAAGAAAAATTTTGAAGTTAACCTCAACTTTCTGCTCGATCTTGTCTTCCCTACGGTCCATGATTCGACACTCAGCTGCACAAGGAACACTACATAAACACATTAGAAGGAAACCCTGCTGATAATATATCTCGCTTGTTAACCTCCGCGATATTATTTGCTTATCTCTGTAGTTATGTACCATATGTAACGGTGGCTGCCTTACAGAAGTGGAAGGCTGTGGAAGTACGCGCAAGGGGAGTTCGGAGTGACGAAGACTTATGCAGATGAAATCGAGCGCGAGGGTCAGACGACGAACGAAGAGTGGCTAAACACTGCTTGGACAGCTCAAAGTCGGTCGGACACTCAGGTAGATATTAGAGTACCAGTCGGTACCAGGGTGACCGAATGCAGAAACCCGTAGTTCGTAGCTAGCTCTCTGTCATAGGGTGATGTCAGTGATGTCGCTAGTACCGAAGTGCAGTAGCAGAACGAACTAGCCACTCCGTCGGTCTCTCTCTCGCGTACGCCGGCTCTCTCACGTTCGCAGAGTGCAGAAGGTAAACCCAAAGTAGGTGGGTGCTCTCTACGCTGTAACTACGCAGTGTGTCACAAAGTGAACCCAAGCCGAATCTCGCGAGAATCTCAGTAGACACGCATTTCACATGCGTGTATACGCTGTTCAGCCGCATCTCCTATAAATAACGGACACCATTACGTCCTCCAAAACTTAACCATTTATTCATTATTGATTTTCAACCAATGGGTCACCGTTACGTGATCACCACCGATTAGTTAAATATAGTCTTTAGGTCTTACGACTAATGATTAACCTCTTGTCCTGAAGCGACTTACCATTCGAGGACTAGAGCTTACAAATGGAATATTTAATACATTCGTAAATTTGGGATGTAACTTTGGTAATAATACTTTGTTCGGTACCCCTGCACAAGCACAGATATAGCAAATCCCTACTTTTCGATGTCAATTTATCTGGTTTTGTAAATTGTAATGAGAGAAAATAGAAAAACCACAAAAGTATGCAGCGGATGGGAACAAAAGAAACTGAGAGAAAAACTGAAATGATTAGATAACGTAACTGAAAAGAAAACAACAAAAAGCAGATTTAAAAAAAAAATGGAAACAGATTTAAAGGTGGATAAGTACTAATTAGTTGAAAAGAAATCGTAATTAAAATAAAAGCAACAAAGGGTGGTTCGTGATAAATGGACTTGTCCATTTTCCGTATACACATACTGCGATCTTGCTAAACCAAAAGACAATATAACTAAGAAACATATACAATGCATCGTTATAAAGTTGTATTATAAATGTTTCAATGAACACGTACCTTTTCCTGCGAGAGCTCCTGTGCTTAGAACAATCTCTTGCATAGTGGCCTCGATCTCCACACTCGTAACACCGATCTTCGGGGTGGAAAGGTCTTGCAGTAGCTCCTCCTCCTCCTCGCCTCGATGGACCCCTGTCTCTTAACCTCTTTCCATTCGACGGTTCAACTCTTGCTCTTCTCCCGCATATAGTACGCCCGTCTAATCCTTTGACTGCATCCTCCGCATCTCTAGCATCCTCAAACTCGACGAAAGCAAAACCTGGCGGGTTTCTTGCAACCCAAACGTTTTTCAAAGGTCCGTAGTAAGAAAAGGCGTCCTCCAATTCTTGTTTGGTTGCGCTACTTCCTAAATCCCCCACGTAGACTTTACAGTCGGAGGGATATCTTGGCATCTAAAAATTGGAGATTCGCATAAGATGAATAAAACATCTCTAATTACTTCCCATCGTATTCAGATCTTTAGAAATGTCTGCAAGCGATCAGATTGGTCGAAAGTACTGTATGTGCAGAATTTTACATTGAATGACTCAAGCTTTTCAGCAACGGGCGCTTATTACCAATAAACATTTTTTCTAACCCTTTAGCAGAAATACTGTGTATATACAATGCGGAAAGATAATCCTCACGTTTCTTCACACTATGCGTACATAATTTCCAACCCACAAAGCTTCGAATACGCCAAAGATGCAACAATTTTTCCCATTACAAGTACGATTATTTTAGCCAGAAAAATTAATTACGATAACAACGTACCTTATTCATGATTAATTCCGCTACTAATGCATTACATTCGCAACGTTCAAATCAAATACAAGCAACAAGAATTACTGATAACCACGGCGTCACCTTTTATCGTATATCGATCCCCGCACACAAAATGGCTCTTTAAGTCAAATTTGCACTGCATTGATGCAAGGATGAGAAGAGAGAAGGCCTTCGTCGCTGATAAAATTGAAACATTTAAGCATTAACTAAACCAGAAAAATTATATCGAAGATAACCTTTCTAGAGTGATTTGAGTGATCGAGTTCAGTGCTGCCGCCACGTAAAAATTACGAATTATACGTATTTTCTCCATCCGCCATCTCGTGAGTATTTCTTGAAGTTTACGAATAACTACAAGTTGGTAAAATGTTAAACAATTCTACCAGATTTTATTTACCTCATAATTGTCCGAAAAATAAGTGAATCTGGCAAATTAGATATTATTAATTTTTTAATATACATGTATATTCCATTTAACACAGTAATTGTCGCGTCAATCACTAGAAAACAATATATTGGCAAGAATCTACTCGGTGTGCGGAGTCGCACATTTAATGTGCGATATAACATTGCATACTAGTAGTAGTACATAGAATGTATACAAGTGTGCGTGTTCCCGGAAGAGCGTATAGTTTGGCAAACAGCATGAACAGTACTCGTCAGCGAATAATCTTAATTATTATAGTACCGTTATTGTAACATTAATACCATTTTAAAACAAATAGTCTGATGTTACTCTCACATCCCAGGTGGGGGTCCATACATTGGATTCAGTTGCTGAGTGCAACGTATGAATGTGGCACGTCGAGGCAGTTCTCGTAAGCATTCTGCACCTGTATAAGTGCATGCTGATCGTAATCCTCCTAATATGTCTAATACTGTACTTTCCACCAATCCTTTGTAAGGCACTTCTACAGTTTTCCCTTCCGAAGACCTGAAGTGCATCGAAAACATCCACCATATTTTTAATTATTTAATTAATTACCTGTTAATTTCTTACGCTACAGGCAAATTCACAACAATTTGTCGAAAGACATTCACCTGTACTCAGCCACTCCTCCAATATGTTTCTTCATCGCTGTCGATGAAGCCATGCCATAAAAGAGTTTAAACTTCTTTCCATTTTTTTCTATTATTTCTCCACTGCATTCGTCGTGACCTGCAAACATTCCTCCTGCCATAACAAAATCGGCACCAGCACCGAAAGCCTTGGCTAAGTCTCCTGGGCAAGTACATCCACCATCCTGTAAAAAATGAGATATACACTCTTCGTTTATATGTAATATTGAAAATAATTCTACAAAGTCGTTTAGAATTCAGTTCGTATTACTTACGGATATTATGTGCCCCTTTAAACCATGCGCTGCATCAGCGCATTCAATCACAGCGCTGAGTTGGGGATATCCCACACCAGTCTTCATTCGAGTTGTGCACACGGAACCAGGTCCAATTCCTACTTTGATTAGGTCAGCACCGGACAGAATTAATTCTTCAACCATTTCTCCAGTGACTACATTACCAGCCTTAAATATAAACATGGCCATTACAAAAAAGAAGGTCACTTCTTACTCGAATACATTAGGACTTTTTACGTACTATTATTGTATGCTTAGGAAATGCTGCTCGCACTTTCCTCACACGTTCGATAAAGTGTTGCGAGTAACCATTGGCTACGTCTAAACATATAAATGTAAGCTCTGGCACGGCGGTTAATACATTCGAAAGCCGTTCGAAATCATCTTCGCCAGTACCTGAACTGGCTGCCATATTTTGTAAACAGTCTTTATTTTGCGTGCCGAAAGCCACCCATTCTTCTGGTGTATAATACTTATGAACTGTGGTGAATAATCCATGCTGGAAAAAAAATATTTGAATACTTTCAAATTGTCTCCTTTAGGATCAAATTGAAGCGAACCTTTGACAGTGCTTTCGCCATTTCGAACGTTCCAACGGTGTCCATATTTGACGCCATCACGGGGATGCCCCTGTACGTCTGTCTTGAATTGCGAAATGTAATTTCTCTGAAGAGGTCCACCTGCGGTATAAAAAGTAGAACCTCGTTAACGATAATGACTAGAATTGCAAGATCTGACACTGCAACATTTCAATGATTATCATGAACTTTAGGTTTTCAGAATGCACATATTTACATTCATTCTACATCAATATCTGTACTAAATAGAATTTCATGGTTCACCGAAGCGAGTAATGAAGTACCAGCTTCGACAGGGAAAGGTAATTTGCAAAGAAGCTGTAACGACAGCCAGTTCATCTCATCCCTTCATTCTTCAGAAACGTAGCATGAGAAAATAGTTCCAATGCATGTAAACGAGAAGAATCTGAATTGTAAATGGCAGGACACAAATATCGGAGGTACTGAAGTCTCGAAAGGTAAAAATAGCCCTTAACAAGCCCAGAAACGAAACAGGGAGGGAAAAAGAAAATATACGTACATCTGATCGGCTTTTCAAAGTGCTTCTCTTCGGTCGCAAGAGCACATCCTTGAAATCCAACTTAATATCGTTTATTATGTTTGGCATTTTAGCAGACGAATAATTAAAGTCCCGTCCTACACCACTAAATTTGGACACGATCACACGAGAATTCCTTCTCTTCGTAAAACGAGAGACGTGACGTCAGCGCCATCTACTCCAGCAGCTTCCACTCGCAGAACTAAAGAACAAGATGGCCGCAATCCCGCCAGTTTTCAAACATATGAACCCAGTAACTACTATTTATATCTTTACTAGTTACCAAAATTTAACGTGAAAGTGACTCATTATTAAGTTGGCTGTAAATAACTGTGGGATACTAGAGCTGTTGTAGCGTTTTTAAAATAGCGCATCGAGCTCATTGTGTAACTCGGAAGTGTGGTTAAGGTTCGATATATCGGATATCTGATATAAGCCAGAAAGGGTAGTGTATCTTTAGTTCTGTTTCTAAAATATCTCTTCAGGATTCGGCTTCGATAGAAAATAGCTTTGCATCTTCCGTCATTCCCATAATGACACGTTATACGTTCAGACACAGAAGCCCCTGAAACGGCGCCCTTGTCGCACTAAATTCCGCAGCTAACGGAGTGAAACTGAAATATGAATTTTATGCTACATCAATATCTTGATTTTTGATTAATAAGTCCCCATTCAGTAAGGCTTCGCCCTCTCTTATCGCAATAAAGTTCTGCGGTATTTCTGAATCCATGAACACGACAGATCTTTATCACCCTCGAATGAGAAATTAATATCTCAGTATCCACGACGTTAAAAATAGTGATAAAATTCATACACATTAATGACGTAACTTTATAATGGAATTAAAATTTCCGCGTCTTAAAGCTGTAAACGTTTACTACAAATTACTTAAACTAAGATCAATGCCCTTACTGTTAAATTTATAACATATGTTTATAAAACATACAAATGAAACGTTATAAAAACGGTAATATTTTTTGCAACGGTGCAATACGATCAATATCGCTAATGCCTTAAATCAATATATCAGGACGGTCGAATTAATGTGCTTTACATCCACGGACCCTGGACTTAAAATAAACCTTAAAACCGGAATAAATTCACCGACGTTTAAAATAGATCTTTAGATCTGACATTAGCTACATCGATCCTCAGAATAGATCCTCGGATCACAAAATAAACCATTAAGTTAATTTCAACCGAGCCACGTGCAGCGTCAAAATTTAAATATAAAATCTCCGAGTTCTCTTAAATTCCGTGAAACCCTCTAGGGATTTTCAAATTACCGCATTCTCGGTTAAACACCTCGAATTTAATTTTCCGAGAATATGAAAAACCCTAAACCCGGCAAACCATTTCGGTAATTTCGCAATAACCCAGTGAACATATAATTTTTTTATTTTTAATTCTTTTTTGCTACTTGACAATAGTTAGATATTAAATGACAAATCAGACTTTCGATGAAATTATGTAATGATGAACTACCTGATTTTACTTAAAGACAATTAGGATTTCATTCGACTAGCAAACAATGACTGATAATGTATATGCGCGTATGAATTAATGTCTCATTTTTTTCATATGAGTAAAGAAAATATGACATATATTAATCTTGTGACATTTGACGGTGAATTATGACAATGATGTAATAAAATAAATGACAGGTAGCACCAATGTAGTTTTTTTTTTGCTACAAACATGTGCTGCATATACACAGTAATGTCAGGACAGTAACATAATGTAAGATGAGAGTAACAAAGTTATGCTACATGTATATAGATATAATGGTAACAAATGTTATGTAACTAGCTAGCTCTATGTTACATAACCGTTAGGTTATTACATTGTAACAAACGTTATGCGACTTGTTAGTATTAAGTTACATAACTGTTAGGTTTGGTGTTCAGTGGGAAGGAATAAAATTTAAAAGGACTCAATACAGGAGAGGATTCGTCACGAGTCGGGGAATTAATTAATGCAATTTAGTATGGTAAAGTGAAACAATCGTCGCCCATCGACTGTCCGCACGAAGGTTTTTTATTTTTTTTTCCCCTTTTTTTTTTCGGGCAAACATTAATAGCGGCCCTCGTGTGGAGAGATTTTATCGAAAACCGAGCTCTCGGAATACTTCATTATTCCTCCGCGCTCATTTGCTCGATCACAGCCCATTACTTCTTAACAGCTCGCATTAATTATTCCTGGGACTTATAATCGCACGACCATCCGCGAAATACGTAGTTAAATATTTCACACGAATCCGAATGCGTCGGCCACTGAGTATATACCACTCGACGCGAGACGCCGCTGGCCACCTGGTCGAAATGTTACGGCGTCCGTTATTGATTTTAGGTAATGCCTTAAATAGAACGTTCAACTTCACAGCTTATGGACCTTACCAGCCATCACAGCTCATTTAGACATAAATAAAAAAGTCGACCAGTATCTACATCCCCGCAGGCAAAACTCCATTACACTCAGTCCATAACCTAACCTAAAACCACACGACATTAAATACAAAATATAAAAAAGGTCCGAGAAATAATAACCCCAGGCGCTGCCAGAAAATAGCAATAACCTAATTTCAACGATTTTTCACACTACAGCCTAACCTAAATCCCAGAAAAGATACTCGATTTAAAAACCGGCATAGACATGACAACCCTATCCATGAAGAATTGTTAATATCAACGTCAATTGTTACAGGGTTAGTGCATGTTTTCAGGGGAATCCATATCGGAAGAACGAACGAGTGAATCGTCGGGGGGGGGGGGGGGGGGGGGGGGGGGGGGGGGGCGATTGGGCGGTTTTGTTGGGCATGGATTGCGATTGAACGACCAACAAAGGTGAGTCGATCGACACGAGCGGGACAAATCCTCGATCCGATGCTTTCAGATGCCGGAAGCAGGGTCGTTCATCGATTCGGCGGCCGGCGGGAGCATGGACCCCGCGTCAGCGATGAAAATGCGAAAATTCGAAGATGCGAAAATGTGAGAATACCGGAATGGCAGAGTAGGAAAATACGATAATGTGAAAAAGGTACGCAGCCGTTTGACCAGCTACGAATCCCGGGGTTCGCGTGGCGATAACGCGAAAGAGCGTGACACGTAATCTGGCTGTGTATTTAACCACTTTGCGAAATAACCGTTTATTTCGGTGCGACGTCGGTACTCGATATGTCGAGGCCGTTGTGCGCGCGCGCGCGCGTATTCGCGACAGAGCGCCATCGGAAAGCCGAGGAGGGGAGCCTGCAAGTCGTCGTAGAGGGGATTGGGTTCTAAGCTCGAAGCGAGAGAGAGAGAGAGAGGGGAGGGGGTCGAGCGAGAGAGACAGAGAGCAGGCGGACGCGAGAGGGTGGCGAATATCATGGTGGCGGTGCAGAAGGGTGCGCCCTACTTCGTATCTCCGCTGCTCGGTGCGGAACGCGGCGGCGAGTAAGGAAGAGCGCGCCGGATGCACCGTGAGAAGAAGATCCACCAAGGTACCCCGTGACTCCCCAGACGGTGAAGGAATCCCCGGGCAGGGAGGAAAAAACCCTCGCCAAGCGACCATTGATCCCCTCTGCGGACGAGGTATCCCCTGGATTCACGGTGCAGCGTCGAAATGCGATCGGCGTCGCGCTAGAAGAAGGTCTGGGCCGACGTAAGCCTCCTACGGCGAGAGAAGAGACGAAAAACCAGAGGACTTTGTGCGAGATGTTCCCGAAGACGAGGTGCCGTCGCCTAGTGGTGCCTCGGGGCATCCCAGAGTGGATAGAGTGAGGCCTTGGGCGAATCAGGGGCGTCCTGAGAATTAATCAATGATGGGATTTTTTCTCTTTTGGGCGGACACTGGCGTGCGTGGCGAACGCGATGGCGGCAGCGTGTTGTTGCGGTGAGGGGTGCTGGGGCAGCTTCTGAAACCGCTGATGTTGGAAAAAGGCTGGGAGGAAGGATGGGTCGCTTACCGATCCTTGCGTGCACTATAGCGACCTTCGGCGCGCTCATTCTCGGGGAAAGGTGCGCGGACGAGTGCTCGTGCAAATGGAAAAGCGGTAAGCGCACCGTCGAGTGTGTGGACCGCTCTCTGACTGGCATTCCGGATTGGATCGATGCGGAAACCCAGGTCCTGGACATCAGCGGAAATAATATACGGATTCTGTCGGGACACGCGTTCGTGCGGGTGCACCTGACGAACCTGCAGCGGCTTTACCTGCGGGGATGCCGTATCGACCGTATCGATGCCAAAGCCCTGGCCGGTCTCACTAACCTAGTGGAGCTGGACCTGAGTAACAATCTGTTGACCTCGGTGCCGAGCAAGAACTTCGTGGACACCCCGTTCCTAAGGGATCTGATCTTGTCCAACAACCCTCTGGAGAGGATCGCGATGGAGACCTTCGTGACGACTCCAAACCTGGTGAAGCTGGATCTGACCAACACTCGGTTGAGGCAGATCGAGTCTCGGGGGTTCCAGGGCCTGGAGACTCTGGAGAACCTGAAATTGAGCGGCAACCACCTGAGCACCCTGCAACCCGGCACCTTCGAGCACCTTAATAAGCTGACGAGCATCGAGTTACACGACAATCCCTGGATCTGCGACTGCCACCTCCGGGAGCTGAAGATGTGGCTGGTGAAGCACAACCTGCTGACCCTGATGGCGCCAACGTGCCACGGCCCTGACCAGCTGGTGAATCGGCTGTTCACAGACCTCTCCATCGACGATTTCGCTTGTCGCCCGTTCATCCTATCCTCCAGTCGCTACGTAGAAGCCACCATCGGCGAAAATGCCAGTATTTCCTGCAGAGTCAGTGCCGTCCCAGCCGCCAAGATCAAGTGGTACTGGAACGGCCGGCACCTGACGAACCATTCGGCCTTCAGCAGTTTCCAGAAAATCCTGATCCAAGAGGAGGGTCAGTTCCGCAAACAGAGCACGTTGGTGCTGACGAACGCCCAGGAAACGGACTCCAGCGAGTTCTACTGCGTCGCTGAGAACCGCGCCGGCAGCGTGGAGACTAACTTCACTCTCCACGTGTCCCTGAGAACTGCTGGCATGTCGACTCTAGGGTCAGGCCAGATAGCCGGGATCTCGGCAGCGCTGGTCGTCCTGATCCTCTTTATCCTCCTCATAATTCTAATACTCTTCATCCGTTTGCGAAGGATGCCGCTGAAGGGCGTGAAAACGGCGACCCCGACAGAGTCTGTTCCTGAGAACGCAGCGTCATTCGAGGACATCTCCAACCGAAGCCAGAAGCAGAGATTCAGCTCGGAGTTGGCTTCCTTTGCGGAGCCCAAACCACCAGTTAGTTTGAACCTGACCCCTTACGTCCAGAAGCCGCAATCCCTGGTCTACAGTGGCTACGATGCCAGGCCCCGGTGCGAAAACGACGAGTCCAGGATGGTCCCATGCTTCTCGTCCGCGACATCATACAAAGCCGTAGATAATCCAGACCTCATCAGGGACACGAGGGACACCGGCGATGAGGTGGTGTCCTGCATCACTGAGTATAGCGGCGTCGACCTGGAAGAGGTCAGGAAGGTGATATACCCTGGTAGCGAGTGGTCGGACGGCTGTACGAACGTCACCATGAAGGAGACCACCCTGACCACCATGGTGGCGGCCCCAGTGGATCAGTTCCCACCTGGGGCCAAGCAGATCCGCGTCTGGCAGAAGGGAGTTCCCATATTACCTCCTGTTTCCGCCCTGAAGCGTGTCCTCGGCTCTACGCGCAGCTCTCCTGATGAGGGGTACCAGGAGGGCACGGGCACCGACGTTTAGATGGTGCTCTTCGCTGCTGCGACGACGACTCAAGCCGCTCCTGGAATCGAGCGACAGACATTTCACGAATTCTAAGAGATAAAGTGACGTCAGTGATTTGTTTTGTGCCGAGAGAAATGCCGGTGAAGTTTTTCCTTAACCTTGGTTTACGGCGCAGGGAAAATTCATACCAGAAGGCGAATGATGGGACGAAATATGTCCGCAAAGAGAAGAGGGAAAAAATGGACACTCACTTGTTATCAAATGTATAAGGTGGTTCCCAGGTTACCAGGGATTCCAGGAAGGCACGGGAACCGACGTGCAGACGGTGCTCTTCGCTGCTGCACCGCTGGCTCACGATTCCTGGAATCGAGCGAGAGACATTTCATGAATTCTAAGAGATAATGTGACGTCAGTGATTTTCTTTGTGCTGAAAGAAATCCCAGTGAGGTTATTCCCCGTACCCTTGGTTTATATGGAATGTGAACACGAGAAGGCAGGGAATTATGAAAGTAGGAGTATCTGCGGGTCTGAAAAAGAAAGAGGGAACATGGAACGAAGCATATCTGCGGAGGTGGAAAAGAGACGGACACATACTCATTACATATATGTATAGGGAGCGGGGTGGCGGGCGAAAGAGACAAAGAAGACAATATCGTTATTTCAGTGGTCTTACAGCACAATATTGACGGGTAATTTCTTATTCGGCTTATGCCAAAGATCCATACAAATTTCTGATGTCAAGACTGTAAATGTTCCAGATATGTATAGATAGGTAAACGGTCGACTTATTAAAGTAACATGTCGTATATCATGTACACGTACATATATATATATATATACACATCTAGATTTTTTAGTCAATTCTGTTCGAGGTTCGGCCGAAGGTGGTTTGATAAGTCGGTAACTCACGTCGAGCACTTGTTTTCTACAGAGTCCACTGTATGAAATACTTCGGCAACTTCTGAATGGCGGTAGTATTTCTTCGTTTTATGAGAAATCACTTTTCGAAGTGTGTATCCGTTACTGCACACTCGTGTTCGTGTATGTGTTTCGTATTCGCATACGAGCTGCTCAAGTGAAATTTATCGGTCAGTACTGCTGGAAAGAAAGAAAATAAGGGAATACTTTTCGGGACTTGTCATACCAGTATTTCAGGCATTTTTCGTATAAAGTGAGTGCGCCCGGTCGTTGTCACGTTTTCGGAGGGGAAGGACAGTTTATCGTAATTCTCTGAAGAATATTCTCGCGTAGGTATGCTGGAAATGTTGCCAAAGTGATTAGAAATGATAAATTGGAACTGCTATGTACGCACCGAGAAGACATATCTACGAGGGAATCCCACGGCATACACAAAATGGACATTAACGGCGTGACGATATTTTTAACATCGATTCGCAGTCTTTCAATACGAGGATCTCTCTTCCATCCTATATCATTTTCACCCTACAGGAACGTCGTATCATTTTTCGGGATTTTCATTCGCCTTCATTCGCCGTCTCGAGAAATTGTGTTCTAGATTGAGAATGAATTTCCCTTGTTGAATGTTCCCGAACAGAGGAAGTATTCATTATGAGAGAGCGAATTACGGGAGATATACATTTATTGTACACGATTTTGACGAGATAGGGAATCCTATTATTTAATTAAATCTTTGGTTTACACTTTTGGAGTCATTGTTTTTAAACTATCGAGTATGTACGCTTTTACGGCAAGGGCGAGTCAGTCAGTTAACGAATAAAAATGAAATAGCGTGCCAGATGGTAATTTCGACAACCAATCACTCCGACTACGATGTGCGGAAAATAAAATCTATAATTACAAGTAAGAGTTTTTAGTGTTTCTTTCGATTAGTTAATTTGCCCACTTCAACCCCTGCCGGCTGAAATAACGTCTAATATATCAAGACGTAAAAATATGTGTAAAGCTTTTTTTTTTTTTCAAACCGGGCGCGGAACAAATTTTAAACTTTAACACGTGGAGGCCCTAACGAAGGTCTTGAAACTCAGGAAATTTCATTTTTCGACAATAATTCCCTCGTCTGATTCTTGTCCGGGATAGATATAAGATGTTCCTTCGAAAAATGAAACTTCCCATATCGCAAAACCTTCATTAGGTCCTCCATACTTACGTGTTACAGTTTCTAATTATTAGGTGCCCCCAGTTTGGAGAAAAGCTTCACAAATATTTTAACTCTTTGGTATGTGCGTTTATGACATTTTCATAGGATTTTTAATGCACGACTGGTGAAGCAAAACCGTGGAGAAGCATTTTTTCTTACGGTTCTCATATCCGGGAATCACAACAATTGACTGTATTAATGAAACGACTGAAGGTGTGAGGTTGAGCCACCGAAAATTCTTAAGCAATCGTAATACTACCTAAGACATACTGTAACAAATTGGTTGTCCTTGTCAGATGCGTTGTAATAAAAGGAGAGAATAGATCGCTAGATTTTATCCCTTCCTCAAATGAAAGTGCAATTATTCGTACACTCCTTTTTCACACCCTTTTGGATCTCGGTGATTCCCCGTCTTAAAATCAAATTACCACAAGATTGCTAATTAAATTATCTTGTCTAGATGTTTAGATTTTAATCACATGGAAGTATTTATTTCTTCGGCAGGTAACCGAGTCGAATTGTGAAGCTTAACGACTTGATAATTCAAACCTTTCCTATGAGAACGACCGTTTACCCGATACCGCCTTTATTAATCGCCTCTACATCACTGCTCTATCTATGCTCTAACATGGCGTCAATTAATTGTCGTTGCCCATTTTAGAGTGCACTCCGTGCTCTCCAAGTTACGTTCCTCGGGTCGACATATTGTTGTGACAAATTTACGACTCTTATCGAGTTCAACCTTAAAACTTTTCGCGTTTGTTAGGTCTGCCACTAGGTCGCGCTGTCAACTATAAGGGAGGGGAGTCTAGAGGGGCGAATACGCGTTGAGATTAGGGTACCATTTAAATTAATTTTCTTTTTTTTTTTCATTGTCACGTAATGAAAAATCAGAAATGGATGAATTATTTGAATTACAATTTGTAATTTGTTATCTACGCTCGTTGCATTGAGTGGACGAGGCGTTATAGTTATGATCGATACCGATCTCTGGGCTTCGAGCTTCGATCTCTCGGCTTTGTAGATCCGACCTCGACGGTCAATTTCCTTCATTGGCCTCGGGCGAGAGGCGCAAGAATCAATCAGAGAATTGCTCGAGGCGGAGAAAACTAATCGAGCCGGTTGCCGGGAGAGACAAAAGAGTTGAAGCAGCATGTCACAAGCAGCGAAGGGGTTATTTATTAAGACGTAAGCTTTGACGAGCATGGGTTCTGACCGGATAAAAAATCAAGCAGCCAGCTCAGTAAATGCAACTAAAAGAAAAATGAATAATCAAGATTAATAATAGCGTTTAAAGGTGTAAATATGCCCGTGACATTCCGTTATCTGGTCTTGAATGTTTTTAATACTAGGTGAAACAGAGGGTTTTCATTGTCATTCATTTCGATAAGTGAAATATACGCACTTGTAAAAATAGCCATCAGTAACGCCACATATTCGACGCGAGCTGCTAGAAAGTTCCACAAGATGGCAGCTCGGCGCTGTCTTTCGTCATTTATTCCGCCAAGAATTTCCCATCTCTCATTTTACTGTTCTATGGGTTCTGGTAGTCCATGCTTTTAGGGCGCTCGTCCGTTTCGAGGAAAATGGCGTGCATGGAGCTCTCGATCTGAGTTAGTTGAAGGAATCCGGTGATTTATTAGTCATCCTTGTAGATCAAGGCGTGAAGCTTGTCGGCCGTGACTCCCAGTCCTTTGATCTACAAGTAAATATCTTATTCCGATCATCTTCCCGGCATAACCATGTCTGACGTGGAAACGTAAGCATCGTAGCGTGATATACACGCTCCATTATATTCTCCAATTCCATGTTAATAGATTTGATGTTCTTGCTTAATAATTGTCGATTCGTATTAAGTTGAATGTTTGTACTTGAATTCTCGAAAAATGACCACGTAGTGCTGTCAAGATTTAAATATGAAGTTGTTTCGACTTCGACACTAGATTCATATTGAATGACTGAAATGAAACATTCCTTGTAGAGATGACGCTCCCTCTGCGGTTGCTTCTGGCGGAGCGATGGATGTCAATACAGCTCTTCAAGAAGTGTTGAAGAACTCGTTGATCCATGACGGAGTGGTCCATGGACTTCACGAGGCGGCGAAAGCACTTGATAAGTAAGCATTTGTTCCCATTTTCAATTGCATATTGCGTAGTACACATGCTCACCATCTAACAATTATATTTCTTTTGACGTTTTAGAAGGCAAGCAATGTTATGTATCCTGGCAGAGAACTGCGACGAACCGATGTATAAGAAATTGGTTCAAGCACTGTGTAACGAACATCAGATTCCTTTGATAAAAGTCGACAACAACAAGAAGCTCGGTGAATGGGCAGGCCTCTGTAAAATCGACAGTGCTGGAAAGGCACGAAAAGTTGTTGGTTGCTCCTGTGTCGTCATAAAAGTATGTATAATCGACGGTTTATTTTCATTTTTACCTCTATTAATTTAACTTTCGATGTAACTGAGACTTTTATGATGATAATTTTGGCTCCCTCTTCTGAGACGAACCCAAATAAGCATTTCTGTGCTGATCAGCACCTGTCTGATATTAATTTGATCAATTAAAGATATCGAGTCAACTTGCCTCTTCGGAGATTAAAAATATGAAATTTGTTACAGGACTTTGGCGAAGAGACTCCCGCTAAGGATGTTTTAATGGAATACCTAAAACAGAGCTCTGTGCATTAGATATTTTAATAAAAGAAATTTACTAAAATATTGGTAGTTTGTATGCATCGGTTCGTTTTCATATGGGTAAAACTAGCGATGACTGATATGGCTGAAAGTTGTGTCAAGTTATCAGCTATTTATGATAACTGATTAGACTGAAATTTATTGGTCAGCCAAAATGACTATACTTAAAACAGGGTTATTTCGAAAATTCCTTAACATGCCAGGCAAAAGGTTTTCTATCAAACTTTATTATAAAATAATATCGTTTGTATTAATATAAATTTGCTTATATGTAGCGCATCACTATTATGTTCATTGTTGAACAGATATCACCGTATTTTTACAAGGTTGAATTGAATACACCTAACTCGAAACTATTTACATTCTTCAGAACAAATTAATGTCGTCAAACTCGGAATCTCATTCAACAGAACTCAAGGAATGTTATCGAGTGTCCAGGCAATTCTCACACAGTAATTACACAAAAGTATACTAAACTGAGTCTCACGCTCACAATCATTACTTTCATTCGAGATAACCCCAAAATCACGCATGCAAACCTGCGTGACGCCATCACTTTCCTGGCTAGATCGCTGCCAATAATTGTTACTAATTTTTAGCAACAGTTGAATTCATACAATGAACGGATGATTCTAAGTATCTTTGCTTTGTGAATTAAATCAATGGTTTTCACTGCATGTTTGGATACAACGAATAATAAGGTCCTTTGAACTGCTTGGCGCTAGTTGCGTAAACGTTTGGATCGTCGACAGTAAATGGCTGAATGATATTGCCTGAAATAGGTTTTTGACTGTGAACATTGGCTATCATGAACTGTGGCGTTGGAGGAACTTGACCGACTGGAGAGTCCTCCACTAGTTTTCTTTGGGAATAGATCAACATCTGAGGCACCGGACTATTCTGTTCGGTGGTACCATTATCCACTGGTACCATTGTATAGCCAGTCGTTGTGCCAGAAACCTGCTGCGCCTTGCACTTCTTAGTGTGGGCGTACAAAGAGCCTGCATTGTTGTATCTCTTCGTACAAATCTTGCAAGCATAAGGTCTTTGACCAGTGTGAGTATACGTATGTTCATTGAGAGAAGTCAGCCTTCGGAATGATTTCATGCAGATCTGACAGTGATACTTGGCCTCCCCAGTATGCATCGTTATGTGTCGAGCTAATGTGTTCGCCCTCGCGAATGCTCTGCTGCAATACTGACAAATGTAAGGCTTCTCTCCACTGTGAGTTCTCAAGTGCAATTGCAAGTACGTGCTCTTCGTGAATGCCCTGCTGCAGATGTTGCAGACATACGGCTTCACTCCGGTGTGAGTTCGCATGTGGGCTACGAGGGAGCTACTCTGAGCGAAGCATTTGCTGCACACCTCGCAAAGGAAACGCTTTTGAGTATCCTTCACTCGCTTGTGTCTCTCCACATGGTTGGCCAACGACTGTGGCTGAGCAAAAGCTTTTGGGCAAAGGGCACACTGGTGCGGTCGATTCTTCTCCTGTCAAACAAAGATTATGTTACTATACTTATCTAAATAATCATGACTGAGCACAAAATGTTAGGCTACCTTCTTCCTGTCGTCTATTCCATCATTAGCTCTATTTTCGTTGTCCATGTCGTCATCGTCCTCTTCTTCCGATGGACTAAACATTTCTTCTTTATGCTTCGACTGCTCATGTTCCTTCAGTTTATCTGCCCTTGAGAACTCCTTCCCACAGGTGGAACAGTTGAACTTTAATCCACTGTGCATCGAGACGTGTCTATTGAGATTCCTTTTGGTTGCAAACAATTTCCCGCACTGCTTGCACTGAAGACCATCTGGCAGCACGTCATCATTTTCCGAATCATTCTCCCGAATGCTCGGAAACCTGTTAAGAGTTTCCAGAGACTCGTTCAAACCTGCCGATCTGTCAGTGTTCCCGTTTAGCAATTCCTCCTTGTACTCTGGATGAGTTTTGGCATGGGTCAGAAAAGTCTTTTGATAAGCAAACTGTTTCGAGCAGACTTTACAGGTGAACTTGAGATTTCTCCTATCAGACTTGGCAATCTCAAGCTGTGCTGTATTGTCTTTTTCAAGACCCGCTGAAGCTTTTGGCACCTCAGGCAGCTTGCCTTGAATTTCTTCGGTCGACCCTTCATCTGCACTCTTGACATTGTCGTGACTATTGCGAATGTGACCTTTCAGCTTCGAGACATTAGAGAATTGCTTGTCGCACATGTAACACACGTAGCGCAGTTTAGTTTTGTGTTTGTGTACCGTCATGTGCCTCTGAAGAGCCAACTTCGTTGCAAACGTTTTTATACAGTGTTGACATTTTTGTCGTTGAGTTCTACTAATAAGTGGTCTTTCTTCCTCGTCACTGTTGTTGTCTTCTTCCCTCTCCCTCTGGACAGAGGTTCTACTCTTCACAGTCACTCTTCTATGTTTAGCTTCGTCATCAATCCCTGAACACAAATCATTCCTAACTTCGATCTTAACATTGTGCTCGTCAAAAGTATGTAAATGTTCTATAGAATTATCCTCTATTTCAGAGAATTCGTTCTCCTCCGGCAGGGACAACTCTTCCTGCTTAATAAGCTCATCCCTTTCTTTACTTTCCAATTGATTCAAAGTTTCCGTAAAGACATGAGTGACCGCTGTATCTTCCACCTCTTTGAATTCCGATTCCTTCACCTCACGAGCACTGTGATTGCTTTCGTAACCAGAGATTTCTATATTTTCAGTCCGAGCATTTAAATTACCAGAATAAACATTAATACTCTCTGTTTGCGTGACTTCCCTGAAATCGGTATGTTTCATTTCTCTGATATTGTCACTTGGGTAGGTAGATGTATCGATACTTTGATTTTGCACGTCCCTTCCGGAACAACCATTGTTCATTGAAAATATAACACTATCCTGATTATTAGTAAGATTCTGCACAGTTAGCTGTTCGATTGACCAAACGTTAGAACTAGCGCTGGCTTCCATGTTGACACCTGAAGAGATTCCAACACTACCTTTGGCGGTGCGTTCAATCTCTGCATGTGGTAGTTCGTCAGCTATAGCTTCCGTAATGGCTGCATTGACAGACTCGCTTAAAGATAGATTTGCCTCCTTCCGGTCCTCTAAAGCCTTTAGAGCAAGAATCTCACGTAAGGTTGCATCTGATTTTTCTACCTGGCACTTAAACTTATAGGACATGTCGACAAGCTTGCGACATATAGAACAAATCGTTGATGGCAGGCCATCTCCCTCTTCCACCTGAAAGAGTATTATTGAATCACATTTTAAAACTAATCCAAATTAGAGTTTTGCAAGAATAATACGTTATACATATTCGTACGTTGTCATTGGTGACGCATAGTCAACTTTAAACTAGTAAGCAACTACGAGAAATATTTCAGATAACGTTTTATCACGACATAATATCATTTGTCTACACTGTTTTCCCATAATAACCATAAACATGCAATTTCAAAGTGTACCAATCCGAGTTCCCAATCAGCCCAAGATTAAACCATACATGTTTTCATGGCACTTACACCGATTTCATCCACAAATAATTTTTAAACGTCTTCTAGCATACTGTTAACAATATGACGAGCGACGCGACACGTTAAATTAATATGAAAAACCGCAGCATAGAGTAAAGTGCAAGCTAACCTGGACGGCAGCAAACGCCATTATTTTCCGTGGGGCTTCTTCCCCGTTTTGAAAGAGCTTCCAGAGATGTGTGGATTTTTTCAAGCAGATTCGGCATTCTTCTCCGATATTCCTAATAACGGACCGTTCGAAAGTTCCACCTGCTTCCTCGACGTTCGCCACTTCCATCGTTTTCAGGAAGAAATAACAAGAGAAACACCGTCGCCACGGTTCGAGGCCCCTTCTTGCTGCGCCATTTGCTATTGGGTCGATTCTCGAATTATTTTGCGATTATCGATCACTAGTGATTTCTCTTTCCATGGTGGTCGACAGAGTTGAGAGAATAATATACCCTAAATAACTACGTAGTTCTTTTTACAGTAAATTCCTAGGTATTTTACGCCACAAGCTTTGTCCGCGATATAAATTACTTAAAAACAGAACCAGGGCGTTTATTACGTATTTTTGACGAGAGCGCTCACTTCTCACACTTTCATCTCACGTGGGTCTACTCGCTGAATTACGTACTCACTATATAAAAGAACGAGATCAGTAGCACTTCCGGCCTAGTAATATTTTAAATAAAGGTACATACCTTGTAAATCGAAAATTGTTGAGGGGTAGTGTTTATAGGCAGGAAAGGCGGGCACCATTTCGCTTAAAAATTTGTGCCGAGCTAATTCATATGAATGGTCTCGCATTTTCACCACCAAAAACATTTCGTAACATCGTGAGCTACTTATTTTTCACATTTTCGCTCAATTTGCTTTACGTAATAGACCAGTCGTGAAAAAGCGACGTAAACCGTTGAGCCCCACTCGTGAGTTGCTAGAAAATTCCGCGCGGCGGCAGCTCAGTAGTGCGGTCGCACGGGCCTCCCCATGAGCAGTCTCTCATCTCGTCTTTGTGCTCCGTTTACTAATCGATCACTTTGGGAGTAGCTGTTCCCATTGAGGCCCATTGAGGACGTTATGTGACGGAAGCTCGGAGGTACTGTCAAGCAGAGCCGAAGGTATGCGGCCGTGTGGAGGCAGGTGTTGCGCTTTTCAGGATCGCCCGTGACGCCTAGAGGTGGCAGAGCGTCTCGGCCGGTGGCTGTCACTCCAGAAAGCGCTTCGTCGGAGAAAAGATGTCAATAGCGAGGTGTTGTCGTTGACGTCCCGCGAACGTCGAAAGGAAAACGGGGCCGACCGAAGCTTAGCCGCTGGTACCAGGGCCGAGGGGTGTGATGAGATAACGAACGCAGAATGAGATATAGCACCAGCGAGCTCTTCGGTTATGCGGTTCTTACTCTCACTTTGCATTTCAATGGTGAGTCCTTAATGCATTCAGACTGCCGTTAGCTTATTTTGTCAGTCGATTGATTCTGGACAAAAGTTACGATAACATGTCACCTCGGTGAAGTTCAATCATAGAAATTCATTCGTCCGAGGTTCTTAGTTCGGTAATGTGCATTGTGGTTTATTTCCAGGACGAGCCGAAGGTAATGTCTCGTGCAAGGATATAAAAGGTCGCTCGTACGAAACTGGCTTTTATTACATCCCTGGTCCGGAACCCTGTACCCTTTGCGTTTGCGAAAATGGCAATCCCAAGCTGTGCAAGGCTGTCATCTGCACCCTCCCCCAGGTGTCTATTTTTTTATACTTATTTTTATTCTTAGTACGGAGTGTCAATATCGATGTGTAATGGATATTTGTCCTTTCGTCAGGACTCGTTGCCCAAACAAGACTGCAAGTCCTTCCGCTTCGGCAATACGTGTTGCGAGTTTATTTGCATGGATGATACTCTCTCATCCGTAGTGAACGACAAACCTGATGGAAACTTAGGCAATGCCGGAGAGGGGAGTGCCAATTATGATTTAGGACTGCGCATCGTGGCCAGCTGCATCACCATTGTGCTGTCTTTGACGCTGCTATTCTTCCTGATACACCGATTGCGGCAGCGAAAGATTCGTGGTAAGTGTACCGTTTAATCTGAGTTGAAAGAAGGGAACAAATAATGTTTATGTAAAACGTGGTTATGTATGTATAATCATTTATCGATATTGCTGATTCAATGATCATATGATCATGCAAAATGAGAACAGGTTGCGTTTTTTCGTTTCATTTCATTCTCAATCTCCTGTGCATCTCATGTCTGCGTAGAAATGCTGGGAAAATAAGTAGTTCCACGCCACATACCTTCGATATGAAAAAGCTACATAAAAGATGTTAGATTGCGTAGCAGGGAGACAAAGTCGTCAATTAGCGGAGGATCAAAGGAGCCTGGGCAGCATGGGGTACCTGGAAAGAGGAGGGCTCCCCCACGGCATCCCCCTGGACGACATACCATGTAGCGGAGGATATCCCCTGTGGAAGCCCCCAGGGAACTACTTCCCCCGAGGAGAGGCCCCACCCCCATACGAAGAGGCCGTAGCAGCCGCCCGGGCCGAGCAGGCTCTGCTGTCGATGACTCCCCATCCCCTGACGCCGCTGAATTTCCAGAACCCCTACCTGACGAGCCACAACGACCACCCTAACATGGCGGTCACGACGACGAACAACAACCACCCGAACGTCCAGGGTGGACCGCCCTCGCTCGCACCAAATCCCCCCAATAGCCACGTAGTCGGCTCTTCTCCACCCATCTCGTCCTCCAGCAGGCCGGAGAGCAATCCAAGGAGCACTCACTCGAGCTGCCACCAGCTGAACCAGGGTGAGGCCCCTCGAGGATGCCCCAACGTATCCACGACCAGCTTCAACACCGGCACCAACACCTACGAGAACCTACCGGCTCCCATGGGGATCCCCATAGCGCCTCCACGTGGCGTCGTCCATGGGAACCCCTCACCCATGAGCAACGGTTCCCACTCCTCGGTGCCGAGACCTTATCAACCCCTGCACCACACCACCCTCCCTCGCCAGGGCGGCGCCTTCACGATATCGGCGACCCTGCCGAGCGCCGGCGCGTCGACGCATCGCACCATCCCCAGGACTCTGGCGACCAGCGGTAGCCTCAGACTCCGCAGGGAATTCACAGGCCATCAGTCGGTCGTCCCCCTTTTCGACGACTCCCTGAAGAGTGTCTCGCCCCAGAGGTCGCCGCGGTCGGCCCCCCCGGTTATACCGATTGCAGAAAGCGGAGGCACACGGACCGACGCGTTCTATGAGGACGTTCTCGTGGGACCTCCTTCCGCGCCTCCGCAGGTCGAGGGCGGCAAACCACCTACGACGCCTCCGGATTTTCAGGTAATCGAGGGAATTAAGGTGATATGAAAGTATCATATATATTAATAAGCCTCAACTCTGATTAACAGGCATAGCGGATCAAAGGGAATTATTTGATCTCATTGGATTATATGTTGTAGCCGTCGATCGACCAGGTCGAGACCGTCGACCAGGATGGGAGCTTCGAGTCGGTCGCGTGCGCCTGCAGCGTCCAGGTGTTGCCGACCCTGCACGACGATGCTGATGATTACCGCAGCGAGTGCGAGAACTGCAAGAGCGCCACCGGGTCGCGGTACTACCTGGACACCGAGGACGAGCTCGTAACGTCGCCACACGAGACCATGACTTTGCATAGGAGGCCGGAGGATGCGACCTCCGGTGCCGCTCCGCAATATTACAGGACTTCCCTCACACTGCCGACGAGTACTCGCCAGCGCACGAGGTATGGGTCATTGAGGATGTGGCGATGACGTACTCGACTCGTCTCATTCTTAAGGTGCTATCTTTACGACATTTAAACAACTTTCCGTCAACAGGAGTACGGGAGCTCGTGAGAACTGGTTCAGCGCCATGCCGGAGAGCTCCACCGAATCTTCCGACGACGATTAAACCGGTAGGCGAAGGGTCACACGGGGTCTGCCCTTTTGGATGTTGAGAATTCGATGTACTACCCTGTGTAAAGAGTGAGTGCCCTCTGATCTATACTATATCGAGAACTAGGAATATCTAGGACGTCATCTCCTCACTCGGTATCCGTTCATAGAGGAAAGCGTTTTTCTAGCAGCGGTTTACGTAGCAGATTACCGCTTCGTCCACGACTGGCATCTGAATCGTGCTGTATCGGGTTAAGGCGCCACGGAAGTGGCATCCGGGGGTTCGATCGCTTATGATACTTTTCTGCAATCCAGGTGTACTTAATCATTTGAAACTCTGCCACGTTATTGTGGAGGCTCCGAGGAAGGTGCCGACACCCGCGAGATATAATTTTTCTTCATTTGATAATTTATAAACAATTTTAAAAATTACGTTTCAGGGGTGTCGGGAGGTAACTTAGGACCTCCATGGTTACCTGGTAAAACATTGAATTATTCGGTGCATTCAGGTTGGAGGAATGTCCCGTAGACGAGATATCCACCTCGGATGCCACTTTCATATCGCCTTAAGCAGTTGAACATGAGAATATCCCTCTCCCGGATTTACGAGGTACTAAAGAGGGTTCCATTTATAACCAGAGAATGATAAGCAACTTGGTTGCCATGAGTTCGTGAGACTCTCCGAAGAGCGTGGAATTTTCTAAAGATCAACAAATCATCCTTGAAAGGGGAGTTTCTCCTGGGCAGTTTGAAGCTACCATTTCGTTGGCTGTTCGTGGATTATCATTTCCATAGGAGTCATTAACGCAATCGTTCACTTACGAAATTACTCGGTTTCTTTCGACGCACCTTTACAATCTTGTATCTGCAACGTACAATAACTTTAATCTATTCGGTAAGGTGACATACAGACTGATACTCACTTATTCCCCCACGTGAAATAAGGAGAAGAAGGAAACGAAAAGGGAAGTGAAAAAGGAGAGGAACTTCGACTGGCGTCGTTGTTATCGGTATGAGTGATTAGAAGTGATCACGAGTTATCGATGTTCATTAACCCGAGAGGGCCATTAATTTAAAGAAATATCGATTAATGGTATGGTGCCGATTGTGGCATGGACTAGGAACAGATTTTAGCCTCTCGCTAAATTACTACAGCGAGATCCGAATCTCCTCCAATTTCGTGGAAAGTCAAAAGCTCTCCTTTTCAAGCTAGTCGTAGGACACTATAGAGCTCGTTTATTTGATAATATCATAATTCAGACACACACACACGACACAATTCGATTATGTACCTCGCGTCACGATAAATCGATGGACATTTAATTAATAACGTTAATTATGGTAATTCGTAAATTTCACCGTTTCACCATTCAGGTTAGTCGACGAAGAGAAGGAAACTCATCTCGAAACCCATCGCGAAGTATTGCGCACAAAAATTAATACGCGACAGTGCCAAATGCCGACACTAATGTATGTACAGCACAAAGAAAACGAACGGACCGCAACTTTTTGTCGGGTTTTATCATTTTTTACATGTAGATGTGTAGGTCGATGTACATGTAAGCGTTGGCTGAGACGACGCGAGATATTCTTGAATGAGCGATTTCCGCACCGTAAAATTAATATTCTTTCGGTACCTTGTCAAGACGATACGAATATATCTATATATCATGACGTCAAAATAATGTATAATACTTTTCTCCAAACTGGGTGCACCGAATTGTCTGAAATTTTAACATGTGATTATAGAAGTCCTAAGGAGAACTCGTGAAATTTCATTTTTTAAAGAAGAAAAAAATTGTTTATTTAGCCTAGACTAGAATCAAAATCATATATATATATATTTGTGAAAAATGAAATTTCATAAACATCGCGTTCTTCCTCAGGGCCTCCATAACCACGTGTTAAAGTTTGAGATAATTCGGTGCACCCTGTTTGTAGAAGAGTTTTATAAATATTTTGACGTACTGATATATAGAATGACAGTTTTCTTATCACCTTAAGGTGACGTGAAGGCGTTGAGAAGATTTTAATTGTTGGTAAAAGGAAATTTTTTTTTTCTCTATATCCGAAACAGCGTGTAACGTAACCTATAATAGAAATCGATCTCCGATTAAAAAATATCAAGGGTGTGCGTGCGTTTACGCGGCGGCGTAAATTGGGATTCACGTGAGAGGAGACATTTTGAGAGTTTCACTCGACATGTTGTACTCGGTGTTCATTGACACTTATCTAATCTCGCAATCGATGAACTATGAAGTGCGTGTTTAGGCAAGATCGACTGCGACAAGTCAACGGTGTGTACCGATTTAGAGTCAGTTAAATGTGATCAGTAAATCCGAGGATTTCGCTGTAAGACGATTTTGTCTCATCGTGGTCGAAATCCAAAGGTACTAATAATAATGGCAACCGAATGATAACGGGACAAGAATAAGGGTACAAAGCGTAGCAAATCAATTTCCATGGGAAGGGAACAACGTATGAAGATTTCTCCGCAGGTGTTCGCCATTTCCATAGTTACCAGAATTAAACAAATGCAGCCGTAACAGTATTATTACGAGAAACAGAAGAAAAACACGGCATTTCTGTTGCCTTGATTAAGGAGTTATAACACTTTCTATCGATAAGTTTGTATTTCACAGTTTTTAACTTCACGCTAATACACAATTGTTTTATACACCGAGAACGGTCGGAGGCCTCTAATTTCCATTTTCATATTCAAGAGCCGATTGTGCTTCGTTAAGATTTATATTATCCTATAGAAACATTTTTACCGTTTAGTTATATTTACATCTTTTACTTCACGTCACCTAATATACAATTGTTTGTTATACACCGGACAAGGTCGGGGCCTCTAATTTCCATTTTTATATTCATGAGTCGATCGTGTTTTAATAAGATCTTTATTCACATTGAATTAATGCTCATTATACCTGGACGAGATAACTTGACGAACATTTTTCCTTAGCAAACACCGAAATTAATTTAATTATAGTCATACATTAAGGTCCATCGTAGATCTTAATGACTATATATGTGTTTAATAGAGAGAAATTTTCCTTAAGTAACCTCATTCAAGATAAATTAATCCAGCGAATCGATATTTTTTTGTACCATTAAGTTACTATTACACGAGGCTATAAATTATAATGCCGTTTGTTTAATTTGCCAAATGCCTTTGCTTGCTTTAAATTGACGTTACGTGGTGTACAATCAGTGCTGGTCTCTTATCGATAGTCTAACTAATTTAGTTATAATTAATTCCTATGTCTACTATACAAATTATATATATATTATATATATATGTATACATATATACCACGCTATGATGTTGAATTTATATAAAAGTATTTATATTTATATCCAGACTGTGGATATTTTCGTGAGTTCGTTAGCGAGGCTCCTTAGTTAGTCCACTTAGGGAATAATCACTTCTAAACGCATCTTTTGACGTGCAATTAGTCTAACGTAAATTTTAACGCATTTGGAACTCAGTTCGTTACAGGGGTTTGCGATTCGTGCTGAAAGCACGGCGCACTTTAATTAATTATATATAATTATATACAATAATCAGGCAAGCGCGTTAGGAGGTAAACTTGAAAGCTTTCGATGATAGAAAGTCTCGGCGAGGTGCTCTAGTGCGACATTGACACTTTAAAATGGAGAATAGACAAAAAAGGGGGGGCAGCTTATCGTGAGAGTGTTTAAAAATTTGTATGCATGTCAATGGACACGGTTAACTCATTGCCTGGGACATTTTCGAACAAAATATGTACCCTGGGTGAATCATACATTTAGAAAGACGAGTTAACGATAGTTAGTCGTTCAAATGACGGATCAACTCATCGCAGTTAAAGGGATGTGAAGGTAGCATCTAAGGGGTGTTAATTTATTTAATCAGTTTTTTAATTCATATAAATCATGCAATTTCATGGGTGTTGGGACCTTCCTTAGAGCCTACACATTCAAGTGGTAAAATTTCAAACGATTTGGTACACCTGGCTTGCAGAAAATTTGTGCAAATGACGGACTCCTTAGATGCTACTTTCGTACCACTTTACTAGGTTATGATACAGTGTGTTTTAATTCGATCGAGGGAAAACGAATGCGTTGGGCTATGTTACTGTGGATGAGGATCTCTTTGCACACCGATGTACAGAAAACAAATGTTTAGGGGAAATTGTGAGTGCTGAGGCCCGCTACAAAGAACTTTTATATACGAATCTTTGCGGGGGACCGTCGCGAGAAGGCTGTATTTTAAACCTGTAAAGTTTGTACCAAACGGTGGTCTAGTTGAGTGTACATTTTTTTACAACTATATTATCACTATTTTTAAGCTGTTCGAAATTTAAATTGTAAAGGCGGAGGGTTACGGATAACGGAAGTAAAGAGAGGTGGGAGGGTGAGAAATTGAGTGCCGGTCGAAAAGAGGTTAACTGACTTGCCAACGATCCTCGTTGATCAACATAACTTGTACAACATACACGACAAGTGCCACTAGTGTTCGAAAAATTCTCATTCATTGAAAAATCTCAATTTGTCATCCTTTTTGACGTGATATATCGCATTTAGTACTCTACATACGATTGCTCGCGGAGTTTGCGCATTCGATTCGTCTACAGGTGGAAAATTGACGTAAAGTGATAAACTGATTACAAAGAAAAAAATAAATAAATAGACAAGTCAATGAAGGATCCCCGAATACTATGTGATGTAACAAGGAACCAAAGTATGGGTACACGCCGTGAAGTATTATAATAAACTCCCACTGTCATATAAAAGTAACTCGTAAGTTAGCCATCGATTAACTTGGCGAGGAAACAAGGTTAGAATTTTCCAATAAGCCCATAGGGTGGGAGTTTCTTATGCTACTTCATGGTACACGCACTTCTCTTCGCATGTGTTTGTAGGTTAATTGTAAAGGAAGGTCGACTATACGAATATGACTCTGTAATGCTAATTTTACATTAGCACTCTGATCGGACTGTTAAGCTCACTCTGTGTGTTCGTCGTGAGAGGACTCCTTCGTTTCTAGAAGATGTGTTCAGTACAAACGGTACAATTTGTATTCACGTGTAACGTTAATTTTTTCAAAGCGATATTGTAACTCGATAACATAAGATCACTTTGGACGTGTATCGTCGCGACACCTCTGACTTACATATACGGTGCACCTAGGTTCATATTTGTAATTTTAAATTGACGCGTAAATCGCTTAGCTTTACGGATTACTGTAAAGATATTTACCTGATACCTAGAGCTAGACACAAAGAATCTCTATTCGATTTGCTCGTGTAGATAAGGGAAGTATATTATAAATAAAAGTACACCGATGATTCACACTCGAAGGGAAGATCAATAAATGTTAGGGTGAGACTTCGGATTAATTATTGTTGCACAAGAGTGCGGTTGGGTGTCATTACATTGTAATGCGGTTAATGTTGGTTTATAAGGCATCGAATGGTCACTCTTTTAAACGGATATATGCCACGTTCGTTGAAAGTCTAATGTACATCACCCTTGATTGCATTCTGGCACTCGTTTTAATTAATATAACCGCTTCTCTTCTTTTCTTTACATACATATCTCACTTGTGCTTCGTATCAAGAAGTTAAACAAAAGATATACCTTATAAACTCTTATTTGCAGTGGCAGGAAGGAATAATTGTTTCGTAACGATAAGGAGTAGATCTGTGCTGCTCTCTCCATAGGTACTCGTTATCCATTTCTCTCACGAATAAGCAGCTGAAATGTTACATTAGAACAGCTAAGAAGTGTCAAACACTTGTTAAATAATAGCCATAGGAAAGGGTATACTTTACAATAAGGAGAGTCCCTGGTTTCAGGATTTTTACTCTCTTATCCTGATTTTAAGTGGACCTGAATTTCCATCGTTACTGGAATCTGATGGTTGTAAGAAAGCCTGCGTCTAAGCTAAAATTTTAACCGGTGAATTAATTATCTGCCAAAGGTCAGTCTGTGATCCGAGTGTCGCTGTCAATTGCGTAACATTGACAGTGCATCGGAGACGTATTCCTTCGTGTAAACCCGATCAAGAGATGAGTCGGTCTCGCGTTTCGTTGCTCGATCCCGCAACGTTTCCTCCGCAGCTAGAATTTCCGCGACGGAGAGTCAAATCGTCGGAATTTCGCCAAAAGAGTAATCGAGACAATGAATCGATACTGCGAGGCGCGCCTCTGTTTTCACCGATGTTATAAATGTTATAGTTTATTTATCATTAACGATTACTGTCACAGTTCAATGATGTTACTTACGCACGATTATAGAGGCCAAAATATGTATGAACAAAAAGATTATATGAATATAGTCTATTATTTTTAACGTACACGGTGAGTGTACTCGGTATGTATTATTGATAGCTCTTCGTAGAATCCCCGTAGATCGTAGTGTAGTCGTCTCAAGACTTATTAGGTGAATATAAATCTTTTATGTTTATAAAACAATTATCGCCCAATCCGGGAGCTGGAGCGCGATATATAAGGGTAACTCATTTATGGTCGAAATGAGTTGCGCTGCCACTGAGGTGTAACAGGTGGCAAGTACACTGGGGGGGGACATGAATGCTTTCCCTACAGACATGGTGCCGCTAAGGTGTGATCAGAAAGCATTCATGTCCAGTAGTGTACGTTAGCCGCCCGCCTCAACACACAGGGTGCAGCACGGGACACAATCGCGCGACCCTGCCCGTGAGCAATCTCCCATCTCATCTCTGTATATATGATCGTTCTAAAAAAACACCATTTTGTTTATCGAACGAAGGCATAATTGTTACACAATGTTTTTTTTCTTACATTATATTACCAATATGTCGTACGTAAATACAAATAAAGAGTGATCTCTTATTGCTAATGTAGCGTAGCAACTATGCAATAGTGAGTGAAACAATCTAGGAAAACAGTTAATTTAATATTAAACTAAATTTGGTTTCAAAATTGAATGCCCATAATCGTTCAAATGAGAATTCCCGATTTTGTAAGACATTGAAAGTCTAAAAGAAAATTATTGTTTTATGCTAAGGAAGTGATTTTTGAAGATCTTTGTTGTAGGTAAGTCCGTTTGGAAAGAAAAAAATTTACTCGACTGCAAACCTTCTCGTATCGGGCGATAGAATTTTTAGGAGGCAATCTTACGATTAGAGTTATTATCCATGGCGTTAAAGAAGCATATGTTATGTGTAAATTAAAGTGGAGGGCCAAGTTGAAGAAAAATATTGAACTCCTCTCTTATTTGTTAATATTATAAACAGTAGTGTACTTAATGTTAACTCATCTTGCGATGGGTGATTTATTTATCTTGAGATAGTTCATTTCTCCCAGAAGCTGCTCGTCTAAGAAGGTCGTATATCTTTTCTTTGATCCAATCCTTATTGTAAGGAGCGTAGGTGTTCGTCGATTTCTGATAGACCAAACAAGACAAGTCGGTCAATCGGTCCACGAAGTCGAATAATTGACTTATGTCGTAGGTTATTGTAGGTGTATTGGGATTTCGCTTCTTGAGATGTTCCTCGTAGATTTTGCAGACTCCTGTTAACAAGAATAATAGAATTAGTAGCACGAAAGTAGGGCTGTATTGCTGAAAGTATTTACTCAATAGTAGTTTCATTAAACGATTTTTAAAAAAGTAGGTTTAGCACATATCAAGCGTACCTTCCATACATTCATTGACGCTTTCATAATCGGAGTACGTCCTTGTGTGTGGCATGGGGCCAGGTTGTACCAATAGAATAGTGTGAGACTGTGGACAATACAAAGCAATCGCATAATAAGGTAATGAATAATGAATATTCAAAATGCTTCTCAAAGCGTCATTGCACGGTTACACATAGAAACGGAAACATAAACAAACTCGTATCTCGTGTTTATACGATGGATCATTAAGGTTAACCTTATCATACCACTCACCATATTTGTTAGTTATCTGACTATGCGTCAACAGAGAGTACGATTTCCCTCGCAGAAAATAAACCAAACCACGAATATTATTTTCAGAGATTTCGATGCAACCACGGCAAGACACTATACGTCCGTATTCGATTAATCACCATAGACTATACACAGAATTCTCGACAGAAGAGCTTCAACCGGATCAGATTGTTCAGATTTTTGGATGTGGCGACATCTAGCGATGGAAGGTGCGACTTCTTCTAGAAAATGTGTTCGACCCTCGCTCTCATAGCAAACATCCGTGAGAATCGATGATTTTTATTTTTCCATACATAAGAATAAACAGATATTCCTTTTGGGTCTGAGGCATCAGGAGGTTATCCATTTTAGATTTCGGTGTTACAATTCGTGGAAGATGGCGTTCACGGCACTTATTTTTCTATCTTTTCTTGTATGCTTCACCATTTCGCTTAAAAATCTGTGCCGAGCCAGTTCACATGAATGGTCTCGTATTTTCACCACCAAAAATTTTCCGTAATAATGTCAGCTACTCATTTTTCACATTTTCGCCCAATGTGCTTTACGTAATAGACTCCCTGGTTCAATTAACCTCGCAAACGAAATGACAAGTAGCGCCAACCCTAGGAGAGATTCTGTACGACGATATCAGTGGGGGTCTACTTTATTCCTTTAAGAATGGACTTCTAGTCACGTTTGAATTCTTCGTATTTGCGAAAAGCGCCGGCGGAAAAAACAGCTTTAAAATATGTCACTCATTCTCGACTCGATCTGCGATTAGTCTACCGCTGCGAAAAGCTTTAGTACCCGAAAACAAGTGGTCTGCAGACTGGAGGAGCGAAACCCTTACAAAAGGTGCGTTTCCGTCCTAGAATGGCGGAGGCCTGGTAAATAAACGAGACGGGGCAATACTCGGTGAAATATTACTTCTTTTGCGTGAAAATGTCTACGGATAATGGCTTGGACGAGGGGGCCAGTACTTTGACCAGACTGAGTAACGTGCGATTAAATCACGACGATGGGGACGAGGGTCAAAGCAGGCCACCGGACGGTGGAGAAACCTCCACCGAACCCCCCCGTAACATGCGAGCTCTGAGAAGTGTCTCCTTCTCTCGAGCACGTAGAGCACTTAACTTTGTCTGCGATCAGGATCAACCGTCATCTTCTGGGAGAAGCGGAGAACCATCTACGTCTGGAACCGATAGGTATACTAATTAACTCGAATCGTTCATTTTAGGACAGTCAATTAAGTTGGAAACTTATCGGTTTCTTTGCCAGGCCACCAAGCAATTTGCCGAATGTCCTGCACTTGGAATCTAGGCCACAAAATAACTTCGTAGAAAATGGCCCGGTTCATCGGCCATCCATGGCCACCTATAACTGGCAGGGAAGCAAAGCAACGTTAAAGGACAGATTCGCGTTTCTTTACAACAATGAGATACTCTCGGATGTTAGTTTCCTGGTTGGCAGAGGAGCGCAACTACAACGTATACCTGCTCACAAGCTGGTCTTATCATCCGGGAGCGCAGTCTTCGATGCAATGTTCAATGGAACACTGGCCACTGCGTCGTCTGAGATCGAAGTACCCGATGTTGAACCAGCTGCCTTCCTTGCCGTGTTGGTCTTCCTATACACCGATGAGATACAGATCGATCCTGAAACCGTAATGACGACTCTGTACACTGCGAAGAAATATGCAGTGTCTCCTTTAGAGAAGCATTGCGTCGACTTCTTGAGAAACAACTTAACCAGTGACAACGCCTTTCTATTGTTAACTCAAGCTCGCCTCTTCGACGAGCCTCAACTTGCTGCCGTTTGTTTGGATATGATCGATAAATTTACTATCGATGCTCTCAATGCTGATGGCTTCACTGATATCGACATCGATACGCTCATGTTTGTCTTGGAACGAGATACACTTCGGGTTCGTGAACTGAAGATATTCAATGCTATTGTACGGTGAGTGGTCAAATACTTTAATACCAACTGCAATAAAACACTATATGGAAACTCAATATTCTATGAAATGTTATAAATAGATGGTCGGAAGCAGAATGTGCACGCCAGCAGTTACCAGTCACTCCGGAGAATCAGCGTTCGGTCTTGGGAAGAGCCCTTTCTCTTGTACGATTCCCATTAATGTCGACTGAAGAGTTTGCAATTGGCCCTGCCCAATGTGGATTGCTCACCGACCGTGAGGTAAGTGCAACATGACCGATGTAACTTTACATCTGTTGTATTATATCCAAATTACGTCTAAATCAAATCTGGACGTCTTCAGGTTGTCTCAGTGTTCTTATACTTCACATTAAATCCAAAGCCTTCGGTGGGATTTAAAGCAATGCCTCGTTGTCGCATGATGGGTAAAGAGCAAACGGTGTGCAGATTTCAAGATACAAGTAGTAGATGGGGATACAGCGGAACAAGTGACCGTATTAGGTAAGAATATTTAGAAGCTTTCAACTTTTTAAAAGATGCATACTAATTGATGAGTACATTACACGTATTACCTTACACCGATAGTTATGAAATCAATGTAAAGTAGGATGTGTAAATGTATTAATTTTCTGATTAATAGGTTCAGCGTAGACCGACGCATATTTCTTATCGGGTATGGCGTCTTCGGCAGCGTACACAAACCAGCACAATACGAAGTACTAATTGAATTGATGCACACCGCATCTTGCAAAGTGATAGCAAGCAATGCAACAGGTTTCAGTTGCGACAGCTCTAATTACACATATCGGCTCATGTTCAAGGAACCTGTACAGATATTACCAAATACTGTCTATACGGCTTCGGCGACATTTAAGGTAATGATAACCTAACCCATTTTCTTGCCTCCCATTAGACAGTTGTTAATCTTTTTTTTTCCCATTTGCAGGGACCCGATTCCCACTACGGAATAAAAGGCTTGCGCAAAGTGATGGTCAATTGTGATTCCGGGGAGGTGAATATTTCTTTCAACTACGAAGCAGGGGACAACAACGGCACAACCATCGAGGAGGGGCAGATCCCCGAGTTGATCTTCTACACTTAACAGATGTCGGAATCGAGTTAGTCACATTCCTCTCTGTCTCTTGAAAACGATAAGTGTGATAACGACAAAGATAACGTGTAAATAGCTAGAACCGGTCAGCTGCTCTGGACCGTTCGTACCTGCTAGTAATCAAGTGTCCAAGTACACCTTGTCCCATTTAGTCAGCACTTGGCTAGGATCTTTTTCGAGCTGGGATTTTATGCAGAAAGGAGAAACGGATATCCTAAAGTTTTAAACTATTTTACCATGAAACCATTGCTGCGAAATATTCCTCAATCTATGGCGAAGGACTGTTAAATGATGACTTGAAATTTAGGCCTCGCTAACCTATGAAAGTTCCCTCCTTCTGGAGTGAAAGAACGTTAAGTGTGATTAGAAGACCTCGAGAGAAGTTAAAATTTCTGTTTCTTTTTCCCATTAGCAGTTCAATGTCCACGTATACCTTGTTCCAGTTAGCGTAAATAGCTAGTTGGGAGTTATTCCAAGCCGAGGCTCTTTTAGCTTTAAACTACTTTGCCGTACGATTATTGCCACATGATAATTATCGACCTGCAACGATTCTTAAACAGTCGATTAAGGTATAGTCAAAGAGTTGCTATTTAAAATCATGGCACGTAAACGAAAGACTAATTATTCTTGTATCGAAAGTACTTTGTGTACCGATTGGATTGTGAAAGCGCACGTCTTTGCTCGAGGAATCGACGTCAGTTATCGATATTATGAAAATCCTCCGACATCTCCCCAAGGGAATACAGCAAACAGCATTGTTGTAACAGAACTCCGATGTTGAGACTACCACAGCCTCTCCGAATAAAGGAACATAACGAACCTAAATAGAATCCTTCCGAAACCTAACCTCTTGACTGCATAGACGATACTCTACATTAAGAATTTAATCTTATCATTTCATAGACTAGCGACAGTACCAGCTAAGATCATCACCCGAAGCTTTAATTTCACATCTCTTTATTGTTACGGTCTCTTAACAATAAAAAGTTTATCCTTAAATTTAACTGTCAAAGGCCGCTTTGAGTTGTACAATGGCATCCCTCGTTGTCGAACTAGCTTTCCTCAGCTTTTAATTTCTTTTCATTTATATAGACTATCCTATCTTGGAAACAAAATACCTTCGATAACGAGGGATTGTAGTACGACAGAACGCCGGTTAATGTCAAGTGACGCACTTTCACGTTTAGGTTATGTCGAACAATCTACGAGTGCAATGGATGCTTACGGACAAAGGAGATGTAAGGAACAAAAAAATAAAAGAAAAAGAGGAAACGATAGAAAAAAAAAAAGAAATCTCGAGTGCACCCGGTCGAGCATGGACGTCGGACGTTCTTTGGATATCGTTTGCACGTTCCATCTCCGCGGATATAGGTAAACTGTTTTATCAGCTAGAGGAATTTACTGTACAGGGCGTCGCAGCTCTGCAACATTTCTCGTTGCCCTGCTGGTCGCGTTAATAAATAAGAACTATTTACACAGGGTAGAATCTCCTCTCTCTTTCTCTCTCCTTGCTTTACTTCGCACTCCTCGTAGAAATCTGGAAAAGATTCGTTAGATACAAACGTCCCAAAGACACGTATAAAAGTCCGCGGAGCATCGCGTCTATACAGGGCGATTCAGAGTTCCACTTCCAGGTCGATTGACCTAGTCTGTCTATTTTTATTGTTTTATGTAACGCAAGCATGATTTACACGTCTTTTCGCGACTGCCTTGGTACCTAAAATTGACCTTCCTGTGACGGAGCCAGTTTTGGCAACCGTACTATTATTTTAGTTCAGGGTACGTTGCATTTTTAGAGCAATAATAGTATGCGAACTGTATCATTATCTTAATCCAACTGTACTACAGTGCTGTGCAAAAAGCCGCTCAAACCATGCTTTGTTACGCAAAGTATCGCGTGTACTATTAATTGATCTCTCTTACTTTGACTCCTATTTCGACCTCCAATTAGAATCTCGATCAGGATATATTCGGCATGTTAAAACTCATATCCGTTGTGATCTTTCGCAGAGTATGGAAATTCTGAGTCACCCTCTATAAAAGGCTATAGGCTGCTGATATCAGTCTGTGGGTTTCTCGTTCCTATAAGTAGATACTAGAGATATACATATATAAAAATCTGGACCAAAAATCGACATTCACTTTACACCGACATCTCCATATCTCCCCCGTATGAAATTTTAGCCAAAAACCGAATCTCAATGCGATCGTAAAAAGATCTTGTTGATCTTACTAATATTAATGATAATAAAAAAAAAAGAGAGATTCTCATTTCGTGAGGTTTTTGCTCACCCTCTAAACATTCTAAGGCACTAACAAACGGATTTAATCTCCCGTTAAAAACGTTTCAGCGACGTGTCTCCGCGTTACTTGGAAAAAAAAAGAAAAAAAAAAGAAAAGGGTTCAAAGCAACTGTCGAGGGACATCAATCCCACTCTAATCTTATCAATAGCCTTCTTTGTACATGGATTTTGTTCTCGTTCCTTGTCAACCTTAAGGAACATAATAAATCGAGCCTCCTCTTTCTTTTCTCGACAATCTCACCCACTTTTCTCTCTCACTCTTTCACCACACACAAACACACTCACTCACTCTCTCTAAGTACGCAACGTGTACGAAGCGCGCAATCGACTGCGCACCTCAGTATAAAACATTTCTATTTATATTAGATTTGCAGTTAAACTTAATCTCTCTTAGGCCTAATTGTAACTCTACGCTCTAAATTACCGTCCTAAACGAGAAAAAAAAAAAGAGAGAAACTATGTGTCTCGCTTAAAATCGTACAAAGTCTCTCAAGAACACTTGACTCTTATCGTTTAAATAACAAGGCAAGACACGAGTCGCCATCCCGTAATTCATCTCTTCGATTAATAAATAAATATATATACGACATGATCCAACGAGACCGCGACGGTCGCGACTCTCCTCGTTCCTCTCCTTTCATCGCCGAATACTTTTTCTTAACTCGCATCAATACTAGATTATGGCAAGAGTCCGAATGCACGATAGGAATCACCGACATCAATTAAACGAAACAACGAAATTTCCCGACGTGTTTCACTACACCTTAAGGTGATGCGGAAGTGGCGACACAGGCCTCTCGTCTATGAAACTTCCCTCCGAACAGGTTGTACCGAATCGTTTCAAACATCACCACGTGAATATGAAGGCAGCGAAGAAGGTTCCGACACTCACAAAACTTGAATCGTTTAAAAATCGATTGATCTCTCGGATGCCACTTTCGCATCCCCTTAACGGCTTCAACGGCAGAGTGAAATCATTGTCTACGTCTCCGTCGTACTCCTCAATCCGGGATTTATCAGGTCCGGGCATTACTAGGCTTGGACCCGATAAATCCCGGATTTCGAGTACGACGGATACGCAATCATAATAAATAGCATAGCGAGACGAGGGGACTAGTCGACGGGGAAGAGGTTAAACGAGGGTTGAGAGTTCGTGGGGACTGTTGGTGGTGGCAGCACTGCTCAGGTCCAAGGTCGCCGCCGGCAGTCCGGGGCTGACGCTGCCGGTGGCCTCTCGCGGCAGATAGTGGGACCTGTTCAACTTGCTGGTGTTGGCAGGACTGGGGGGCGTGCCTTCGGCCGGCGTCGTCGGCGTAGCGACGTTCCGGTGCGAACCGGCGTGGACCTGGTGTCCGTGGGTCGCCACTAGGGGTGCTGCCGGCGAAACAAGAAGAGGGGATGACATTGGGGACGCGTGCCGGTGGTGGCGGTGGTCATGGTGATGGTAATGCGCGCCACGCCCGCCAGAGGACGGCACGGCGCTAGGGTGAGAGGAGGGAACCAACGAACCGATCGCGATCTTCGGGGCGCAGACTCCATGGTGGAGCGACAGGCTCGGCCTCGGTTGCTGGGACTGCTGTTGCTGCAGCTGCTGTAGTTGCTGGTGCTGCCGCTGAAGCTGCGCCGCTGCTTCGCACTGTTCGCGCGCCAGCTCCTTTATCGCGTTCGTCTTCTCCTGGAACGACGTCACGTATTCATTTCAACGACTTCGTGGTCTTTGTGCTTTTCATGACAATGTTACGTTTCCACCAACCCAAATATATTTATTATATATTTATATATTTATTATTTTAATTTATAAGCACGGAGGACTTATTAACGCTAGAACTACCGGCGGATTTTTTTTTATACTGTGGTGGGCCACTTAACAGTGATCTTGATTGGGCTCGGTAGTTCTGAGGTTAACGTTACAATTAAAAGGAGGAACCGATTAAAGGATTTATAAATATCATTTCGATATAAGCGCACACACAGAGTGGTGGCGTTTTTCAGTGAAAAATAAGACCCCTCCGTGGGAACGTATACCTTGACTCCTTTGCATCGTGGTTCTACTCTGAATAGGTACTCCGTTTAGGAACTCACCCTTTGCCACACGAAGACATTGTGGACCATGGCGCAACCGCAGAACAAGATTCCCAAGCCGATGAAGACCGATGTCACGATGGCAGGCGTCGAATGAAATTGGATGAAGGTGTACAGTATCATACCTGGACAGAGAAATACAATGTAATATGGATTATAACCTGTACTTTTTGTAAAGCTACCTTTCCACATGCTGCATTACGGAACGTCTCACGCGGCGAAATAAAAATAGATACCTATCGTGAAGGTGAAGTTTTGCGGCAATACAGCAAGGGAAAAGGTTATCTCTTACTAGCGCTATCACGGATAGAATGGGGATTCCCTAGTAGTTCATATAGAGGGGCGACGCGCATAGATGGCGTTGCCATCTAGGGGTGTAGCACGGTTCAGGGTGCCTCGGAAAGGAACGTCGGGGATAACCTAAACGGTTTGATTTACGTTTTCGAATAGGTGATCCATCCTTCCGTCGACGGTGCTGCCAAGCCTCGGCGATAAATCACGCGATGCCGAGTTCGCCGTTGGGCCGTTAATAATTAGCCGTCGATGGCCGCGCATGCGCCGCGGCCCAGAGAAAACGCGGCTCTCAAGATGGCGTCCCGAGGAGTGGCCAAACCACTTACTCAAACCAGGCGCGACACCTGGCCCCCGGGCCACGACCGATCGCAGAAGGTTGCCCGACCAATTCCGCGTATTTAATGTAACCGGGGTGGCTCCCGAAAGGAGGTCTCAGATGAAGGATAAGGTCTCACCAGTCAGGAACACCGGAATGCTAATGAAGAACCCTCCGACGGCGCAAACTCGGCTGATGGACGACTTCTGCAGGTATTTGTTCGTCCTGAAACAAGAGGACAGACGTTATCGCTCATCCGATGGACGTGTAAATGCGCAAGAGTGTATTTTACAGATCGAAGCCCGAAGAAGAACGACGCGAAACGCGAGTGCTGCCCTCGCGCGGCCACGGTAACTACAACCCGGCCATCGCTCCTTTTTCGTTCCTACGAAGGTGATCAATTTCACTAATCTTTCTCACAAAATTAGGGTCCAAAGGCCCAGGACTTGTGTTTACACCGGTATACATGTTATAGAATCATCCAAATGGGATGTGGAACTCGCTCGATGCTTCGTTTGCGTCAAGATTGGCGAGGAAAAAGGTAAAAATGTTGGTTTACCCCGGGAGGCTTTATAGGGAGATTTGCAATGGCGGCTCCGCCTTGAGCAGTCCCGGGGATTTAGTATCGCTGACCTCACGGCGTTTATCAGAATCTACGATTAGGGGCTATCGACATGATTTCAGACGGGATTCCTCCGCATAATTCCGAGAGGAGGTTCGTCGTTGAAACGGGTCGCCGACCTCCGGGGGTGGTATGGCCCATTGGCATCGTGGGAATTCCTGGTGGCCTCTGCTACACATGAACCTCATTAAAACCTGGCACGTAGGTTAAGTTCTACAAGTTTTTGCGGTATCAACCTCGAGAGAGACCGACGTGGAGCTTGACGAGGCGGAGACCAGTCTTGGGTCACCTCGCCTCCACTCGAAGAAGAGGAACCCTGGAGGTCGATTCTGTACCTCGGGCGAGGCTCACTTTTCACACATTCATCCCACGTGAGTTCTCTCATCCGATTTTGATCCAACTGGGAACGTACAGTACCTAGGGTTTTTACATTATCACAAAATGTTCATTATAACATTGTCGAGAACGTTACGGCTATTTGATGGTCGCGGTTTCTAATAGGAATTTATCTTCCAGGGGTTTCGGAGATGTTTAATGGTGAATCATCGCAACGCCATGGAGGCATTCAATGAATTTTCACGAGTTTCAGGGCCTTCCTTATAGTCTCTCTCTATTCACGGTGTAAAGTTTCAAACTATTCGGTAAACCGAATTGAGAGATAAGTTTTATAAACGAAACCTCTTCGGCGCCACTTTCACGTCACCTTAACGAAACGTGGAACTGGGAGAATTTCGGAACCGACTAGCGACACCTGGCTAGCCCTCAGCTGCCTTTCGTCTAACAGGTGTTCGCCCCAGGAGCCACCTGAGGTGTGTCTCTTGCATTTCAGGTGTTTATAAGGAGTTTCGGCCCGACCGGGAACCCGATGTCCGGTCTCGAAGAGACGCACCGGTCTTTACGACAAGACGGCGGCCGTTTCGGCGCGGTCCCTCCGCACCTGTTCCCGGTACCCAACACCCGAAACTCCTTAGCCGTGCCGAATGGGGTTCTACTCTCGTCCCTCGATTGATTAACATGGGCACAATGAGCGAGCCCTTAAGGTGAGGTGAAAGGGGCACCCAAGAGGTCTCGTTTATGAAACTTTTCTCCGATCTGGGTGTCTCAAATCGTTTCATACTTTAAAACGTGAATATGGAGACCCTAAGGTAGGTCCTGAAATTCGCGAAACTTCATTTTTTACTAACGATTTTTAAAATACCTATAAACCAATTTGAAAAGGATTGAAATTTCATGAGTTTCAGGACCTTCCTTATAGTCTCCCTATTCACGTAGTAACGTGTCAAACTATTGAAGAAAAGTTTTATATACAAAACCTCTTCGACGCCACTTTCGCATCACCTTAACCAAACGTTTCCTGGATACAGGACGTATCTCCTGACGATTTAAAATGGGCCTCGTTTTTCGAGCAAAGACAATTCCTTTTGATGCGCAATCGCGGTGGACGTATACGGCCCTTAAAGCGGTCCGTTCGAAGAAAAAGCAGATCCATTTCGGCATCATCCGCCATCTGCCATCTCGCGGGCCTCGGGTAGGCCCTCTGGCATCGACTTTTTCCCGGGCGTTTCCCCAAAATGGCGACCCTCCAGGTCGCCGGGCCCGGTTTCTGTCGTGCCGCGAATATGTCCGGCATCTCTCGAGGGCCATTCGTCTTTTCGAGCGGTGCCACGCATGCCTGGTCCAAGGGTGTGGCGTTTCGACAAAGATGCGCCGCCCGTCCGGAAATATCCTCCGTCGAACTCGCGAGCCGCGACGCCTGGCCGCCGCCATCTTGTCTTCCGCCAATTACGGCAATTTCGCTCCCTTAAGGTGAAGTGAAACCCCTTCAAATCAGTCAATTCGAATACAACACTTTTTTTTTTAAGGGTGTTGGACCAAACTGGCGCATCTAAGAATTGTCCTGACACATTGAAAATTTAGATTTTTGTATAAAAATTTGTTAACGCAGCCCAGAGCAGAACTAAAATGGCGTCGGGCGCTCATATTTCGATCAATATACAATTATCGAAGGTTCTGATATGAGAATCGAAAGGGTCAGGACAATTTTACGACAATTTGGAACACTCTGGCAATCGATAAACTCGCATTTGAACGGGAAAAAGGCTAAAAAAAAGTGTTGTATGTGCTTCTATGCCAAAACGATGGGAATACGAGGTGTCGGAGTGAAAATTTAATTTACCTGAAAATCACAGATGGCGCAGGGGGTCTCTTTGCAGTCAATTAGGGCCCCAGAAAGCATGTCATTACCTCATGAGAATTGAATACCGAACCCTTCTAGCCGTCGATCTATTATAAACTCATCGTTAATCCAATTAGTTTTCAAATATCTACGGGACATCCACGCGCGACCGCAGCGCTTCGCGCGGCGGTCTTGTCAAAGAGAGGAAAAAAGAGTTCCACTATACGACGGGGAAAGTGGAACTCCTAGATCCGAGGTCCACTTTTAGCTCTACGCGCATAAAGTTACGTTGGCTCTCCGTTTTTCTCCACAAACGAGATGTCTCGTCTCGCGTAATAACCGCGAGGTATTTCCTCGCGAAACGGAAGCGAGGCTTCTAATTGTTTTCTCATGTGGATCCCTGCACCTGCAGGCAAAACACGGTTGCCATGCAAGGCGGAAGTTCCTGCACATTAAGGCACATCCTCCCTTTGAAAGGTCGGAGGAGTTCCGAGTGCATTGAAACGGGGAAGTCTAGAAGGTCCCTCCGTGGCCCCAGACAAACCGGGGAACGAACCGGAACGCGAAACGAAGGTTCCTGTCCGGTCCTCTCGGTCCATCGGGTACGTACCGGCGCAATTAGGGAGGTCCTTGCGATTTATGGCTCCCCGCTGGTCGGAGGTCGTGGGAAACTCCTAAGCGGCCCCATGAGAGCAAACCTCGAAACCGGGAGATAATCCCTTTTCAACCTTCGAGTACTCGAGGGCGTTTCTTTCTTCCCTTACGACGTTCCTGTATAAACGGACGTGATTTGTAAATCCGTTGAACCTTGAATTCACATCTCGTATAGAGCGTCGAGCGAAGTCTCTTCCTTTATTCCATTTTGAAGCTCCCGTATAAACGTTATCTGTAAATCCGTAGAGAACCTTTAATCGTATTGAGAACCTTTATTCATATATCCCGTATAAACGTTATTTGTAAATCCTCTTCCCTTGCGACGTTCCTATATAAACGGACGTGATTTGTAAATCCGTTGAACCTTGAATTCACATCTCGTATAGAGCGTCGAGCGAAGTCTCTTCCTTTATTCTATTTTGAACCTCCCGTATAAACGTTATTTGTAAATCCTCTTCTCTTACAACATTCCTATATAAACGGACGTGATTTGTAAATCCGTTGAACCTTGAATTCACATCTCGTATAGAGCGTCGAGCGAAGTCTCTTCCTATATTTTATTTTGAAGCTCCCGTATAAACGTTATTTGTTAATTCTCTTCCCTTACAACATTCCTATATAAACGGACTTGATTTGTAAATCCGTTCAACCTTGAATTCACATCTCGTATAGAGCGTCGAGCGTACGAGCGACGTTTCTTCCTATATTCTATTTTGAAGCTCCCGTATAAACGTTATTTGTAAATCCATTGAATCTTGAATTCACATCTCGTATAGAGCGTCGAGCGTACGAGCGACGTTTCTTCCTATATTCCATTTTGAAGCTCCCGTATAAACGTTATTTGTAAATCCATTGAATCTTGAATTTTCATACCGTATGGAGCATCGAGCATACGAGTGGCGTTTCTTCCTTCCTTCTCTTTTTATACTACCGTGTTATCGGACGTTACTTATACATCCGTTGAACCTTGAATGTCCATATCGTATAGAGCGTTGAGTGTATCCGCGTAAACGAGCAAATCGAAGGGCCAGATGGAGTCGACCGGCGGATCTGATCGAGTCATTAGGTTTCCCCGAATGTCGAGGCGGAATGATTCGAGGCCCAGGAATGCCGGTCGATTTACAGCATTCGAGTTCTTTACAGCTGGCCCGCGGTCGCGGCACCGAAATTCCACGACTCGGTTGCGCAAGACCGGTCCCCGAGCGGAAGGGGAGAAGGAATCATCGAAAACCGATTACGAGGATATAACTAAACGAGCAGTGCACGGAGAACTAACGACAGTTTCGCCGTGTGGCACAAACGCGTCACTTTCTAGGATCCACTTAACGCTTAGTGCCGAGGGTCCGCCATCTTGAATCGATATCATCCTACCTCGGATACTTAATCATTCTCCACGACGTATTAAACCGAATTAAAAGCTCCGCTCAAAGCCCCAATATACAAAGCAACGTGTAAATAACACGCCACATCAATCGAAAAGTGTCACCTCGCAATTGATCTCGCAAAAACCTCATATTACGTTACCTTTAAAGTGCGCCCTCCACCTCACACCTCCCACTCGATTAACCGGGGACTCTTCGAATTTCATTCGTTCTCAATATCCACTTCCACTTCCGTAAGGATGTTCTTCACAATTCCGAATGAATTCCAACCGACGGCATAATCTAATTGCAAGACGTCAAGGTTTCGAGAGAAGTGTACCAAACTATTTTTTCCAACTGTCCGCCATCTTGGATCGGCGAGGGCCATCCGCCATCTTGGATCGGCGCGCCTCCGCGTTTTTGCCCCGATCTCTGCGGGGACTTTTTTTACGTCCCTTTTGGTGAACTCTCGACCCCGAACCACGCAGGTCACGAGATCTCCTCGCCCTGGCCGGTCCGTGGCCCGTGAGAAGAACACCCGAGTGCACGGTGTCAATCTAGACGTGCATCGCCTCGTACACTTGCACGCACCGCCTTCTCGAGGTTGGCCTCTCTCTTTCCCTCTCTTTCTCTCTCTCTCCGCTCTCGTTCTCGCACACGCAGGGCACGCATGGGCGACTGGGAACGACGCGAGTGGAGGATGATCTCAATTAGACGGCTCGAAAATCCCCGAGATTCGTTATTATCGGCGGATATCCTCAAAGTGGCCGGCAAAAGGAGGACCCACCGCGGAAACGATTCGCATCCGCGAGAACCCGCCTTAAGGCGCTACGAAAGGGTCATTCTATATATATATAGTTTGACGTTTTATAGATTACATAAGTGCTCATTGAAGCCCTAAGGAAGAACGCGACGCTCGTGAAATTTCATTTCCCCTCCCAAAAAAAAAGAAAAAAAAATGTAATTTTGGTTCTAGTCCAGTAAGTGGCCTGAAATGACTTATTAAACATTTCTCCGAGCCGGATGCACCGAATCGTTTCAAACATTTGTTACATAAAAGTGGAAGGGTAAACCCTATTATTTAGAAACGGCTTCTAACTGCAGTTGTCGGTAAAGAAAATAAATAAATAAATACAAACCAAACAAGCCACCCTCGTCAAAATCTGTGAAATACTGTTATATAACAATGACGATAAAAACAATTACATGATTTAAAAAAAAAATAAGGAGGGGTGGGAAATATTCCTCGTTCCAAGTTTGAAAAAGGGCCGGTTTCGCGCGCATTTCGCGGGACATCGGGGGGAGGGAGGGTGGTTTTAATTGGTCCCCGTGTCGGGTGGGTTAAAATTGAAAAATAACCGAACCGAATTCCGTGCCCCTTTCCGTTTGGTTCATTAATCACGAGGAATTGGCGGGGACCGATCGGAGGAGAGCCAGCAGTTCGGAGCAGGGCCCGACGCACACGGCGACACGCGTCGCTCGGCGAAGCCGACAGTTCCGAACACGCATCGACCGGGTCCGCACCGATACGAATAATCCGGCCGATGTCAACGGCCGCGATCGGAAGCATCGTCCCCGCTTAATCCGAAGGGGGCTCGCCGATGCGGAAAAATCGAAGCGGGCCCACCGTAGGACCCTCGGCCAACATCGGCCGGACTCGGTTAACCTCGGCCTCGCGAAATCTGATTTTCCGAATGAAAAAAAAATAAATAAATAAAAAATGTATTTACCCCGACCAAAAAGGAGGTTTGTCCCAAAAAATGAAATTTAGCGAGTTTAAGACCTTCGTTAGGACCTCCTCGTGTGTTACAGTTTGAAAATATTCGGTTCACCCAGTTTGGATAAATGTATAATAAATATTTCGCCGTTGTTGTATATATGTTACAGTGAAACACCGAAATCTGAAGAATGTCGACTTTTACCGGTGAATGTCAACATTCACATAGTCGCTTCGTGTATGTCCGAAACATTTGCTAAATACCCTTATTTGTGACTTACACCGGTAAATGTTGACATTCACCGGTGTGTGATGTTGACACACACTGGAGAGGGTCCGAATGTACAACAATGTAATGAAATATTCGATCTTTCACCGACGTATTTGGTATCTGTTGACATTCACCGGTGAAAGTCGACATTCTCCAATTTCGGTCATTCACGTTAACATATATATATATTGATATATATATATAGATATAGATATGAATGAAATTACCCGAGTCTAAGACCTTCGTTAGGACCTCCTCATGTGTTAAAGTTTGAAAATACTCGATTCACCCAGTTTGGATAAATGTATAATAAATATTTCGCCGTTGTTGTATATAGATATAGATATAGATATAGATATAGATATAGATATATAGATATAAATATAAATATAGAGAAAGAGATATTACCGATGCCCCTGATAGGAGGACTTGACGAGCTTGACGGTGAAGAGGAACTGGATGGCGCAGACAAGTAGACAGCAGAGGTTGAGGGAGAGCGCCAGGGCGCACAACGCCAGGGTAACCTCGTAGACGATGGCGTACTCCTCGGGGCTGATGAGGCTGCTAGGCGTGACGGTGAGCGGGGAGATCTTGAGGAGGAAGGTGAGGGATAGGAGAGCCAGGAGAAGAGACACCAGGCACAGGAGTCCCAGGGAGGTGAGCATCTCCCTGACCCCTGCCTCCTGGGCGCGGTCCCTCCTAGAGAGGGTGCACGACCAGGAGGCGTCGAGAGTGGGCGGGACGGGGTGGCCCGGGCCGGCGGCCCCAGGGACCAGGACGGCAGCCGCCAGGGGCGCCGGCGAGGGAGTCGCCTGGCTCGGTAACCTGGAGAGTCTCGAGATGTCCAGGCCCCCGTTGGCCTTGGAACGGTCCAGGGCCTGCACGTGGCCGGGGCCCGTCGCGACGGGCCCCGCCACGGGGCTGACGCTGTTCACCGAGTGCTTCGACGTGGACAACGTCGACAGGTTCAGGGCGTGCGAGTGGTTGAGTCGCTGCGAGAGGTTGTTGACGCTCAGCTGAGAGTGCGTCAAGGGGTGTCGGTGGCCCGAAGACGGCGTCGTCGTCGCGGGGTGGTGGGCACCCGGGGGGCCCCTAGGTCCCGAGTGGATCACCGAGTCGTAGACGTCGCTGCCGGGCCGCACCGGGCCCCGACTGGGGTAGTGCTGGTGGAGGTGCTCCTGCAGCCCGTGGTGCTGGTGGTGCAGCCCGCCCACCCCGCTCCCCTGGTACTCCGGGTAGTGGTGGTGCCTGGAGCTGGGGACAACCGACGAAATTTATCCAAAGCTTCCTCTTTCAGTCGGGAAATTGTGAGAAATTACGGTGGAGTGAAACACGGGGAGACATTTCATCGAAGTCGGTAAAAAGGAATTCTTCTAAATAGTGTCTCACTCGAATCGCCCTGGGAGTTTCGCATCACCTTAAAGCGAAGTGAAACACCCTTCAAATCAGTCGATTCTAATACACTTTTTTTTAAGGGTATTGGACCAAACTGTCCCAAACTTTGACACATCACTCCTGGTCGTCTAAGAATTGTCCTGACACATTGAAAATTTGGATTTTTCAAAAAAAATGTTTAACTCACCCCAGACAAGAAACTAAATGGCGTCCAGCTCTCATATTTCGATCGATGTACAATTATCGAAGTGTCCGATATGATAAACTAAAGGGTCAGGACAATTTTACAAGAATTTAGAACCCCCTGGTAATGGATAAACTCGCATTTGAACGGGATAAAGGTAAAAAAGGCGTTTTATGCGCTTCTATGCCAAAACGATGGTAATACGAGGTCTCGGAGTGAAAATTTAATTGACCTGGAAATCACAGATGGCGCAGGGGGTCCCTCTGCAGTCAATTAGGGCCCCAGAAAGCACGAATCCAGAGGATTTCTGGAGTTTTACTTCGATTTCTTTATAATTACTGTACGAAAACGACAGGTGGAGTATGCCATTTGGTACAATGCCCAATATAATTCGACCCAGCTGTCGATATAAAAACCAACGTCGGCAACGTAGGGATTTAGAAAAATCATCTTTATCGAGGTCGATCAAGTTCCTCGACGTGTTTCACATCCCCTTAAAATCCAGGATTTCCAGAGGTAACGACCCCTCTGATTTTTCAACCCTACCTGGAGCCCCCCGAAGACGGCTGCCCCGTCGAAATGTGCTTCAGCATCCCTGGGTCCTGTCTCCGACTGGTCCCAGGCAAGTCCCCGGCAAGTCTCCGCGTAGGGCCCGGCGAGTCCTCGGGCCCACCTTCACATCGCTCCGCCCGGGCGGGTCGCCCGGGGACGACCCAATCACCGCCTCGACGCCTCGCTTCGAGCCGGGTCTCTTCAGGGTCCAGGGCTCAGGGAGTTGGTGCACACCAGCTCCGCCTTGCGGCGCATGGCGCCCTGGACGACCCTCCGCGCCTCCGCGGCTCCGCCTAGGATCTGCTCCGACTAAGGACCTCGACCTCGGGACTGCTCGCCACGGGAACCGACGATCCACCTCGAGCCGGGGCCCGCATAGCTCCGGGCCTCTCGAGCCCCCTCCTGGAACGGAAAATCGACTCGTTAAGGTGAAGTGAAACCCCCTTCAAATCAGTCGATTCTAATCAACTTTTTTTTAAGGGTTTATTGGACCAAACTGTCCGGGTGCGACTTTCACGTTCCCCTTGAGCTTTAAGGTGAAGTGAAACCCCCTTCAAATCAGTCGATTCTAATCAACTTTTTTTTAAGGGTATTGGACCAAACTGTCCGAGACTTTGACACGTCACTCCTGATCATCTAAGAATTGTCCTGACACATTGAAAATTTGGATTTTTTCATAAAGTTCTTTAACTCAGCTCAGACCAGAAACAAAATGGCGTCGAGCTCTCATGTTTCGATTATATAAATATACAATTATCGTAGGCTCTGATATGAGAAACGAAAGGGTCAGGACAATTTTACGAGAATTTAGAACACTCTGGTAATCGATAAACTCGCATTAGAACGGGATAAAGGCAAAAAAAGTGTTGTATGCGCTTCTATGCCAAAACGATGGGAATACGAGGTCTCGGAGTAAAAATTTAATTGACCTGGAAATCACAGATGGCGCAGGGGGTCCCTCTGCAGTCAATGTTTACAAAACTTTTCTCCCAACTCGGTTTACCGAATAGTTTGAAACTACAACGTGAATAGGGAGACTATAAGGAAGGTCCTGAAACTCATGAAATTTCAATTCTTTTCAAATTTGTTAAAATGCGCTGAAAGCATACGTTTATGACAAATTTTATTCTGTAAAATATATTATACCCTAAACAAGATACTAACTACTCTAAACAAGATAACTGCCTATGGATTGATGATATAATGAAATACTGTGTGATACTATATCAATCTTTAGTCAAAATATCAAATGGCCTGAACGACAAATCAGGCAAAAAAGGGCTTGGCACGGAACGTGTTAAGGGGTTAACAAGATGTTCCTCCGATACCATTCAAAGAAACATTTCTTTGATTCGATAACATTTTTATTTTCTTTTTGTCTCAGGGTGGACCAAATATTCCTACCAAACATTTACCCGTGGATCTTCTCAACGAAATCCCATCGATTAAATTGTCTCGATCATGTAAATCATAACCAACCCTTCCAAGAGATTGGTTACCCTGACCTCTCATTTAAACCGACAATAAGAAAATTCCCTACAGTAGCAACGCCACTGGCATCGAGACTGTCCTCTGGAAAAACGCTCGACTTCCGTGAACCTTGACTTTTCCCGCGCCTCTTCCCCTCCCTCGGAATCCCCCCCTCTTTCCGACTCCCAGGGAGCTTCGCAGTCGCCGCAGAACTGGTCCGGGAAAGTTCCCGAGCCATCCGCTCAGAGGCACGCGGCTTCCCGAATCGGCCGACCATCCGTGCCGACGAGCACGCGGCCGAGTCCGGCCACGCACTGCGGGAAACTCGGCTCCGCGGTCCCTTATATACCCCCTCCCGTCCCGCTGCCCCCCACGCAGGCGAGCCACGATGACGTAAACGAGTCATCGCGATACCCGCTCAATTCGGACTTTTCCGCAGGGATTCCCTTGCGAAACATCCGCGCCCTATTTCAATTAAGGTGACAGGTGAAAGTGCCGCCAAAGAGGTCCCTCGTTAACGAAACTCTTGTCAGGACTGGGTGCATCGACTCGTTTCAAACTTTCCAATGTAAACACGGAGGCCACGAGCAAGATCCCGACACGTATGAAATATTTCAATTGAAAGAAAAAATTTCTTCGTGGATATTTAAAAATGTGTTTTTATTTTCTTTTTTCTTTCTTTCCTTCTTTCTAAAACACGAGATTTTATGGGTGCCTCGGGATCTCTCTTATGGCTTCCGTGTTTACGTCGCGATGCGGTTCGGTGGCGCCAGCGTCGCGTAATATCTTTCCCTCGACGTAGCGTCTTTATGGCCTCGCTATCGATGCCGATCCGCGATCTCGCTCGTGGGCGCGACCGTCGTAGAAAAAAAAAAAGAAAAAAAAAAGAGAAGAAAAAAAAGTGAGGTTACCGGAGAAGCGAGAGAACGCCGGGGGGCGTAGCGGAGGTTAGCGCGAGTTGTTGTCAATAGCCGGGCTTGACTCATAGAAACGGGTTCCGCTCGCATTCCGGAGGCGCAGCCCGTCGTCGGGCGCAGCGAGTGCGAGAGAGACGGAGATACGTCAATGGCCGCGCATGCGCGCGCCGCCTACTCGCACGTGCTCCCGCGCGATTCCGAGTCAGTCAGAAAAATGGCGGAAAGAACGGACGACCGTTGACGTCCATACATAGCTCGCTCTCGACCGTTTATCGAATACTTCGGATCGATCGGACGAGCTAACATAACCTCCACGAACATTCGCAACGATTTCCATATACATCGGTTAGGAAAGTGTCCGATGATCGAATCGTTTCCCTCGATTTTAGAAAATGTCTCGGCCCGACAAATCGAATACCTCGGACCGAAATCTACCGAATTATTTGCACACATTCTCGAGTCAATACGATCTTCAATTCGCATGCGAAAAGTCGGCATTCAAATGTTGACCAATGGGCGGGACTTCGCAACCACGTGAAACATTTCACGCGAATCCATTCGCATGCGCAAAAAAATCCGAATGAACTCGAGAATAGCCCTGATAGATCACGATATTTCGTGCGATCGATCAAATCTTCGGTTTACGGATCGACTCACGTTTATACGTGTACATGACAAAAATGTTGCCAGTTCATTTTTCAAGGGTTCAACGTCAGTCGCGGCGAATGGAATTCCTCCTCATGGCTGTGAATTCTTTTCCTCCGTGCGGAAGCCACAGTCGTGGAGGTGCATCGCAGGCCCCCGTAAAGGTGGAGGAAATTATCCCGGGCTTATACGCCGTAAAAGGTTTCGCGACGCCGTAGAAGTCCAACGGCGAGCCGGTTCATCCAATTTCTCGGAGTTCGCTCGATTCCACAGGGTTTCGCCATGGCCGCTTAAAACGTAAACGCGTTACACGGGACTTCGAGCCGGCCGATTAGGAAGGTTCGCTTTCTAACCGTAAATGCACGTGAAAAAAAAAAAAGATCGATCTTCAAAGGTGTGGTTTTATCAAACCGCTAGTGTAAACAATGTTGCATTAAGACGACACGATACGCACTTATCTAACGTAACGTCCCAAGGCGCGACAGGGCCGTTTACACCGTCAGTTTGATAAAACCAGGCCTTTATTCCGCGTGCCAAGTGGTCCGTGCGTAAACTAACCCACTGCCCACATCCTACGTTTCAAGGCGTGGTTTTATCAAACCGCTAGTGTAAACAATGTTGCATTAAGACGACACGATACGCACTTATCCAACGTAACGTCCCAAGGCGCTACACGGCCGTTTACACGGTCAGTTTGATAAAACCAGGCCTTTATTCCGCGTGTCATAAATTAAGCCACTGCCCACGTCCTATGTTAGAACCACCGGAAATTTTGCCAGTTAAACCTGCTTTTATCAGTTAAACCTGCTTTCGTCAACTAAACCAGATATCTCCCCGGGGATTTTTCGGGCGACTTTCGATCCCAATCTCGAGAGGCTCGGGAAAACGATAAATTTCAGGGCGATCGAAGCCTCGCAAGGCTCATCGAAGGGATAAAAAAGGAAGAGCCTCCCCCCGTCCCCCCCTCACCGCCCTCAACCCCGGCGACCGCAGGGGTGGTCGCGTGATGCGGTTACGCGCGGCCGCAAGGTCAACGATTTTTCGAGGCTCGTCGGGTTACCGAGAGGAGCACGAGCGACGAGAGAAGAAGGCAAGGTCGTTGCCTAGATAACAGTTGCAAGGTACAGTTGGCTCGCATGCCAGGAGACCGGCCGGCCAGCGAGGCGAGCCGAGCCCGCCCGAGTCTTCCCGAATGCCGCCGAGGCCGGGCCACGTGGGCCGCGGGTCCGCGCGCACCTTGGCGGGAAATTACGAACGGCGTACCTCGCTCCCCCCGACTCCGTAAACATTTACGAAAGCGTTCTTTTCACGAAATGAAGGCGAACCTTGTAATTGTAAGGTGGTCCAACTAAATTCCCATGCCCTCACGGGTGAATTCCTTAAACTGACATCGTTATTAAAGTACTGAAAATTATAAGAGAGAGAGAGAGAGAGATCACGAAAGACGGCATCTTTAGCAAGACCTTACACATGACAAATAATATATATAATTTAATATTTACTCATTTATATTAAGGCGATGTAAAAGTGGCGTCGAAAATGTTTTGTTTATAAAACTTTTCTCCCAGCTGGATTTACGGAATACTTTGAAACCTTAAAACGTGAATAGGGAGACTACAAGGAAGGTCCTGAAACTCATGAAATTCCAATTCTTTTCAAATTTCCTTATAGGTACTTTTAGAAATAGTTTATAAAAAATTAAATTTCGCGAGTTTCAGGACCTAATTTAGGGTCTCCATATTCACGATTTAAAGTATGAAACGATTTGAGACGCCCAGTTCGTTGAAATGTCTTATGAACGATTGAGCTTTCGGATGCCACTTTCACCATCCCCTTAACTTGCCGGTCATTTTTGCCCAATTGAGCGAGAGGGGTGAAGTGTGGTACGGGTCGAGAGGTCCATTTCGCAAACACCCTGTATACGAGAACTCTGGTCTCCCTCTCCCTCTCGGGCAGATGCCTGCCTGACCCGCCGGGCCGGCCCGGGCGAACTCACCTTGGCAGGTGCCTCAATGGACCGCCAAGGCCCCACCAAGGCCCCGCCGGACCCCGCCAAGGCCCACCGGGCCCATCGGACCCACCGGCCAACTTCGCGCGCGCTTCCTTCCGCTACGGACCGGCCTCCTTAGGGACATTCCGAGTCTCTTTTTTTTCCTCCTCCTCTCCCCGAACTCGCCACTTGGACGGAGCTCTCCGCCTGGAGACGGATTTCGACTCTAACCGAGAAAAGGACTCGAAATGCGAAAAGAAGACGTGGCGCTAATGACGTTCTAGCTGATGCTTCGTTCAATAAGCAGATTAATGAAAAAAATAAATAAAGAAAGAAAAGGGAAGAAAACATTCATCCAATCGAAGGAAAAGCGAGGTTCGAGTTGATACGAAAGTGTCACGTACCAAATCGTCAATATGTGTTATGAAATTTAACTTCAAACAGGGTGCATCGAGTAATTTCAAATCAAACTACAGCACGTGACGCTCGGTAAAATTTCAATTTTTATTTATTTATTTATTATTTTTTTTTCAATCCAAAATTTCATCCGTATCCCAGACTAAGATGCGTATTTTCTTTGAAAAATGATATTTCACTAGCATCGGGTTCTCCCTTAGGGCCTCCATAACCACGTGTTAAAGTTTGAGATAATTCGTGGCACAGAATTTGGAGAAAATTTCAAGAAATACTTTAACGCTTCGCGTACATAGATTGACCCCTTTCATATCACGTGAAGGTGCCACACTCCCTATTATGCGTCCTCTCTTGTATGTATTATCATTAAAAATTTCAAGAAATACATTTACACTTCGCATACATAGATCGACCCTTTCAAATCACGCGAAGGTGCCACACTCCCTATTATGCGTCCTCTCTCGTATGTATTATCATTGAAAATTTCAAGGAATACATTTACACTTCGCGTGCATAGATTGACCCTTTCATATGTGCCCATAATAATGAAAGTGGTCTAAGTCATATATTTTTTGTTTCGAAATTACATTGAATTAATTTAGTTTGAAATAATGTGGCGTGAAATAACTGATAAACTCATTTTTTTTTTTTAATTTCGACTTAGACCACTTTCATAATTATGGGCACATATCACGTGAAGGTGCCACACTCCCTATAATGCGTCCTCTCTCATATGTATTATCATTAAAAATTTCAAGAAATACATTTACACATCGCATACATAGATCGACCCTTTCAAATCACGTGAAGGTGCCACACTCCCTATTATGCGTCCTCTCTCGTATGTATTATCATTAAAAATTTCAAGAAATACATTTACACTTCGCATACATAGATCGACCCTTTCAAATCACGCGAAGGTGCCACACTCCCTATAATGCGTCCTCTCTCGTATGTATTATCATTAAAAATTTCAAGAAATACATTTACACATCGCATACATAGATCGACCCTTTCAAATCACGTGAAGGTGCCACACTCCCTATTATGCGTCCTCTCTCGTATGCTACATGGCCGTCGCACATGAAGAGTGTGCTCGGTCCGTAATTTCACGTTTCAGGCGCAAGAACCTCGGCGGGTGTACGGAAATACACGGGAAGCCGGGTGTGCGGAAATAGCGCACGGTACCAAGAGGCTGATAGGTGCGCACCCAGGGGTCATGCACCCTGGAACAGCCCTACGCCGACCTCCCTGATTTCTTTTCCGATCGCACTTTTCCAGGGCAAACGGACGATCGACCGGAGTCGACGAAACTGCAGGGCGACACGCCCGGCACGCAGCCAGAACGGAAATGAGTGCTCTCTCTCTCTCTCCAAGGCTCGGAGATGAAATCGGACCCTGCCGGCTGCACACGTCCACTACATATGAAACTGCACTCGAAAGAAAAGCCCAGGTAAATGAACCAGAATTCCGGTTATTTTCACCTGTACTGGATCGCTAAGGTGAAGTGAAACACGCCGAGGAACTTGATCGACGTCGATAAAGATTTTCCTAAATGCCTACGTTGCCGACGTTGGTTTTTATATCGATAGCTGTGTGGAATTATATTGGGTATTGTACCAAATGGCATACTCCACCTGTCGTTTTCCTACAATAATTATAAAGAAATCCAAGTAAAACCCCAGAAATCCTCTGGATTCGTGCTTTCTGGGGCCCTAATTGACTGCAGAGGGACCTCCTGCGCCATCTGTGATTTCCAGGTGAATTAAATTTTCACTCCGAGACCTCGTATTACCATCGTTTTGGCATAGAAGCGCATACAACACTTTTTTTGCCTTTATCCCGTTCAAATGCGAGTATATCGATTACCAGAATGTTCTAAATTCTCGTAAAATTCTCCTGACCCTTTCGTTTCTCATATCAGAGCCTTCGATAATTGTATATTTATATAATCGAAATATGAGAGCTCGACGCCATTTTGTTTCTGATCTGGGCTGTTAAAAATTTTCTTTTTTAAATCCAAATTTTCAATGTGTCAGGACAATTCTTAGATGATCAGGAGTGACGTGTCAAAGTAATACCCTTAAAAAAATGCGTTGTATTCGAATCGACTGATTTGAAGGGGGTTTCACTTCACCTTAAAAAGGGCACGTATATTTCACGAGGTGTTAGACCTTCCCCCGAGGACAAGGGGAGGAATAAAAGAAGAGGGAAGAGGTCTCGCGAGGTAAAGATGCCTCTCGGTGCTCGAAAGGAAGAGCACTCGAGAGAGAGGGAGCGACAGAGCTATACTCGAGTCTCTTCAAGAGTCTCCTCGACACGTGTAGGTACACGCTGAGTATAACATTTTTTTTCATTAACAAAGAAAAAAAAACGAAAAAAATGGCTTCTTTCAATTTCTTGGTGCTTTCGAGAGAGTCCATTGTCTCTGTGTTTCCAAACGCTGCAGTTCCCTTCATCAGGGCAGACACTGATAACATGTGAGAGAAATAGGTGGAAGGTAAAGAAGGATGGAAATGAATGATCCTTGGTCCCACGAGTGAACTCTCTCTCTCTCTGTTTCTCTCTTTCTCCCCGTAGTAGTGTAACTCAACTACCAGACGATCGTATCCCTTTTCTTATGTAGGACTGTCATATGATCTGTAATATCGGCCACTCCACCGCGACTGGTTATTCTCTCCTGCACCGTGAAAAAAAAATAAAAAAATCCCCTCTAGAGAGATATAAAAAAGAAAAAGTAGGAAGAAGATATTCTCGGATCGAAAAGATACTTTACGATAGGATCTGAAATCTCTCCCCGAACCTGGGGTAATCCAGTCATTTTAAACTTTACAATAAGAACATTAATTTCATAGCAGACATTTTTGAAATACTTGGAACCAAATGCTGTTTTTTTTTTTTTTTAATTGTCAATTAGGGCCCCAGAACGCACGAATCCAGAGGATTTCTGGAGTTTTACTTCGATTTCTTGATATGTATTGAACGAAAACGAGAGGTGGAGTATGCCATTTGGTACAATACCCAATATAATTCGACCCAGCTGTCGATATAAAAACGAACGTCGGCAACGTAGGCATTTAGAAAAATTTTCTGTATCGACGTCGATCAAGTTCCTCGACGTGTTGCACTTCACCTTAAATTACGAATGACGAATATGGAGGAACGTTTATTTATTTATTTTCTCCCTCTACCAGGGGAAGGAAAGGGAGATCTCGTGATTCGCACACGTAAGAGAGATATTATCCCAGTTGTCCGTTAGTTCCCCGAAAGCATTCCATCTCGCGGCATTGGACCAAGGGGAAGATTAATTCATTCCGAGGCCTTGAATCGAGTGGTCAACACAGACGTTTCCTCGCCGATTCGGCGCGATAATAAGCGAGTCCCTTCGACGTAGGTCGGGAAAAAATAAAAAATAAAAAAAAAAAGATGAAAAGAGGATCCGTTTCTTCGCTCCCCTCGACGAAGGGCGATGAATGGAGGAACGAAGGGAGCCGGCTTTCCCGAGGTAGCCAAACATCTTGTCAACGGTTTTCCGAAATAGACCTCGTAAATCCCCCGACGGTTTTACGACCTGACGCTCATATGGCGCGCATAAATTACGCGTTGATATATTGTAAATATAATCCCCCTGGGCTCCCCGCGGGGAGAAGTAGATCTCATTTTAAATTTCAACCCCCGAGATGGGAATTCACCTAACCAAAGAAATATATTTATCAATTCGAAGAATAATTAGACTGGAATAAATTGGACGCAATTATGACAGAATTGATTTCAGGCCTAGTCGAATCGATATTATTGGAATTAACGAAACATTCCTCCGGTTTGATGAATTCTTTGTTTACAACTTATATACAAAATTCTTGAAACTAATTTGAATGTTATTGAAAATTCGATTCTCCGAGAATCTCCTATATTCGTGGAGAATTTAATCTCTGGTTATACTCTCGGTTACATTAACGGGGTAATATAACGCCCTAAAAACTCTACTCGCGGCAAAGGCGCCGTGCAAATTCCCGGGGACTCACCTCGTGCTACATTCCTGCGCTCGGCTCGGTTCCCGAACCGCCACGGCGCGGCATGTCTCTCTCCCCGCCGCCAGGTGGCGCTTGCTGGCCGACGCGGCGAAGCACCGACACGCGCACCCGCGCACCACACACCCTCGGGCCCGACTGGCGACGCCACGTGCTGACGCGCGACCAACCCCTCGGCGGGACCGCGACCGAGTGCGCGCGCACCCCGAACACCCGCGCTTATACGTCGCGCGACCCGCGACCCTTGCCGCCCCGCGTTCGGCACTCTTCGTCACCACTCGCCACTACTCGGCACGGCACTCCGACGCACCGCGGACACCTGCGCGCGCACTGCAACGGTCTGACTCCAGCCGAGCTAAGCAGCGGACTGGGCCATACTGGGACCGTTGAAGTGTCGAGAGCCGAGCGCGCACCCCGACCTGCGTTCCCGCGCCGCCGCCGAAGGGAGCCGGAAACGTCCGGAAATACCCGAGCTAGCCCACCTTACGCGAGCGGGGTTTGCGTGCCTTAGGGCCCTTTTTGGCGTTAAGGCTGTTTCACGCGAGCGCGAGTCTCGACAGAGGGCGCTGGGAAAGATCGAAAGTGGCTTACGCTTTCGTTCTAATTTTACCTTCACTTTAGCTTAATTGGTTTTCGTATGCATTCCTTAAAATGAACAATTAAGTTAGGGTTGGGTCGAAAATATAAACCGGGCAGGAATCAAGCTACAAATTCTATTTACGATAATAATGTTTATAACGTTTTAATGGTCATTTTCATAAATACTCAGTTTTGTAAAGAAATTGGTAAATTGAGTGTTTACGGAAGGTATTCATCAGTTAGTAAATAGGGTGTTTTGTGTTGACTTAATTTTACCAATTGCTTATGTTTGAAAACATTTTATAACCATCTTGTGGATGTTTCATATCAAAGACAAGAGACGTTATACGTTTCAAGCGTCGGAGGCAAAACTTATGGCACTCTTAGAGTAAGTACATACTACTTACGTGTACGTTTGATGTGTGTTGCGGGTGATAACATCTATACATCTCTTTTTATCAGAGACGTTGCGTAACAGTACTTAGCATGCCTCGACATGGTTGACCTGGAAGAGTTATTAGAAAAAACACGATAAAAACTCTTGACGTAAAATCAATGAAAATCTTGGTTAGGAGGCATCGAACGGTTGCATCCATTAACCCACATTCAGCATGATTCCAGGAAAACCAGGACATGAATCGATTAAAACGTGGTATTGATCATTGTAGAGTTGAACCTGGTTAACCATATGTCAGGAAATTCAACTATAATAAGGCTAACTATTTTTGCCTCTGCCTTACAGTCAAGCTGTGTACACGGTGTATGGATCGAGAGTCCTGCCTGAAATATCCATTTTACAAGGAAACTCGGTATATCCCAGAATACAAAAGGAAACGCGTTGCTATTTCTTCTACTCCCTGAAATAAAGTAAACATACCGAGGGGTCTACGGGACCTGCAAATTAAATAAAACAATAGAGTTCAATACCATGTTTTTCATTCGCTTCTTTAAAAAAAAAAAATCTAATATCTAAAATACTTCAGGGTTGAAGTCAAACACACCTTGTATGCTATCCAGCGAAGATCTACAACATTACATTCTAGAGAAAATCCCTGCAATCCCTAATCGCAGTTCTGCATAAATATGAATCAACCACAGTTTTATTTCGTAATACCTTTTACAGAATGCCTCGTCTCAGCGAAGAATACTGCGTACACGTAAAAGATAGTAATGCGCACGGTTGCTCCAATGGCGTGTCGTTGAAAAGTATTAAAATTATAACGACCTCCTTCGTTAAGGATAATTTACAACATGCACCTTGTCGTCTTGTGTCGTTTTTCACTTGTTTCTTTGTATCCCTCTCGCAAAACTTAACCCTAGGGTTGACACTTAGGTATCCGGTATTATAACACATTTACTGGGAAGGGAAGATGGTCCTCGGGATCGCACAATCCGCGTTCCTCCAACAACGAGCCACACACTTCTCGCATCTACCTACAAATCTTAGGAATTCGTATTACAAGAAAGTATTGCGTCGTGCTTAAACATTGCTGCGAACCATCTAAGACCAAAGGACCAAAGGGACGCGCAATGTCAACGCAAGGGCCTAATCTAAAACATGTCGCTCGACGTTTTAACCCCCAAAGACAGGGCTGACCATTTCAGATAATTTTACTTGAAATTTGCTTTAAAATGAAAAAAAAAAAAAATACGAAGTTGAAGAAGGAACCAGAATCAGAAAACTATTACGCGCTAAACAGTGAAATCATTGAAGACGTTAATCAAGAAGAAATACATTCTAGAAATTTCTTTAAAGAAGAAGTGAGGTTATTTTATACCGATTTCAACTTCACTTTAACACGAGGAGAAAAGCTGTTGATTAACGTGCCCAAAAACTTTAGCTTCTGATACTCGAAATGGCTATTAGAAAACCGCCGTTTATTAATAATAATTCCTATTAATCACGGCAAATTAAAGTTAAATCTATTTCGAATAATAGCGCAGCCCTGCTTATAAAGCTTGTATGGAAATCTTATCTGTCGGTTTTCTGTGGCATCGTTCCATGCTTAGTGACGCTAATAAGGTTTTCGAGCATTATACAGATCTTGTGGAATGATTTTAGTAATGCTTTTCAATCAATGAATTACATGGTTTATTCTATCCTAACGTCTCTATGACCCGAAGATCTTAAATTCAAGCTACCCTTGAGATAAGTTCTGTTCTTTGTCTCCATTTTTCAATCTTAAATCTTACGTTATTACCTCTTTGATGCCAGATCTCAAAAACATGATAAATTCCTTTTAGGATCGGTCAACTTGACATCGACCAATAAAGGCAATCATGCACTAATAAAATTTAATAATGAATCAGACACCGATGCAAGCTGTTTTTTAGACTCGACATTTCTAACAGAATAAAGGCATTTCCATGCAAGCTTCGCACCTTGAACTAAACTATGTAAATGAAATGTAACATAGTAGGCGCTGCCTTCATAAAATATAACAGCCTTAATACACACGGTGTCCAGAACTCTCGCCGACACTTCCCAGCATGCGAAAATCTGAACACCCAGTGTGCATATATATATATTTGCTTTCATATATACATACATATATATGAAATTAATTATAAATAATTTTGCATTAAAACGGATATATCGTTACAATTACGTAGCTTTTTAGCACATCAAATAATACACAGACAGGTAAAACGAGGAGAGGTTAGCAAGGGGAGTCCAAGACCTGTCACCACCTACGGGCCCTTGTTCAATCAACTGGACAAGGCAGGCCACGTTGAACAAGTGCCGAACCAACGAAAAACCAGAGAGGGAGAGAAAGGGAGAGAGAAAGAGAGAGAGAAGAAAGAGTCAAAATAAAAATGCACGTCGAACGAGTCAGTAGCATGTGTATTCTGTCAAGAGAGCCAGGGCAGGAAATTTAAGTTATCAATTTCTCCTTTCTCTCTACAGCCGGAATTACCTGGGATATCTGTCACCTTGCTTGCGATGCAAAAGGTGAATAGTGGGTAAGTTAGAGGTCGTAAGGGAACAACGTCACTGCCGGTTGGTGGTTAGCTCATGGAGACCTGCCCATTATTCAGTAGTCTCTCAATGGCGGCATTTATGTCACCGAACGTGGCGATTAGTGCTAAAATAAAATCCCCTCTTCAGTGAACAAATCACTCTGTCACGTGCTTTCGATTTTTAGGTTAAGTTATCCGATACCTCGGCTTACCTTGTAGATTAGCTTCTCTATCGACGAAACCCATCGCGGTTAATTGTTCAAGTTGGGTTCTGTAACGCTCTTCGGGTGGTGCTGCAGGCTGACCATCCACTTCGGCACCTTGATTTAATGCCATTGCTGAAAACTGCATATACGACACAAGACATAAAGAAGATTGAAGTCAGACAATTCAGTCAGCCGAATACAAAAGAAGTGTTCGTGTTTTTCAAACTAAGTATACTTACCATTCTTGCCATGAACTGGGAGAACACGGCCTGTTGATTCGCCTCCGTTTGTTGGCCCGGAGTGGTCGTCGGAGTCGTCGCAGTGGTCGTCGTTGGCGTTGTGGTGCTAGGAACAGTGAGCCCCATACTAAAATTCCATCGAATTTCGCATTAGACCGGTCTTTTGCGGATGGAATTTACATCGCGTTAAAGTAACCTCTACGGTTAAGAAGATCGTGGATACTTTTCAACAAACTCTGGTGCGACGGTTCGCAGCTGCTCCATGCCTTGCTGGATCTGCATGATCGCTGCCAAAGCATCCGGATTGGTGACGACACTCTGGACCTGCGGATTCTGCATCTGCTGGATGAACGCAGGCATCATGGCCCGCATTTGTTCCTGCATCTGGGGGTTCCCTCGAAACATGGGGTTCGCTGCGATCACTCTGCTGGCCATAGCTGGATCAGCGGCCATGGCTTCGAGCATCGATCTGGTGTATGGAGCACTTAACATATTTCTCATGATCTGTGGATTCTCTATCATCTGCGACATTAGACGCTGCATGCCTGGAGAATCTAGTAGTCCTCTTCCGGGAGTTGGTGTTGCCTCGGGGGTGGTCGATTCGCTTTGATTTTGGCTCCATGGATTGGGCAGCGGATCTCTGTTTTCCTGGCCTTGTTGTGGATTTGTCTGGGAATCTTGGGAGCTACTGTTCTCCACCAATGCTGCGAAAGGGTTAAGCTCGTCCGTTGCTTCTAACATAGGCTCCTGGAAATCGTGATACAGTCGGCGAAGTGCCGTGTATCCACCTGGAATGCTCTCAAGGTTTGACAGGGCCCGGTCTTGCGAACGCATGAGTTCTTGGAGCATCGAAGGATTACGGGCCAACTCCATTGTTTGCCTGAAAACACGTGGAAAAAATCTCCCTAAATGTTGTTACAACTGTAATTTGGGATATCGTTTACTCACCTTAATAGCTCTGGGTTATTTAACATATGACTGATTTCTGGATTGCGTTGCATCAGCTCCTGCATTTGTGGATTCGAAGTGACCAAGTTTCTCATGTTCTCTGGGTCGCTCATCAGACTTTGCACCAGAGGGTTATCCAGCACTTGGCGCATCGTATCTGGATTGGAGAGTAATTCCCGTTGCATGCGTTGCTGAAGCTCCATAAAATTGGCGGACTGTCTGTTGAATCCCATCATACCCATTCCAAACTCCATCAAACCCATATCCAACCCTGTAAGATCCCCTACGTTTCTTAAACCGAAAGGATTAGCACCAGCATCGGCTGAAAACCCAGAACGAGAAATTAAAGCTGATCTTTGAGAACGAAAGCAGCATCGCCTTACGCTCTCACGCTCACCTGCAGGCCTCTGAGAGGGCGTCGTATCCTGACTTTGTCCGGTAGCAGCACGGGGTGCCTTAATAACTAGATGCACCGTCAAGCCATCTTTAATATTATGTGTTCCTAGGGTCTCGTGGTCCTTCATGATCTTACCAGCGAAAATCAAACACAATTGGTCCGGCTGTGCATTAAATTTCTTCGAAACCGCATCCTTGAACTATAGATTAACGTAACAATAACTTCCAACACAAGTTGACTACTCTTCGAAACCACTACGCATCACCCACCGAGCTGGTGCTGTCACAAAACCTCCAGGAAATGAATCAGGAAAACCCTCCGCGACCTCATGAATATTAATTCGGAAACAAAGGTCGATCGAACTCGAGCAGGAAAACCACGAATGAAGGAAAAATCGAAACAAAATCCATAGCTTAATTTGACGCCAGCCCAAGAACATTTTCCAGGGCCTTTCGGCGAGAGATCTAACCAGACTTTTCGTCGCAATTATCAACAATTATTCCATTGGCTCCTGTCCTGCTCGTCCACGGGTTTTCGTGCGTCATCTCCGAGGATCCCCTCTAGGGGGCAGCACCCGAGATTTCGGCAAGCCGTCGCACTTACGTCCTTAATCGTCGCGTCGGGCTCGATTTCCACGGCTTTCTGTTCCTTCGGCGTCTTGACGGTAATCGTAATCATCTTCTTCTGGCTGTCCTGACCTTCTGCCATCTTGGATTCGTAGATGACTCGTTACTTTGGACGCGCTCCCTCCGGGGGTTCAGCCGTCGGGACTCGGCGCTGGGGCGCGACTGCCGCGACTCGCAGCTCTCCCAGGGTTCGACCCTCGGCGACCCGTCCTGACCCGCACGGCCGACTCCGTCTCGCGTGGAACTGGAAAAGCGCGCACGAAGAGACGTGCCAACGCCGGGCAGCTAGCTTCGCATACTGTCGAAAATAGCTGAGACTTCGTGGCCCCTCGCGACGACCTGCCTGATTAACGCTGGCGTGCACCTTACCCGAGCCGGCGAGACTCGACGTTTGTTATTAACGATCCAGCACTCCGAGGAACACCTTTGAGCGAGGCTTATAGGTTATGCGCGGCGCTGCCAACGTGACGCCTCGGCAACCGCAATTTCGACGGCCGAGCGTTTTTCGACGATATTCCGACTACGGGTCCGACGCTGCTATGTACCGATCCGATTGGTCGCGACAGGGGAAAGCTGGACTGGGTACAGCGGAAAGGACCAATCAGGAGGGAGTTGGGTCTGGGTGGGTTCGTGTCAATTGCTGAGCCGTGGAAGGGATACACGACCTTCTAAATTCTCTGTGATTGGTTTCTGTGGTTGGGCGCGGCCGGGCCCAATCCCGGAGCCGGGTTCGGCCAACGGTCATGGTTCAGGACGACGGACTGGCAGTTGCCCCTGCATTTAATTTTGTTAAATTTAACCGACGATGGCAATCGATGAAGGATTTGAATGCGAGAACTAAACTCGGGGGTCGGAGGCATCCCTGGATGCGCTCCCTAGGATTAGGCTCTTTGCCCTTGTGCGGTAGTCGTCCTCATCCTCCACCTGGGGGCAGCATAGGACGCTATCGCCTAACCCTGCCCGTGAGCAATCTCCTAACTCATCTCTGAGTTTCGCGGTAAATGAAATTCTACGAGATAGTAGAGTTATTTAGTATTGTTTAGTATGTACTCCGAATAACAAGAGAGCGCTAGAGACTGTATGGTATCCGATGAGGAACACGCTTTGTTGCTCGGTTTTTATTAGTTTGAAATTATTTTGATCTCGTTGAAAAGATATGGACGAGGATCCCTTGGGATTTACAAAACAAACGGCATTACTGTTGAAAGGATTGGGATGTACAGATTTGATTCCCCAATTTAAAAAGAGGAATATATCAACCACTGAGCTTAGTGAATTAGACGAAGAGGATTTTATTACGCTTGGTACGGTAACTTCTTAACGTGATTTAATATTGAACATTTTTATATTTACGAAAGATCAGTTTAGAGTGTAGAAATTTAAAACGTTAATGATATCATTGTAGGTGCAGACAGAGAACTTGCAGAAAAGTTAGTGACACAGTTTAATATAAAGTATAAACGTGGAGAATCTTCTGAGTTAATCGCTCAGCACAGGTACGGAACTACTTAGTATTTAAATTGACATAACGTAGAAGCCCTAACTATAAATTCCATAACTTCTTGCAGATTAAAAGAATTAATAGAGATATTACGGAATGGGAAACAGGAACTCTCTCTTCTTCAAGCATTAATCACATTTGCTCGCTTAAAGCTTCTTAAAGAACAGACTGATTTTTTCATCGATTATGATGAACCTTTACGTGCGAGTCAGGCACTTAGTATGGCAGCTTCTGCTACGTTACTTGAAATTAAGGATGCTGAACATAAGTTATGTGAGCTGGCTGGTTATTTAGATATGGTAGGAAAACTCGAAGTTTTTTCAAAATTTAAATCTGCATGTAGATTATAGTATCAATTTTTTCTTTATAGAACAATGAATCAAAGCGACGATATATCTACCTCAGTGCTTTAATCAGTGGAATAGGTGTTACAGTGTACATAGTGATGCGTGTATGCAACAATTGATCAGTACTTATTAAGTAACTTTGTCTACATAAATATGTTTATAAAAAACAATTTTCTCAAGTAATAATTAATTTTAATATTCCTTGAGTTTTACTGCAATATAAGTCGCTCTGCTCCTTGACCTCGAACTACAATTCCATCTCTGCGCTTGTTTTCTTCAGCACATTGCAATTTGCATTCAAAAATTCTATAATGAATATTTTACAGAATTTGTACCATGAATATCTATTAAAATTGTTATCAAGGTAACTTACGAAATAAGATTGCTCCACTGTTGCGTTTGGTTCTCATATTGAGTAGCATGTTCTTTTACGTGTTGTTCTTCTTCCTTTAAAACCTTCAATTTCTTCTCTTCTTTTTGTATTGATTCTTGCAATTCATCTCTTAAAGTTGATCCTCCTCCAGGGCTTGCATAAGTCTGCAAAAAATATATTAAATTTAGTAACGCCTTCTCATACGGTCATGCAACATGATGGAAGCAATGAGATTCAGACATTATAAAATATTAATCTCACTCGTATCTCCTGCTGAATTCTATCTTCTGCTAATTTCAGCTTGGCTACCTCTTCACTCAATCGTTCAGCCTGAGTAGTACTCTGTATGAATAAAAAGTAAGTTTCTTCCTTTCGACTACTAATTTCCATACTACAAAACATTAAGCATACCTCATTTATATTTCTTCGAAGCCCTTCAACTTCAGAACACAAATTATTCATTGTAGTTTCCATATTTGCATCAACCGAGCTATGACTTCTATGTGCTCTTTCATATCTTTCATCCAGTTCTTCAGACTTTTGTCGTAATGGTCGCAATTCTGTTAAAGAGTAATGGCAAATCTTAATTGTTACAATTATCATGAATTAAGATAGCATCAAAATGATTCTAACAATTTCTACCATTTAATAATGGAGCTAATTGAGCTCTGAATGTAGAGATATTTCGAGATAGCTGTGTATTGATCAATGATGCACTTTCTACGGTGCAATCATCGGGCAGAACAGATACGGATCGCACTGAAGGAGACTCGTTACTGGGTTTTATCTGGGACATCTGAAATAGTATCATTCCATTGGCATCAAAACCAATTCAAACTATCCTGTGTAATTAATTACCATTTTTTATCAATCTCTCACCTGATTTTCAAGGATAGCCAAGGTGCGATGTAGAACACCACTCTCCGCTTTGAGGCCAGCAAGTTCACTGCGACACCTTTTGTAAAGAGCACTTCTTGCTTTGAGTCTTGCCACGTATCGTTTTAATTCATCACCTTTTGGTGCTGGCTCTTCTGCCAAACGTCTAGCCTCGTCTCGTTTATGTTCTAATCTTATTGACAGCTCTTCCAAAGTTGCTTCGGTCTTTTCTAGTCTGTCTAATGTGTTACGTTTCATACTGGCTACAGCAGCGGCTTGTTGTCTAAATGGTACCATCTTATCTGCTCCACTTCCTGCAGCCTGCAATTTCATTTTTAATTATATAATTCTTGAAAATGCACCGACAAAATTTCTAGGAGTGAATTAAATGGTACCTTGTTTTCTACCAAAGCTTGAAGTTCTCTTGCCGCAAGATCTAATCTATTTCTCAAGGCTCCGATATCATCAGGCCCTACGTGAGGAGATCCTACGACTTTCCTTAAAGCATTAACTTGGGCCTTCTTCGCTGTCAGTTCAGAAGGCAGTCGTTCATTTGCAACAACACCGAGCACTGTTATTTCTTCTGACAGTCGTTGAATCAAACCCTGAGGTGTCAGACCCGCACTGGCTTGTTTCAGATTTTGTAACTCCCGTTCTGCTCTGTGAAGAGAAACCTAACAGACTTCTGTTAGTACTGTGTTCTAGTATTTTGATACTATTGAGTAAGTAAAAATCTTATATTCATGGATACTTCTATTTTTAAGTTTTTAAAAATATGAATATACAATACTTGAAGTGCCGACATGGCTCCTTTTTCTTGTTCCTTTTGCATGGCAATTTCTCGTTCCTTGTCTCTTTCGAGTCTTAGTGCTTGCGCAGCTGACAACAGGTGAAGACCTGGTTCGGCTCTCATTTTCATTTTCTCCACCCGTCCCATTATTATCTAAAATATTTCACGAGTTAACAAATTAATAAATACAATAACCCAAACATGTAATGACAGAATTGAAGATTTACTTCTCGCTCCTTTTCCATGGCTTTTAAATCTGCTTTCACTTCTGCCGCAGCCTCTCCTGCCTGAATGAGAAGAAATCAATTAGAATTCCTTTTCCAAATAAAACTTGGTGTTTCCAATTACCTTTTTTCCAGCCTCTCGTTCTTTATGAACCATTTTAAATTCTTCAACCAATTTTGAGTACTGATCGTACAATAAAGATATATCTGGATCTTCAAGATATTCAAATGGTACATCGATCTACAAGAAAATGAACAGTACTTTAATTGTAAACCGGTATTTTTAATAAAAATTTCAACTTGCCTTTACTAAAAATCGAGATAAATATGTCCTCTTCCGAACAAGTTCCATGTTTGATAGGAGCCATTTCAAAATGTCATGGATTATTTCTGTATCTCCCTTTATCAATCCTTGTCTGGAATTTTTTAAAAATATTAAATTGTTGTATTTAACTGCCAGGAGTATAGAAAGTACCTAAACGACATCGGATCTTTATTTGGTTGGTAGTTTAGGATTCGTAATGCTGAAAGCAGGCGAATGGAACTTTGTTCAGGATTTTCGGTTCTCATGTCGATTTTTGGCCCTCCTTGCTGTTGTACTTCTGATATTACATCACTCAATACCTACCATAAAATTGCTTATTAAATTGTATCATGACGTTTATAACGCAACCTCTTTTACCTGCAGCAGATCTTCAGGGCTCAAGGAATTAAAGGAAATTAAGTTGTAATTTTTTCCCAAAACCTTGTTCAACTCTGATACGATAAACTTTGTATCTTCACTCATGGTTACGAGAAACCTTTCTTCTTAGAAAAAGATTCAGAAAGGCCGAAGTAATCTAGGTAACCTGACTAACGTTTCAGAATGTCTGAATGTTTTATGATGCACTTTGTTACCATGGAAATAGAAACCAGGTGTAACACAAGCCGTTACTAAGCCTACAGGTTTATTGATTTTCTGCTAAACTGTAATTTTTAGTAATCAAAGTTTATTATTTTTATTATACATTCGATCATATCAATGGTATAAAAGCAAACACTGTACAATAAAAATAAAAGATGTTCAGGAATCTTATCTGGCTTGTTTGACGGGTGGTTCACCTGCTTCGACCCCCTCCGACATCCTGCCTTTGTCATCAGTTTCCACTTCTGCGGACTTGTCAAGGCTTTGTTTCTTCTGCTTTTTATTTTGATTTTTCCTCTTTTTTGAGAGTACTTCACCCGAATCGATCCTGTAGAACAATTGGATGTGAAAAAATTACATTACCGTAATAATGAGTAATCGTCACATACATTGTAGTAGATCTAGTGCCAGGACCCCAATTGGGAGTTGGGTTCTCCTGAAACCGAGAGAGATGTTTCTGTCGGGATAATGGATTAGCCAGTGGATGTATATCAAAGAAAACTGTCGTAGTTGACGGTGAAGTTAAAATAGCCAATCCGGGGCTGTTTGCTTCAAACTTGTCTCGTTTTGCAGGATTTTCCTTTTCCCACGCTCTGACTATATCCCAGATAACTTGGCTCGGAGCGTCTGTCTTTAGCGAATTTCTATTCGCATGAGAGTAAGACACAGAGAAACCTGCATTTAGTATCGCTGATCTGAAGACCATCATGGAGGGTACGTGACATCTCACTATAGACATCTGCATAGAAGTTATTAGAATGTGAACTTTTAAACTATATACACTCGTTTCCCCAGTATTATATAAATAGCTGAAAGTACCAAACGATCAGTTGTGTAATACAGTGGAACATCTAATTCTTCGTGTATTACATTCAGCACTCCTTCTATTCTCTTTGAAGTATTCAAATCCAGTTCGTTTAAGCTGCACAGCAGTTGTGAAATGAAAGCTTGATCGTGCAAAGGACCCAACCATATTGGGCCACCGATCTGTGAAGAATCATCTGTATAAAAATAGGGAAGTAAAATCAATTGAATTACATCCAAGTATTTTATCAACGCACGTGGTGTTTATGGTGACAGTGGGGACACAACCGATCAACTGATGGTGCGGCAGGAAGTTTAAATCCACCATTAGATTTTTGCTGGCCTAGTGGTTGAGTCGTCATGGTTTCACAACCGACACACTGATACAACATTCCTAATTTACTGGTGTTTTCCTTGCATTTACTTTGACTGGAGTAAACCTTGACAAAAACGCGTATGTAAAAGTCAGCACTTATTGAGAGTAATGGATGTACATAGCGACCATAGCGTCCTGCATGGGATACTATATGTTGTAAAAGTATCCGAAGTGCCTAGAACATCAATGATTAATCTTTAAAAATCACCTCACTTTTGATTAAATATTGTATTTTTAAAATCATATGTAAGTGATAATTACTATTTCATGGCAAGCTTTTGATTTCAATGAAACAGCGCCGTATTTGACATAACACGTTTCTGGTGAATTTCCAGCAAGAACAGCCATATCGGTGGCTGTAATTAAAAGTAAACCACCATCGGAAACTGATTGAACAGCTGCATCTAAAAAAATTGATGGACATCCATACGGATCAATGTCAACAGCATTGAACCGTTTGTTCCTATGTCTGTACATGAGCATCCTGAAATAATATCAATGTTGTACAATGTGAACTTATTTCTTTTAATGTTTGATTTGGTAACACATACGTAGCATCTTCATGATTTGCAGTCACGATATCTTGGACACCATTATGATGGATGTTTCTTTTAATGCTTTCTACAGCTTTCATTGAGATATCGTTGGCAATAATCTGTTTGATGCCAGGTACTTCTTTAGCGTACCTGATGCTCCGTAACCCTGTCGCTGATAAGGCTTCCAATACAGTGATTCCATTCTATGATAAGTGTAATAAATCATGGAGTTGCATAGAAAAAAAAATTTTAATAACAAATCGTATTTAAATGGTCAGTTACTCCATAAAGTACCTCATTCGCTGGACTCGTTTCTTCAATCGTATCATCGAGTGTAATTTCGGTTTCCTTAGGTTTCAAAGTTTTCTTCTTTGTATGGGGCTTTTGTTTTGCAAAAACAGACAACACCGCTATGCTAATACAGCAATAGTAGCGAGTTAAAGACACGTACTGTCAATTGAAAATTAATATGAGTTAAAATAAAGAATACCTAAGATCCCTGTTGAATTCCTGAACGGGGTTATAAAATACGTTCTTTTCGTGCACAAGAATTTCCGCTCTACCCTCCTTGATTATTTCTGGTTTCCGTGACTCTTCTATTACCGGACAATCCGCATTTTCGTCGGTACCCATGGAGAGTTTGAGAATTCGAAATTTCAAAACTTCGCGGAACAGAGGATGTTCCCGAAGCACTTTATAGGTTATCGCATAGACGAACAGAATATGAGAGTGACCTCTATATAGTATTTCAGTGCTCCCAACTCATCTCTGTTCTAAAATGTGCGAGCGTTCCACTTTGCTATATATTTCAGTGATGGTAAAGTTTCGATGCTGGCAGTCTACGTTCATTTAATCACAGGTCAAAGCTTTCGATGTTCTAGGCGACGGGCGAAGGTTCAGAAATTTGTTGATTTTTTCCAAGATCGAAAATGGCCGGAAAAGTAGCAGACTTAGTGAAAAGTAAGTCGAAAAGGGAACATTTTGACATTTACTTTAGAAATGATTTTCTTCCTGATGTATATTCATCGTTTTGTAGATTTTTGCACATGATCTGAAATTTATCTTATATAACACTGGCTCTTGGATGTGGAAAAATCAATTACTGTATTTGTATTTTAATTTTGTATTATATCTTTATCAGGTAGCGGTCTTCCACTTTTTTTTCTTAATTATGAAATGTGTACACATGTAGTCATTGCTGTCATGACCGAAGTATAATCCTTATTATATCTTAGAAGTTAAAAATTACGCCATATTCTTTTGAATTGACTGTAGTTAATTAAGATGTGATTTCTGTTGCCAGCATTAATTACGAGCTCAAAGCCCACAATTAAGGTGATTCGGCAGTATGCAGCGGTTGAATTGATCCCACCATCTCCTAAGGATATTCCTGCAATTCGAGCAGGCATTAATAAGTTAATCCATTCGGCCAAGACTGGCGCATACCGTAATCTAACGGTACGTGAAGCTTTACTAAATTCCCTAGTCGCTATTGAAGTTTATTGCTGGTTCTTCATTGGAGAGTGTATTGGGAAGCGACATCTCATCGGTTACAAAGTTTAAAGACTTTTGGCTCATCGTTCTGGTCTTTAGGAAAGTGTATTTGTAGGTGTCCATGAAACCTCACATAAAATACAAATAAAAATGTACTAGGTATCAGCGATGTTCTGTAATTTCTATGTTGCTATGTAACTGTAAATTACAAATTTTATTATGTGAATATTTGGCTTTAGCAATAAAAGGCCATTAAACACTAATAATGTTGATATCTACATCATTACCATTGGATTCAACTCATTTAATTACACATGTACATACAATTTTTTATTCCGGGAGCATTACAACTGACATGCTTAAGATGTTGACAGGCAATGTTTTAAATTTGTACATCATATGAGTGTTAAATTAATTAAAACCATGCTGCTTGAAGTATTCCCATATGCAGATGGCACCTGTTACGTGAACATTTAATGATCTAGTAATGCCTACTTGAGGTATTTCAATGCAAACATCTAGCATCGGAATCAGGTTAGCGGGAATGCCATCTTTTTCGTTCCTGTAACCATAATTATATGTGATTTCATAAGTTACATAAAGAAAGAAGTATCATACACATGGATATCTCCCCTTATTTATGTACATAATGTAGAACTCACCCTAACAAAAGAACAGTCTTTTTGTTAAACCTCATGCTCGAAAGTCCCACACTATTAACAGTTTGTTCCGCTCCAACTACTGCATAGCCTGTATCTTTTTTTCCTATCAAATACTCCTGCAATTGGTATTCTTTGACCTAAACATTAACAGTATCGTAAACGTTGTGAAACAGTAAAATGGATATGGTAAAACAACTTATTTATAAAACTTGTCATTTTTATGAAGGGAATTTTTTATTATCTATATACCTCACTAGTAATTAACCATTTTTCAGCCGACACGCTGAGGCTTTGAAATTGCTGGTCCTTCATATATTCGAGGCTCTCTATAACTAATTGTTTCGCACCGAATATCTCACAAGTTCTGGCAAGTCCACCCAAATTTTGTGGCCGGTCAATTAGTGAGGCTACAACTATGATTCCATCTTCATTCTGTTGACACAGCATAGATGTATTACATATATCCGATAAGTCATCTTTTACTGGTATTATAGACTTCCATGGAATGATTTTTTTCTGTATATCGTTCAAATATTCACTGCATTCCTCTACGTCATCCCCCGATGCATTTACATCGTTTAGCCTCTGTTTATCTTCATATGCAGAAACTGTGGTCCTGCTCAAAGACTCGTTTGAATTATTAAGCGTAACAGGATGTCTTGTTAGAAATTCTTTGAAAGACAATGCCTCGAACTCATTCACTGTGATACACTCATCTGCACAAACGTTTGAGAGCCTTGGTAGGTCATAATAAATCGTCTAAGAATATCGTAAAATTGTTTAAATAAATCGTTACGAAGATATTTCTCTTCATAAGTAAGTAAAACTACGTACCTGTATACTGTAGTGCTCTGAAGGGTGAAAAATGGTCAGAAAGAAGTCTTCTTGAATTCCAAGTAAAGCCTTTGTTGAATTTGCTCGATGCAGACTTTTTGAAACGACTGAATGCAAACCTTTATATTCCAATGCAAAGTCTGCGCCTTGCAGACCAATCAACAATTCATACAGTCTCACGAATATTACCTACAAATTTCAGTTTAAAAATATTTCTGATAGATATTTGGTTACTTTACAATTGTATATCATTAGTGTTTTGTAAATGAGGGATGCAAATAGTGCAGTCAACTTACTTGACTGTAGAGTCGCGTGTTAAAATGCTGGCCCATACAATACTGTCCGACGTAAGAAAGCGCTGAAAGAATATATTCCTCCTGTTTGCTGTTAAGTAATCGACTGACATGATAGGCTATTCTGAATATAGAACTGACACTTCCTGGCCGTATCGTGATATTCTGAAAATATAGTCACAGATTTTGAAAGAAAAGTGATTGAAAGTCATTGCCGCAGGTGGATCATTATTTACCTCGCTAAAGGGTACCCAGATTTTGTTGCGAAGATGTTCGTGCTGTACATACATTCGAATAAGCAACCATTCTTGCATTATACGAACACTGGTCTGGTTGGTTTCTAATCTTAACTTATCGTAGATGTAGTCATGCAGAAAAGTTGTATCCTCTGCCTGTTATATGAGAAACTCACATTTAGATGTAATTTATACTCCTGACTTTGTGTTGTAAATCAGTATACCTTATGTATCATTGGTTCAATCAACAGTAAAACTTGCAATAGTCGATGTTTTATTCGGTGTAAGTAAGAGTCGCCGTAGTACCTCTTTCCAGTGCTTTCTTCCAGTTTCTCGATGACTAAAGGTAAGATTTTTAAACCGCAGTCACTATTTTGGCATAATATGTTATGCAATAATATCACAGCTCTTGCTCGTACAGTGGTGTTCAGAACAGGTTTTCTGTCAAATAAAACAATAAGTTATACATGAAAAATATTACAATTTTTATAGTAGTGAAAAGATGTGCTTCATTACATCGCTGTAATTTTGCAGGCTTGGGTACAAGCTTGCAACTCGATCCTCTGATCTCGGCGTGGCACGAGTCCATGCAAAAGGCAAGCCAAAAGTGCTTTTGAGAGCGAATCCACATAGTTTGGGAATTGCTTGTCCAATGTTTCCATTTTTTCCAATAATAATAACTTTAATATTGGTATGGCATCGCCTTCTTGCACAGTCTGGTTTACACACTTAAAATATAATCACGTACTTATATTGGCACATTATTTTAAATTGGAAACATATCGTTTTAAAATCAAGATACCTTTAGACTTTATACATATTTCCAACTTACATCCACAATGAGTTGTCTAGTATCCTTTAAGTTCAAAAAATTCTCATGGAGTATTGAACCAATGAGTTCTCCAATAGCTAATCGGAACTGCTTTGACTTTTTTAAAGTGAATGCAAATTTCCAGCATTTTGTAATCACTGTCACTAATTCTGATGGATCATTAGGCATGTTTTTCAAAATTATCTGCTTCAGGATCGCAGCCACTATTTCAATAATAGAATTTCCACCAATGTCAAGAAGATTCAATGCACATTGTAACCAAGAAACATGAGGTAGCCATTCTGTTGGAGGTAGTTTCTCCAGATGCAAATGTATGTGCTTCGCAATAAAATTATAATACTCCGATGCAATCTTCCCTTGCAGACCTATTTCACTGTATTCGCCTTCAAAACGCAATTCATTCTTGTGTAAATCAAGCAAATTATTCAGGTATTTGAATTTCTCAGATTTAGTGGAGCCACTTCTTCGACATTCGTACAATACTTTTAAGGCAAACAATCTCTGGATTACGGTACTATTGTTTGCGTTTTCCAAAACATATATCGACTCCTCTGCTAACGTTTCCATGTAGTTTCTGAAATATTCTGCCGTTAAACCGGTGCATCTTTCGTCGAAAAACGTACTGACTGCCGATGCACATATATTCATCTGTTCATAAGATACAGAATTTGTAGACTTTCGGATACTGTAGCCAATAAATTTTAAAGCCACGACAAGGTACTCTTCCAAACGAGAGAATTTATGCCAATAATCTTTCAATCTTAACAATGATTGCAAAAATTCTATGACATTTACATTTGTATCGATGCTGGCATAAGGTCTACTGTCGGCACGATCAAGAGAGTTGAATAAATTTCTATACAGCTCTGTAGTGAGAGATACTTTGGAGTGCTGCAAATCAGTTACATCTTCAATAAATGCTATCATGAGAGCGATCGATGACACACTTGTTTCTCGCACTGATATCCTGCCAAGTATTTGTTCACAAGATTCCTTAACAAAATCCATGGCACAGGACTTCGATATTATTTCTGCTAGCCAGGTTGTAATTAGTCTCCAGACTTCCGAGTTTCGTTGTAGAGCTTCGTTAACTGGAAATGCACTCAAAGTACTCGTTAACTGCCACAGATCCATAGGTGGTTTCACAAATTTTGTCAGTGTTGAAAGGAACTTAATCTGCGATGCTTGTCTCAGTGGTCGATTATGGATGTTAAGGTTAATTTCTGCCAGAGTTTTAACCGCTTGTAATTGTTCTTGCTGCCAATTGCCGGTGACAGTATTTACAGAAGCAGCTTCTAATGCTTCAGACACATAGAACAGCGCTATGGGTCCCCATAACACTTGTGAAATAATTATGATGACTTTGTCTGCCACAGCTGCATGATTGCACTCTATTCTTGTTAGCAAGTCGACGAAGCAAGTTACAACTTCTGGTGACTCTTCATCGTTTTGACATTCATAGAGAAAAGTGTTATTCATACTTCTAATAAGCAGTTCTAGAAATTTTTCATCATAAACTGATACAGGTAGTTTAAGTGCCTGGATTATACCTTTCTTCACGATGGCATTATTTTTGTGGAAAATCATTCTCTCGAACACGCACTGTAGCCACTGGGCACTGAAACAGTTTCCGCAGTCTCTGTGTGTTAAGTGTCCTTTAATTAAAACTGGTAATACCGATAAAGAGGGATTCACTAGATGTACCTGGGTTTCTTCTAATGCCTCGAGAATAAGAAAAAAACACTTCTTAATGTTCTCTGAAGATACTTCAGGTTCCTTTGACCGAGTGCACAGAAACGGAATAATGGTATTCTCTTTTGGATGTTTCATATCCATCTCGGTGTGTAGACTCATAAAATCACTGGTCTTTTTAATAAGATATAAAGCTTGCTTGCGATATTGTTGTACCGATGCTTTCAAGCTTTGCAGCAGCAATAGCCAGAATCTTTCATCTATGTACAAGTTATATTGCTCGTTGCTTACATGTTCGAACTTCTCAGGGAAATATAAATCAGTCGTCACACACAAAGCTGGGAGAGAGTTCTCCAAGGCGGTAGATTCCATTAACAAGAGATTAAATAAAGGAGTTAAGACATTATTAGCACCAAATACTTCAACCATTGTTGTTAACAATGGAATCAGTGAACTCCATTCGACAATGCCCTTAAGAGTAAGCCATTGATTTAATATATTGAAAGAAAGAGCACACAACAGATCTTTAATCTTTTGCTCAGTAGTAGGTTCTGTTTTTCCTTTTAATTGACATTTTAAATGAAAAGATTGTAACAAACGGGTTATTACTTTGAGGTACAGATTCCTCGATTCAATACTTTCTGATAGATAATTCTGGGAAGATCGGTGGAAAACTTGAAAGTGCTCCGAGAAACCCTTTAAGTCAGCATATAATATTATTTGAAGAGATAATATATCTAGAAGTACTATGAGTTCACGTTCAGTTAATGATCTATTTTTTGGAAATAAAGTATGCTGCATATCAAAGTATTGTGTATTTTCCAAGTGTGCCGCATTATGTACCTGATTTAATGAAATTCTCCTTTGGTATTCATAACTCAGAAGTAATTGTAAAGTCTCCAAGTTTTTTAGACTCAGATTCCCCTCTTTTATTTTTGTAAAATATAGCGTCACCAAGCAATTAACAAACTCGTCAGGACTCTGTCTTAATCCAATTTCTTCACTGGTGAATAACGAAAAGTCTATCACTGAGAGGTTCATAAATCGATCGTGTAAAGTCATTCTTTCCCACTTTGCTTCCTAAAAGAAAGGGTATATATGCAATGTGTGTAAGCGATACGACAAAGAATATAATTTAAAGATAATTTTCAAAATATTAACTAATACAACATTTCTTACAGGTTTACCTTAAACATTTTGTCGTTTTAATAAGCATTCGACCTAACCGAATTTAATGAATTTAAAAATTCCGCCCTGTACTTTGAAAAGTAAGTATTGGAATTCTTTAACTATTAATTTTCAATCTGTATGATTAATTCTCTTTTCAACTGAAAACGTTCACTTCATTTCGGGTCCTATCTAGTCCACGTGAACTCTTGTCAAGGTTGGTAAATAAAATGCCCTAGGTAATTTACTGTTTACGTTGTTTTTTTTTACAGTAAATTACTAGATATTTTACTTATCAAGTTTCATACGTATGTAAATTACATGAATATGGGACTTTACGTTTCTGCACCTGTTCTGCCAGATGCATGTGTGTGTATGTATATACATACATTCTACGGAAAATTCCTTAATTGACCTGATATATGTACATTGAAAATCTCGAGTAACATCATTACACGTCTTGTTTTTTATATACGCCGATACGTGCAATGATTTACTATTAAATAGTGTTGTCAGTTATGAAGCGACTCGTGATTAAAAGCGACAATGCGCAGAAAATCATGTAATTAACGGTTCTCTGAGAGAATCGGCAGGAATGATGAATCGCGAATATCTACGCGGGACGGTGCAGGCACTGCCAGATTTTTCACTGACTTTTCGAATTAACGTCGTCTGAATTTTTACGAAAGTATGTTTTCCTCATTATCAAACGTTTGGGGCATGATAGGCGATCTAGCAGGTAAACACGTGGGCTCAGGTTGCCAGATATTCGCGTCGAACGAAGCCTAACCTCACTTTGCAGCTGTCAGAATTTATCCGATGCTCTGTAACCTGTTATTATTTTTTTTTTTAACGTTTCTGTTAGACGACTAAGTATTGTATCGGTTATATATTTTTCTGGGTAGAGAGGAAATCGTTTCCCTAGTTAAAGGTGATTTTCAGAAAACTTTTAACCATTTTGGTTTGACATTATTTCGACGCTGCTGTAACTTGACTCTCTAATTCTCATACCGTTTCGTCGTTAGTGAGTTTTGGGAAAAGATCGCAAAATTTGAAGCACTGATTTATTTTCAGTTGATTATATCGACGTGGATTTTACTCTGTGGTTAACATGGCTTCTGACTCCTCTGCTAATTGCATTCCTGCTTCCGATGGTTATCGGTGTCCTCCTTTATGCCACTGCCACGATATTGTACGTCTACAAGTTGCACTGGTTAGCGTCTTCATTTGTTTTGTTTATACTATAGTGTACTATTATTGACTGTCAATTAACGATGTTTTTAACTGGTATGGAAATAGGACAAGACTCAGACATGCATATGATGGCGATTGGAAAAGTGCCTCACGCAGTATGGTTGCTGCTGTTTGGGATGCTCAAGGATGGATATGGCATGGTACATAATTTAAGAGTAGCTGACATCGACAGCTCCTTATGTTTCGAATATAGTTCTCCTAAATTCTTCATTCTTCTGTTGCCAACAGGATATGAGATTGTCGGTCTAGAAAAGATTCCAAAGGATGAGGCGGTTTTGTTTGTCTATTATCATGGAGCCATTCCGATAGATCTCTACTACTTTATCTCCAAAGTGTTTCTTTTTAATTCGAAGCTCATCCACTCAGTCGCAGATAGATTTCTCTTCAAGTTTCCTGGCTGGTCGATTATCTCCGATGTATTGAAAGTGATTCCTGGTACTATCCAGACATGTTCTTCAATCTTGAAGGAAGGGAACATGTTGGCGATATCACCGGGAGGTGTTTACGAAGCACAGTTTGGAGATTGCTATTATCGACTTATGTGGAAAAAGAGAGTGGGATTTGCAAAGGTCGCGCTAGATGCCAAAGTGGTACATAATTTATTTTATTCTACCCTGAATTGTATTCAATCTGGTGCCTTCCTTTATAGTGATATTATTTGTTTTAGAGTATAATTCCTATTTTTACGAAGAATCTTAGGGAGGCATTTAGAACAGTAAGCTGGGGCAGGAGGATATGGTTAAGAATATATGCTGCAACAAGGTTTCCTCTTATGCCAGTTTATGGTGGCTTCCCAGTGAAGCTCACAACTTACGTAGGTGATCCGATTCCGTACGATGGCAGTTTGACACCCGAAGAGCTTCAGTCAAAAGTATGGTGATTCTCAAATGTTACGAGCTATCTGTAAAATCTCATTAATTTTGGTAAGATATGACAGATTATGATCTGCTTAAAGGTGGCAGCTGCTCTAGAAGATTTAATAAGGCAGCACCAAAAGGTGCCTGGAAGTATTACACGAGCTTTAATGGAGAGGTTGCCTTTCTTCAGAAAATGGATCAAAGGCAATGAATTAAATGGCAAGAACCGATAGTTTTTCGTTTCCTATTTTTCGTTTCATAACCTCTGGTTCTCTATCGGAATTTCTACACAGGGTTCGCAATTCAGAAAGTAAACGGTGATACAATCATGCATAATTGATTTAACGTACTTAAAGTTACATTTGACTTTTCTGTGGAAAGTCAGTGACGATCTAGCCAGGAAGACGAGGAGTGACATTATTGCAGTGATTTAAAGAACTCACTTTAAGGTTAAAGTATTTAACGGTGCTTGCAGTAATTACAAGCAGTAGCGTCTTAAGAACAAGTATTCTACACTTTTATAGTTCTTTAGAATTTCTTGGGATAAATGAATATAATGTAATGTTTAACTGAAGATCATGACATATTTGTGCGTATATAGTGTGCAGTTTTGCATTACGTTGATCATTTGTAGGATCAATCTGCATGCGACATTCCAGTCCATTATGAATTTTCTATATGTACTTGTATAGATGAGGTTTACAGATCTTTTTCTTCGGTAAATTAAGTAGAAGAGCCAAGAACTATCCAATTTGTTAGAACATCTATAGCGTTGAATGCTAAATGTGATTCATCACAGATGTACTTGAATCATTAAAATGTTGGATTATTTTATTTATTGCTTTTGTATATATTATGTTAAACATAATAAAGCACATAAGCAAAGTCTGTCTTTTTTACTTTTATTTCAGAAGCTGACTAAATTAGATTTAAAACATTCTTCGTAGTTAATATTGCCTAATGATCATTAGTCGAACATTGAATGTTACAACTACATTAAACTGAACATAACATCGTTCATGATTGTTAATAGTACATAACCGTACATATAATAGTACATTTTCGAAAAATTATTGCTTATTTGGGTTTTGAAATGACCGCCATTTAATTTAGTATTTCCGCCACGGGAGGAAAAAGGGTGACCTCTCTGTGATATTATGCACTCTGTGACTCAGTTCGAGTAACACGGCGGAAAATGAGCCGACATTCAAATTACTTTGATAGATTTTAGTAGAAGTGTTTTCTCATGTGATTTATGTTATCACTCTTGTGATTACCAACTATTATCAACATAAAACTGTTATTACGCCCATATTAAACAACAATGACGGTTTCACTAGGTTAGTATTTCGTTGGCAGTAGTTATTTGTCAAGATTGGTAGAAACTTTTAGGTTAGAAGTCAGTTTTTAAGTAAAAGAAAATATAAACGGATATAAATTGAACACAGTTACAACTTAGTGTGCGAGTTTACTGTTCTCTATATATATTTTCTTCAGATACGGTGATATATCTCGTGTTTGTTGCCATATTATGGGGTGCGACAAATCCCCTGATCAAGAAGGGTTCTCAAGGAATAGAAAGTGTTAAGGATCCCTCACCATGGAGACAGACATCCAAAGAAATAGTTTATTTGTTTACAAATCTGAGGGTTAGTAGTAGCTGAACTATTTAATTCTGTCGATGCTTATTATATTTTCTTTCAGTACGTGATACCGTTTATCCTTAATCAATGTGGGTCTTTGCTGTATTTTTTTGCTCTGCAAAATGCAGATCTGTCTTTGGCAGTTCCAGTAACTAATTCCCTTACATTTGTATTCACTGGAATTACAGGGTGGATCTTGGGAGAAGAAAGAGTTCATAAAAGTAAGATTTCTTCGTTACGTGGTTCAGATGATCTTAATTATTGTTGTTTAACACCTGATATTTACAGACACATATTTTGGTATGATAATGATTCTTTGTGGATCAACTTTATGTTGCCTCGACAAAGTAGGCATGACCAACGATCGCGATTTATAGTGATAATCCTGGACGAGGGTGATTTTCGTTTTTCTACACAGCCTAGTAATTAATTTTTCTTAGTTGCTAAATAAAACATAGCGATACTCTGGTCACTTGGTATTACGTTTATTTATTTCAAATTATTCAATAGTGTTACAAAATATAATTTGTTTCAAAGATTGCACTTGTGTGCACGTAACATTGGCTTATATTTAGCAGCGTTAAGAGCTAGGTTAATTAACGACACTGAGTGGGTTGCTCGCGGAATGGCATAGTTTTGAAATTATACTTTTCAACGATCTCATCCTTGGTATCGTCCGGACTTTGACGACCACCCACCTATAAGTATCAATATGTCTGGCCAAAGTATCTTTATATCTATGATATTTACATGCAAATCTAAGTTAAAGGTTTATATATACACATGTAAATAGCACCAAAAAGAGCTTGAAGTTGGAGCGCAGTGAGTTCTCTATTAATCGTGTTAGCCAATTCGGTACATATGAAAATACACGTTCCGCATTACACTCTCGCTCTCACAACTTAATCATTCAATTTACATACTCTTGCAGAATCGGTGTTGCAGTTATGGCATCCAAATTCATTTGTGAGCCGTCGCATGCATAAATTCACAGTCAATTGGCACAGAGTCAGCGCAAATTGTTATGCATATCCGAATATTAATAATCTGCGACGAGGGACGTTAATCATACATTAGAATCAGTACAATTATTTACATTAACGCGTGTCGAGGTAAGACCACAAAGAGGTATTAGTAGACGAGCCGTGTTTTGCAGGTTAGGGCCGACATCTTATCTGAGAGTACTTACGCTGTAGTCAATTAAGTGCGCAGCCTGTATACCTTCATCTTAGGAAGAGCTCGCTTACCTTCTAGTAGTAGAACTTTTGTTGCTTCGGTAATTTTGATTAAGTTCAAAGTAATAATACTGTCGACATAGAAGGGCAGGAATGGCACAGTGACTCATGGTAAGTTGAAAAGAAAAATAAGTACGGTATCTTCGCGTTCGTACTTCTTCGATGCGAACGGTTCGTTTCATTACTTTTTTCTTTTAGGAAAGAGGTTCGAGTCGGGACGAACCGTGAACGTGTTCGAAAGGTTCATTACTGGAATGGCAACGTACCTTCTAGGTACATTAAATGCCCAGAAGAGTTCCCTCTCTATCGTTAACATTGTGGCCCACGTAGTTGTCGAATGCGTTCTCATCGTACACGCCAAATTTACGTAAATAAATCCTGCAGAGAGAAGGCTATGTAAATATCGTGACTCTAAGGTCTCATGCATCGTAGTTCCGTGTTTCTCATTTCTCAAGACACCGTGATTATCGCTTGGCAATGACGTGTTCTCGTTAGATACTTGTAAGTATAAGTAATTTATTATTTCCTGCATGCAGTTGACTCGAGGTCGCAACGTTACAGTTTTATTTCTAAAGAAAGCCCGGTCTGAGTGTCGCCAGACTCGCTTCGGTTCTTCGTACAAGTGTCTGCATAGTTTTGCATTAATATCTGCACTTGGCGTGAGACTCTGTCGCACCGGGGGAAGCGTGAGTCGCAGTGTTTACGGTTGCAAATTATTACGTGTGTAAAATGGCATTTTAGGAATGTTAGATATTGCAGGTCGCTCTTCCACTGAGTGGCGATACCGTTCGAACGAGAACATGCGATATTTCCCGGTAGAATCGATCGATCGAAGAGATCGACAAGTAATTTCGGAGCAATTGATTAGAAAGCGGTCTCTCATTATCGGTCATTTAAGATTCCCGCGGGAAGTTTCAAACGTGGCGGGGCAGCGGTCGGAAGATGACGCGTGCCGCCATCTATCGAACCACGGTCCAACTCCGTTCCCGCGTTTCCCGAGGTCCCTAATTTACTGAAAGATTTCAAATTCCACCGTAAAAGAACGCTCCACCGCTAGTAAGCTCTGGAACTTTCGATCACCGCGAAGAAATCCAACAACCGGAAAGTAGGTTCGGGAAAATGTCGTTCCGGCCGAGAAAATGGTGGATTGGCGAGTGGGTTTCGGGTGCCTCCCACAGATGGCAGCACCGACTAGCGGCGCCGCCATCTTTCGCTCGCGTCAAACGGCTCTGTAAATATCGTAAACGTTCCCGGTTTTCCTCGAATCCAGTTAATCGGCGGAATTGCGACTATGGACTGTAGTCGATTAAGCTTGTTGGGGTAATTGTCGCAAGGGGCGAGCGGAACCCTTTCGTGGGGTGTTACGACGGGGCTTGCTCAATTCGGCGGGCGCGATCGAGCGCGAGTTACTCGTGAGAACTCAAGACTAGCATTGGTCAATGGCCTGTGGGCTCAGGCCCTGGATTTCTTGCCGCTTTTCAGTTTGAACCAGCCGGCGCCCTTGTTCGGGTCGCGCGGCACGGAAGTGGACCTGCCGAGTTCCGGCCGGGAACCGGAAGTCCGCGACTTGTTGGCCAGCGACTCCGTCGACATCGTCCGGTCCACCTTCTGCTTCTCCTGCGACTTTAGGGTGCTGCGACTGATCGTTCCTACGATAGAAAACGGAAGATATTATAGAACGGGACGAAATACAGATAGATAACTTTCCTTATACCGAATAAATCGGCAATAATCGGGCACGAGGGCGAGACCTGGGACTTTCTCCGCGTTTCGGCGAGCAGTTTCCTAGTCGAAAGGCCGTTCGCCAAGCTTACCGGTTTTCGCCAGGTTGTCCTTGCTTCGTCGGGCTTCCTTTCCGCGTCGATTGAGCGTTTCGCGACTGCGCTGTTTGCGTCGCATCGTCGAGACGGGCTTTTGGTGGTGGTGCTGCTGCTGTTGGTCGTAGTTGATCTCGAAGGGCTCCCGGTAGTGCCGAGGCTTCCAGGGCGCCAGGACGCTCACGCTCCTCGAGACGGTCCTCGTGAATGCCTGCAAGGGTCGGTTCAACTCCTCGCGGCTGGCTGCTCTGCGTCGTTCGTTCGGTCCCGGGATGTCGCCAACTGGAATTTCTTTATTTATTATACTTCCAGGCGATTTCCATTGGGTTGCTATATAATCCCAAGGCTTACGTGTTAAGGTGTTATCAAAGGCTCGTTCCTATTATATATATCGATGAACTTCTCTCGGAACCGGGTACGCCAAATAATTTCAAACTTTGTAAATAATAAATAATTTCAAATATGAAGGTCTTGAAATTCACGGAATTTTATTTTTCGTAAGGAAATTTAGTCATTCGTCCCGAAATAGATTAGAGATATAATTTTGAGAATTTTAATACTTTTATTGGGACTTTCGTAATCACGCGTTGAAGGTTCAAATTATTTGGCGCACCTTGTTTGGAGAAAAGTTTTATATGTATTTTGACGTTTTGATTCGTATATATAGTGACCCTTTCATATCACCTTATCACCATATAATTTTAATGGTAATCGTTACATAATTTACTACGTGACGATTATAGTGACGATATAACGATATATAGTGACCCTTTCATATCACCATATTACCATATAATTTTAATGGTAATCGTTACGTAGTAAACTATGTACTATGTACGTATGTATCTAATTGGGTATGTAATGTATGTAATGGTAATCGTTACGTAGTAAACTTCTTTTTTGATACATATATGTAGTGACCCTTTCATATCACCTTATCACCATATAATTTTAATGGTGATAAGGTGATATGAAAGGGTCACTATATATCGTTACGTATCGTTATATCGTCACTATAATGGAACTATGTAATGATTACCATTTAAATTATATGGTGATAAGGTGATATGAAAGGGTCACTATATATATGTATCAAAACGTAGTTGACTACGTAACGATTACCATTACATACATTAAATATCCAATTACATACTTACGTACATAGTAATCGATACTAGTAACTTATTATCGTACTTTTTCTCTTATTTTAGGGAAAATAGTGGAGGGGACTAACCTGTAGGAGCGTGTAGATAGACAACGGATCGTTGCGATCGCTGGGAGTTCTGGCTCTGTTGGCTGCTGTCGCCGGTCGTGCTTTCTCCTGAAGACAACGCACTCTCTGCGAGTCGCGGCTTCCTGGGGGGTGCGACCAACCCCAGAGGGTGGCGACTCGAATTCGTTGCGTCGCGCCTCGCGTCGACGTGGTCCTCGGCTCGTTTGCTCCTAGGACGTATGTATAACATCATATAAGGATATAAAGGTAAGGATGATGGTCATAAAGATAATTATAAGTTGTCCCGACAGCTTGAACATGTGGATTTTCCAAAAAAGTATGCCATTCGGTGCAATACCCTATGTAATTCGACAGAGCACCGATATGAATACGAGCGTCGGTAACGTCGGCATGTAGAGGGATCTTTGTTACCGAGGTCGATGAAATTTCTCGACGCGTTTCAATTCACCTTAAGGGGATGTGAAACTCATCGAGGAACTTGATCGACGTCGATAAAGATTTTTCTAAATGCCTACGTTGTTGACGTTGGTTTTTATATCGACAGCTGGGTCGAATTATATTCTATCGAATTATATCGAATTATATTGGGTATTGAGAGCTCGACGCCATTTTGGTTCCTTCTGGGCTGTTAAGAAATTTGTTTGAAAAATCCAAATTTTGAAATGTGTCAGGACAATTCTTAGATGATGAGGAGTGAGGAGTCAAAGTTTCGGACAGTTTGGTGTAATACCCTTAAAATAAAAGTGTTGTATTCGTATCGACTGATTTGAAGGGGGTTTCACTTCACCTTAAGGAATTCGCCGCGGCCCATGAGTAATGGCAACGCGTCCGGGTGCCATTCGCAACCCGGGGGTGGGACCGTCGAGGACAGGAATTCCCAGGAGATATTAATCCGTCGCGATATTAATGCCTTCGGACCCGAAAATTTCGCTCAAGTTTGTCCAATTAATCAGTGCGAGTTAATCCTGGTTGGGTAATACCTTTTGCAAGGGCTCAAGCCACGGTACCGAGGTGTTCCGTTCAGCCTCCCACGAGGATTACGACGGTGAAAGGAAATCCGGTGATTTGTCAGCACTTTTGCGTTACTACTTTTCCCTCTTTCGCGATTACATAACCTGAGAAACGTACGTTACGATGCTTTTTCCCGGTCGGGCACTTTCGCACGTCGCTGGAAATTTCTGAAAAAGGACGCCGGATTCTCACGTGCGACCGTTTCCGAAAAGGCACTCGATTCCTGGAATCCGCTCCGACTTGTCCAGTAATTATGCCCTCGGAATGCGGAGGGCCAACGTGTTTTTCCCCTCAAAATTTACATGGAATTCCAATTCCGTGGCCGAGATCCTTCCCGGCAAGAGAGGGAATGAGTTTGCCGACTCGGACTCACCTTGACGGGTCCAGAGACACTCTCGTCCCTTCAACTAGTCTTCGTTAAGGTGAAGTGGAACACCCTTCAAATCAGTCGATTTGAATACAACACTTTTTTTTTAAGGGTATTAGACCAAACTGCCCGAAACTTTGACACCTCACTCCTGATCATCTAAGAATTGTCCTGATACATTTCCAAATTTGGATCTTTCAAACAAATTTTTTAACAGCCCAGAAAGAACCAACATGGCGTCGAGCTCTGATATTTCGATCGATATACAATTATCGAAGGCTCTGATATGAGAATCGAAAGGGTCAGGACAATTTACGAGAATTTAGAACACTCTGGTAATCGATAAACTCGCATTTGAACGGGATAAAGGCTAAAAAAGTGTTGTATGCCCTTGTATGCCAAAACGATGGGAATACGAGGTGTCGGAGTGAAGATTTAATTGACCTGGAAATCACAGATGGCGCAGGGGGTCCCTCTGCAGTCAATTAGGGCCCCAGAAAGCACGAATCCAGAGGATTTCTGGAGTTTTACTTTGATTTCTTTATAATTATTGTAGGAAAACGACAGGTGGAGTATGCCATTTGGTACAATACCCAATATAATTCGACCCAGCTGTCTATATAAAAACCAACATCGGCAACGTAGGCATTTAGAAGAATCGTCTTTATCGACGTCGATCAAGTTCCTCGACGTGTTTCACTTGACCTTAAGGTCTCTTTTTCCTTTTTTTCTCCAGGTGAATGAAGGCATTTTAAGGTGTTTCCAAAGTGTCATATCAATACGTATCGGATGTAAGAATGTCTGTGAAATTTATCTCCAAACTGGGCGGAGGGAATAATTTAAATTTAATTATTGAGAAAAGTTTCAAGAACGATCCACTCCACTCGGATGCTACTTTCATACCGCTTTGAGTGATTGGATCCTTTTGCGGGTCTTTACTTAGATACTATACATCCCGGCGATAATTACTAATCAACTTGTTCGACGAAACAGAGAATTTGCACTATTCTATCCGAAGGATTTTCCTCAATTTTGTTAATTAGTTGCGCTCTCCTTATCGGTAGTTAAGAGCTTCGGCCCATTCGGTCTATCTTCTGAATTTTAATTCAGCTAATCGGATCATAAATCTAGGAGTCACTAGGTTGTTACTATTATTCCACAGTCCCTATCACGGTGTAATTACTTTTTAATGACTCGTCGCCGAAGCGGTGTTCCTTTTGAGTTCCCAATTTACGAGGGTCTTGTAAAGTGGCACCAGCTCTTATCTCACAGAGACGTATCTCACTATTTTCAGATTAATCTAATAATTCATTTAGGTTTATATCCTCTGATTGCCTTTGATAAGACATGATCAGGTGTCGCGGAATGCAAGGACACTCACTTTCGGTCCCGGTTGGACGAGACGGATTCCTGGTCGGTGTCGCCGAAGAAGCGGAGGTTCTTCTGGACGGACACCCTTTCCGGCGTCGAGGACACCTCCTCGTCCTCGGTGCCGGTCGTCAGTATCTCGCTTTCGGGTATCCTTGGCTTTTTGTCGACGGCCTGGAAGAACGAGAAGAGAGTTCCAGCTCGGTTTTTTCTCCCCCTGCTTTTTTTCCCCTTCTTATTTTTATTTTTATTTTTTTTTTTTCTACGTGTTTCATCCGTCCGAGACAATTGTCCACGGTGGGCACTTCTGCGCCCCGGGCTCGGTTTGCTCGGGCGAAAAAGAGGCTCAACCTTGGCGAGTCCCAGGACTTTTCAGGCAAAAAGGAATTCCTCGGAAACCCCTTTTGCCCGAGAGAAGAGACCGTCTGGTCTGCTCGATAAGATCTTACTTATCGCGAAAGAAACGGCCCAGGGAAATCTCCCGCTTCTTATCGTCGCTAGGAAAAGCGAATCGAAGAAAAATCCCGGAGGTCCTGGAGGACTCGTCTTGCCAGGACGAAGGGAGGTCTCCTCGCGAGATCTTGACCGAGTCTTGATCCTGCGAGTTGGATCGCTCAGGAAAAGCGAGTCGAAGAAAAATCCCGGGGGTCCTGGAGGACCCGCCTCGCCAGGACGAAGGGAGGTCTCCTCGAGAGATCTTGACAAGAGTCTGGGTCGAATCGTTGTCCTGCAAGTTGGATCCCTCAGGAAAGGCCAATTGAAGAAAAATCCCGGGGATCCTGAAGGACCCGCTTCATCAGGACGAAGGGAGGTCTCTTCGAGAGATCTCGGCAGGAGTCTGGGCCGAGTCGTGATCCTGCGAGTTGGATCGCTCGATAGATCATCGTCCATGGGGAGATTCACGCGCACGCAATCAACTCGGGCAGCTATCAGCCGCGAAGGTACCCTCCGAGATCGAAATCGAGATCTGACGGAGATTATTCCGCGGACGATGGTTAGCTAGGCAGGCTCGGTGCACTTAATCTCGCGATTAAATTAAACCACAGTGCGCGGAGTTCGTTAAGCATTTAATTAAACTGGTAATTGGAGGTTGTACTGGCCCTAATGGCCCCGGCCATGGTGAACCATTGGTCGGTGGAGGCGCTGGCTTGTCCAATGTGGTCTTCGCGATCGTTTCCCAAAACGCAGGACTCGATTTTTCGTCATTTCTGCGAGAGTGCTCACCTCTCGGATTGTCATCTCACCGTGAGTTTATTCACCCGATTCCGAGCATTATTAAGAGAAATCATAATTTTTCTTTTTTTTAATTACAGACATTATTCATGAATTACTTTCGTTGTTTTACCTTAGCGTTGGTCTTGTTCTTTCTGGAGAGGGACTTGAACCATCCCTTCCTTTCTGCCTCTTGGCCTTGGTTCTCTCTCGTCAGGGTGCTTTTGGACCCACAAAAGTGATCCTCGTCGCGAGTCAAGGTTCCCGTCGATCGGGACAACCTGGCGGGTCGAGGCGGGCTGGGACTTCCGCTGGGAGTAGACAGACGTCGTCGTTGACTGTAATCGTCCTGAAAATGAAACGTTTACAATTAACCCTCTATGGGCCGAATTTTTCATTAAATAAAAAAAAATTGGGGGAACGAAAAATCAGCAATTAGGAACCTATGTATGCAAATGAAAAAAAATTGTTCATTTAAAATGTGACCTGAAAGTTACACGGGCCCATAGAGGGTTGACATTTTTAAGCTGGTACTAATTTGACACCATTTTTTTAAAGTTAGCCTTAAGAGTGAATCTTTGTCTCGAGGAAGAAATGAAACGGCTGGTGATTAGAGTTCCTTTCGAAGGCGATTCGAATACGTTTTGAAATTCTAAGGTGGATCACATTCGTTTCGAAGGCGATTCGAGTACGTTTTGAAATTCTAAGGTGGATCACATTCGTCTTGAAGGCAATTTGAGTACGTTTTAAAGTTTTAAGGTGGGTCGAATCCGCTCTGAAGGTGATTCGAGTACGTTTTGAAATTCTAAGATGGATCACATTCGTTTCGAAGGCGATTCGACTACTTTTTGAAATTCTAAGGTGGATCACATTCGCTTCGAAGGCGATTTGAGTACGTTTTAAAGTTTTAAGGTGGGTCGAATCCGCTCTGAAGGTGATTCGAGTACGTTTTGAAATTCTAAGGTGGATCACATTCGCTTCGAAGGAGATTCGACTACTTTTTGAAATTCTAAGCTGGATCACATTCGCTTCGAAGGCGATTTGAGTACGTTTTAAAGTTTTAAGGTGGGTCGAATCCGCTCTCAGGTGATTCGAGTACGTTTTAAATTTTTAAGGTGTATCACATTCGTTTTGAAGGCGATTCGAATCCGCCTTAAGGCGGTTCTCGTCGGCTTGCAGCATTCGCGGCCTGCCCCGCGATGCGTTACCGGCTTGGGTTTCGATACGCAATATAATAACATATCGGCGAGCGCCGGTTACTCGGCGCATAAACTCTTAAATGACTCACAATGAATAGCCCATATCGCGGAATCATCTGCATAGTACAAGACCGCGCGCTTCCCTGCGAGTCTCCATATATACGAGCAACAATATGCCCGATGCGCTTTCCATAACGAGTCGCGAGAGTCTACACGGAGGGGGGCATTGTGACCTACGCACCGCCCTGTTAACTCTTACCGACTCTCGCAGAGAGCCTCTTTACCGACCCGTGCCGATTCTTACTCTTGCAACTCTTGCAACGCGCATGCGTTTCCCTTCCTCCGGAGCCATTGCACATTAATCTCATCGGTGCATACAGGGTGAGCCATTTAGCATCGCCACCTTGCCCGGATGTCTCCTTTTCCGACAAAACGCATTTCCGGTACATCCGGTACATCCCCATAGCTTAACCGAGGGAAGATTTGCATTTAAAAATTAATTCCTATTATACAGGTCGGATGTAAATATCAACTTGGGTGATGTAGGTAATAGGTAAATATTCATTTGTATCATCTAGGGTGGATTTAAATACCAATGTATATCATCTAAATGTACCCGTGTCGAAGGATAAGTCATTTTAAAGCCGGAACATTGGTATTGGTCACTCTTACGAGCATGCGCCATGGATGCGTCCCAGTGCATAACTCTGCAACGTTAAACCGACGCCGTGGGTCACCATGGATTACGCATAAATTCCAACGCATGCTATTTACGACGCGAATAATCTCCCTGGCATTGCTGCGGAAGAGATCGCCGAGGAAAATCGTTCACAAGGGGAGCGATCGAAACGTCGCGTCGTTCTATAAAGAATTTCTCCACCTTTCTCCAACCCGTTTGCACCGAATGATCTTAAACTGTAACCCGCGATCATGGAGGTTCTAATGAAGGTCTTGAAACTCGCGAAATTTCAATGTTCTGAAAATGAAAGAAAATCTCTTTCCTTTTGCCTCTTGTCTGGGAGAAATATACAATTTTTCCTTGAAATTGAAATTTCCACAGTTTCAAGGCGTTCGTTAGGACGTTCCATAGCCACGTTTTAATGTTTCAAATTATTTGGCGCTTCCAGAGGGAAAGTTTTATTATTTTTCAGGTTTTTTGTGGGTATGTATATATGACGCTTTCGTAACACCTTAACGTATTCTAATTGGGAAAGGTGGCGCGTGCAGCTCGGCGTTAGCGTGCCCGGAGCATAACTCTGCAACGTTAAACCTCCCGCTGTAGGTTACCGCGGATAATGCGTAAATCACGGGGAACGGGATTTATGACGTGAACACCTTACGCAGTCTTGTCCCAATAGGTGGCGGAGGGTAGCGCGTCTCTTGGGCGAACACCTGCTTCCAGGATACCCGTAATAGGGATACCTACTGTTGCGTCCAGGTCGTACACTGGGAGACATCAATGCCCTCCCAACCTGCACAGGCGATGCCGTATCTGCAGGGGAGACATCAATGCCTTCCCATCCTGCACAGGCGATGCCGTATCTGCAGGTGAGGCAACATCTACGCTGGGGCGATTGGTTTTATTTTAGGTAAGTTTTGTCAGGGCCCTTCATAATGCCGAAAGTGGCATCGATATCGCTCGTGCTCGTTTTCTCTCTTAATGGGGGAAGTTCCTTTTCATTTCTTTTTCAGCGAAACATTCAAATCGAAAAAATTCCATTTCATGCGTCACTAATTAATCCGAGATGAGAAGTACCAATCCTAGCCAGGGATTTTCATATTAGAAGGAAAAAGCATTTCGGGGTGTACACCTCGAAAGTGCATACACCTCGTGCACGGTATGTGCGTTCGCGTGCACGAGGACCGACCGCGGAGGCGGTGGAGGCGAGAGGACGTAATGTCGATAGGGCAAGAAACGTAATGAGAGGGAATCCCGCCGCTGTACAAAGGGGCATTACAGTAAGATCTGTAACGCGCAAAGCCGCAAAATAAACGAAGGGGGCCCGTAATGGCTATTGGCCGGCGTCCCGTCGATGGTTCCCCTTGCGCATGCGTAACTGCGTAACCGAGAGCAAACGGACCAATAAGAAAAACGCCCCGGGGCGGGAAGGAGGGGGTTTGGTGGAGATGCGCCGCAAGAAGCATCTCCTCCACCTTGGCCATCGCCGCCAGAGAAGACGGGATGCGGTTTGACCAGGAATGCGAGTCTACCGTGGAACGTCCTCCTGCTTTATCCTACGACCGCGACCAGACTCGTTCCACTTTCCCGATGGGCCGCGCCATTGCGCCGGAGGATCGACTCTCGTTATGCAATGGCGGCCAGTTTTCTGCCCCTGCGAGACTGGCACACCCTGGTCTCTCCGTGTCATTTCTCCAGAAGGGTGCCGTGGCCCTTCTGTACGATTTCCTTTTGCTCCCGAAAATCTTAATCAACTGTTAGACCCCGTTGAACGGCCTAGCCGGTCGTTCCCAAGGAAGGGGAAAATGGTACCGCGTTTACTCCGATCGTTTTTGGAAATGCCGACTTATTTCGGATGTAGAGACTGGCACACCCTGGTCTCTCCGTGTCATTTCTCCGAAAGGGTGCCATGGCCCTTCTGTACGATTTCCTTTTGCTCCCGAAAATCTTAATCAACTGTTAGACCCCGTTGAACGGCCGAGCCGGTCGTTCCCAAGAAAGGGGAAAATGGTACCGCGTTTTGTTCGATCGTTTTTCGAAATGCCGGCTCATTTCGGATGTAGAGCGCGGCTTCGAGGATGGTGTAAGGTCGTTCGCTCTTCGCCATCGTAACATGAAAAGCACGAGGTTTCTAGGGGGTCGCCGCATACCTATCGCATAAAACCGGATGTACACCTTGGTGGAGGCGCATCGATGCGCACCACCATCGTCCTTAATGAGTAAGGGATGGGGCGGGGTGCGGTTTACTTTATTTGGAATAACTTCGGATGCGATTCCCATGCCTAGGGGTATACCTATATGCAGGAAACGATGCCTGATATGATATTCGGACCCCTCCGAGTGGACCGCGATAAGCACAAAACTGTTGAAAAACAAATTCAGACATTCTATAAAAGCGCTGACAGTGATCCTATAAAGTATGCTGGAAAAAACGCGTTTTACCCATTGTCCGCCCTTCCCGCGAGATATTCAATTTTTCTCTATACGTCCATTCTACGTTTATTAAACCATCGTTTTAGTCGCCCAACGCGACAACGTTGTTTGAACGTAGTCCGTATGTACAATAATTGAATAATATACGCTCTAAGGACGTTGAAACTTTATGTCGACGTTTCTTATGGACTTTCAAATCGGATTAAATGGATCCTCCGAGGTTTGTCCTATTGGCGGGACTTTTAGAGATATTAAACGAGATTGTTCTCCCTTTTTTATGGGTCAGACTTGGAATGCAATGTGGTCAGGTGTCGGAATACTGGAATTCGCGGTCACCTCGTCAACTACGCCGACGCGATCCAAGATGGCGGCTTCGTTGGGGTGCGGACATTGTTGTCGCCGAGACGCGAGAAGCTGTGCACGACCAGAGACCGTGAGATCGCAAGGTCGGTTCTCGTGAGCAACAAAACTTCCCGGGGAAACCGCAAATCTTGTGCCCCTTCGAAAGAACTCAATTGTTGCCGACTAATTTCGTTTAGATTTCAATTTTCTAAAGCGCCACAGTGGACCAGTTTCACCCGATACTGCTAACGTTTCAAATGAACGGCTCCCTATATGACGTCGACGTTTACGATTTTCTATGATTTTCAGAATTACAATTGAATCCCGCGTTACGTCCTGTACCTTTCATTTGTTAATTAAAAGCGTCGGTCACGACTTTCCACGGTGAATTCCAGAGAGGATTGGCTTGAATATGAAATCATGTTTTTTTTAAATAAATGGTTGAATTTAGGCAATTCTTTAGCGTCGGATAAATTTACTCACTTTCCTGGGATATTGGACGGATTGGGTAGGGGAGTTAGGTTAGGTTAGGTCAAGGATCGTTGAAAAATTCTCTGCAATTTCCCTGTTTTCTATGTTTTTGCGCATTTTCGCGTCGCGCGGTCTTTAATCCCAGCCGAGGCCGAGGAGCCATTTCCTGCCTTGGAAGACGTCACTTGCGGATTCCGCGAATTATACGAGTTTGCTCCATTAGCG